TTAAGCCCGAGGAGCTCCAAAATCATAGTAACGAAGGAAAAGGAAAGGAGGAAGAGAAAGAGAAAGAGAAAGAGTGAGGATAAGGAAAGGAACGCTTCGTTTTTAGAATAGCTACTTTGGAGATTTGGAGATTGGAGTTTTTGGCCGGAACTGAACTGTCGGACGCAAAAGGTCCATTTGGAGATAACATTATCAAAAATCCGGCTAGATATATATGATAAGGAGGAAAAAAAATACATGAATCAAAGTAAGAACATACTTTTAGATGCTACAATAGGTCCAACTTTTTTCTTTAAAGAAATGTTTTTTTTACTTATTTTGTCAGTGATTGGCGCTAAATCAGTTTGATGCGCAAATTCCTTATTCTTAAAGACAGCAAAGACAATCTTAGATTCTAGATTCTATATTTACGTTTTGGATGCCGGATTCCAGGTACTGGATTCCGAATTTCAAACGTAAGTGGGATTCCGGATTCCTAGAACTGAGTTCAGGATTCCAAATCTCGGAATTTCCAATTCCACAAGCAAAAATTTGTTAGAATTCCTGAATCTGGATTACATAACATGTGCCAAGACCGCGCTGTAATGCAAAAATCACCCTCAGGCTGATATTTGTAGTCCTAAACAGGGGAACATGCAAATTTTGTCCGACAGCTGCTGATAACAGAACAGTTTAGAACACCAGTTTCACCAGTTTCCATGATAATTTATTACTTAAGAGTTAATGCTTTCTGATGTTGTTTTGATTTTTTTAAACAGGTTACCCTTGGTCAGCGGGATGGTATCAGTGCAACAGACGCGAAGCAAATGAACCTGCTCTACAAATCACATTGCAATCGTGGTAGTGGAGGAGGCGGTGGCGGAGGTAAGTGGCATTGTCTTTGTACAACTGTTTATAGGATGACACAGTTGTGACTGCTACTTAACTGCTTGAAAGGCAGGAGTATTTCACAAGACACAGCAGGGGCTTATCTGTGTAGGAGGCCCGAGGTAAGCACAGTTTTCCAAATCAACCCTATTCCTATTTCCCCGTTGTTTCCATGCAGGCGAGATGATTAAATTTTGTTTTCCTGTCAGTATGGTAAGGTAATCACCTTAGTCCTAGACTTCAGGCAACGCTTTGTGGCTTTCGCGTGTGGCATGGTTGGGCAAAACACTCTAGTTTTCTTTAAAAAAATTGCGGAAGTGACAGAAGTTAAAATTAAGTGGAGTTACATGGGTGATTCTACCTACTTGTATTTGCCGTCTACTTTCTGTTCAATTCCTTTGGTTTGTATTTCTACTTCGTTTTTCTCCACGTCTTAACCTGATGGGGATTATCCTAAGAGTATTCCAGGGGATAAACTTACACCGAACTTTTTTGGACTTTTACTTTCTCTTGTCTGCTATTAAAATAGGAGGTAACTGCGTAGACAAGGACAGAAGATGTTCAGGCTGGACGAGATATTGTAGCTATCACAAATACGTGAGAGCAAACTGCAAAAAGACCTGCAAACTGTGCTGAGCACACGAAAATGGAGGCAAGTTAGTATTCATTTTAGACTACTTTAATTAAAATGTTTATTTGCAATTTCTCTGACTACAGTTTTCCCAGTTAGTGATCACGTATCATGTATTAAGCGGCCAGAATACGACTTTTAAATTTGCTTCTGTGAAGCCATAATGCTCTCAGAAAACCAAAACTTTGTTTCATACATCGAATGCATAATTATTCACCTGTAATAATCAATTTTTTTATGGACACTAAGTTAAGGTTGTTTTTATATTGCGCCTCTACTTTAGCATCAACCGAGAAAAGCAAAAATACTTGTACCTCTATTGTAGGAAGAAAAATTCACACGCCAATTTTTCCCCAGCGGTACAGGCTTATTCTGACCGGTTTCTTTACCTAACATGTCGTCATTTTGTTTACATATTGCAGTTAAGCAAATAAAGATAAATCAGGCGTTTTTGATCTTGAAAATCCCTTTGACATGGTATAGTTTAGTAAATTTGCGTATTTGATTTCTTGCAGATCGTTTGTCTCTGGAAACTATAGACCTGACTGGCTTTCAAAAAGAAGTCTTATTTGACAAGTAGAATGAATAAATAAAAGAGCATTTAAAATTTTTCTCGAGGTTTTTCTTTTTGCATTTTTACCCCCAATTCGACACGTTAGAAACGAGAAGAGGACTGGAACGCGTCGGTCAGCTATTGGCCTAATCTCGTACCCAGATCTCCCATGTGTACAACAGAGTGAGATCTGGGTACGAGATTACTATCGGCCAAGTTTTTCCTTGTCCCTATTAACAGTCCCAGAAGTTATTGCCGAAGAAAAAAAAAAGACATATCATGGGTTAACCTCTTTGAAAATATCCAATATTGTCGACTACCTAAAATCGACATTTTTATAGTTTAGAAAGGTTTCTATCCATGCAGAAGCATACAATATTACAATATTTGTCGACTATCTAAAATCAATTTTTTTATAGTCTGTTGTAACCCGCTATATCGGAAAAATGATAACAATCATCAAGTCTCAGAAATAGGTAGAAATCCCAATAATAGGAACTGAATTTTCACTCGAAGTTAGCCTAGAAAATTCGTAAGCTTATCAAATTTATTAGATATACGACGAATGTTCATATGGAGGGAAAGGCCAGTTTCAAGAGAACTGCATTTTAAATTTAGGCGAATTTGGTTTACGGCTAACATGTTGTTAAAGCTATCTTCGGTATCGTATTCACAGCTACCGTTTTCACTGTCTTTACAAAGACTAAGCTTATTTATCAGGATCAAAATTAATGGTACCGAGCCATTCATAAATTCAAACAGAGTTAGCCGAAATTGATCATCGTCTAAACTATAAAATGGCGAGGACGATAGAATATTAGCTCGCTGGTTTATCACGAATGACTAAGCGATCGAGTACAAAATATTACAAGCAGTTTTACCCGACAACGCGACGTCCTCACTGATCACGAAGTGAAAACCAACGAGCTTTTCTTTTCGGGTTTTTCTTTGAACGTGTTCTCGTTTCTTCCAGTCGCGAAGACGGCACTTTGTGCGTGGCTCATTTGCGTTGGCACTGCCTTTCTCCTTTCGTCGCTTCACACGATGAACTCTCTCAATGTCTATATCCAGGCAAAGCTTGGCCTTGATGATGACGTCTTTTCGATTCCACTTCATCCCAAGTCTCCCTCTCACTCTCGGCAATCCCTTTAACATGGAGATTGTTTTCGACTGATTTTCTAGGTGCTCCGATTTAAGCTCTTGTTGAGCCAGAACTGAATTTAAGGTCATTCCTCTTTTTTGCAATGCACAATTCTACTCCGCATCATTTTTCCAAGATGGCGGCCTTCCCCATAGAATTGACAGAATGGGCTATTTTTCCGAAAGAGCCAAAAGCCGGCATTTCAAATTTTATTATTAAAATTGACATTTTTATAGTCTAGAAAGATTTTTATCTAATCATGCAGAAAAAAACAATATTACAATACTGTCCAGTTTCAAGATCGGCGCGGCACAACTTCACTCCGCCAAGGAAACCGCGCCGAAATTAGTTACTAATTTCAATAAGTAACTAAATTTCAATGAGCCACTAGAATGTTTTTAAAGAAAGGGCACGGCTCAGACTAGCAGAAATGTAATTGCTTTTTACTTGTAAGTAGGTTTCTACATAATATATAAAATTATAATTTCTTGTTTTTAATGCTTTTTCTTAAAATAATTCTTTTGTTTTGTAAATTTTCACATAATATGCACAATTACATTTTCTTAGTAAATTCACAGATGTGTTTCTACCATGTAGAGAAACCGTGAAAAATTTATTATTATTATGATTATGATTATGATTATTATTATTATAAGTGTTCAGTTCATGAGACTGTTTCTTCTACAAGGGCCGCGAGTCCAATCCATGGACCTGGGGCACTTGGGAGTTTCTTTGTCATTATTGTCACGTGATGGATGGGACTTTCCCTAGAATATGCGCCATTCCCATTGACGCTCTTGTTTGAATTTCCCAGAGGTTTAAAATGTTCCCTGGAATTTCCCTGATAAGCTTTTCTGAGCCTTTCTTAATTACCCCTAACGCACTTTAACAACCACTGGAATTGGTTCTGTCTTCATCTAACACATTGTGGTAAAATTTCTTCTTCTTCTTCTTCTTCTTCTTATTATTATTAAGGCATTGAGAACTCTATTTAATTTTCCTCTTTGTTAGTGATTTTCTTAGTAAGAATGCAATTGACCTTGAAAATAGTTTTTTAAAGAAAATCGAAATGGATTGTTTTAATTTAAATGAAATGTTTTTAATTCGAATAATTTTTTTTAATTAAATGAATTTTTTCTAATCAAAACTAGGTGTTTTTTAAAACGAAAGGAATTGTATTATTATAATAGTGTTTTGACGAAATAGTTTTTTTGAAGTGAATGAATTGCAAATAGTCATTAATATTATTATTATTATTATTATTATTATTATTATTAATCACCGTGTGAACAGTCAATGCCCTATCCGATATAGTCAGTTTTTCCCGGCGCAAGAGCTCTCCGGTCGGTAGTGTAGACATTAAAAGAGTCAGTTACAAATTAAAGAAAAATAAACGGAGCAACAACAACTTAACAAAAAAGACGTTGAAATCCAAAGTTGCCTTGCTGCAGTCTAAATTTATTGGATTTAGTTCAGTATAATTAAGTGTACGCCAGGGAAAGTTAAGCTTAAAAATTTCGCCGAAAAAATTAACACTGTTAGTGAATACAAATGAGTAGGATATCGAAAACGTTTTTTTTTCTCTTAGTCAAAGTCTTGGTCAAACAGTTTAAAATACAAACACTCGCCTAGAGGTTCACGACCGCACAGCTGTGTAAGCTTTCGTGCATGATTTTTTTTAAAGGTAAGATAGCATTCTAATCTATTGAGCCCAATTTTTTCAACTTAGTTAAAGAGAGCAGTCTAGGTTATAGTCAGAGTTATATACGTCTGCCATGCATATCGGTGTCCCAAAACAATGAAATTATAGCGGCCATGTTCAAAAGTATTCCAAGCCAGTCCAGTAGCCGATCGAGTTGAACCTTATTTGTATGTAAACTTTCTTTTGTTCCAATAAATTTGCATAGCTGCTACGTGGGTGAAAACGCTTTTTCTCTCTCTACCGTGTGTATATATTCACATATAGATCAGTTTATTGCACATAAATATTTTATTGTAGCTTTTGTCTTCAGGTCTTTCTTAATGTCAATAAGCTAAACAAACTAGCGCAAATTTCCGTGAATAGAAGAAATTATGATTTCTGACAAGAATGGCTATTTTTTTAAAACCGCAAAACAGTGAATAAGGTCATTGAAGGGGCTCAGGGTGGGGACTTCAGTATTTTTCTTTTTATCGTGACCACCCTGATAAGAAACGCAATGCAATAACTCCGGCGCTCAACATCTCTGAAGTCCAATTTAACCAAAGCTATAACCAGCGTGTTAGATATGATAACATCCGCTTATTAGGCGTGAAAAAACACTTCAAAAACTCCCCTATTAACTTTTTCTGGTTGATATATACTCATAAAGAGAGAGCTTTAATTTAGATTTTAGGTCGACAACGAGTACGTGTGTGAGATTTAACTTAAAGTTTCTGCGCGTGTTCCGTTGAAAAAAACAAAAAACAAAAAAAAGACACCCCAGAAAGCTTCAGCTTCCTTTTTTTTCACCGATACTGAAGGAGGTTAAGCACTCTCCCGATAACAAAATGATAAAACTTCTTCTTTCATTTGATAACTTGTTCCCGCCACTACGACATTCTAGCTAAATCCCGTTGTAGGATGACGACGGCTATCACTTTTTCCTGCCAAAATGCCCTTGTTTCTCGTGTGAGCGGTACTTAGTATTGAGAAAATCTCGTCCTCTTAGTCGTCCTCATCTCAGAATCTTAAGCTCTCTGTGGGGAGGAGGACAAGAAGAGGGGCTCGGGAGGTTAGGGTAAAGGGGGTAAGGAAAGGGGGAGAGGAAAGAGCGAGAGGTGAGAGAACTAAAATTGTGGGAAGCGGGAGAATAGGGGGAAATTACGCAGCAAGGCCTTGAAATTTCGAAATAGAAAATGTCCAAAGGGTTAAAGCCAAGAAAAAAGGGGTAGGAGCCAGGGGTGCAAGGTACAGGAGGCGGGAGGCTTGGACCCCCTAGTCCAACCCACTATTTAAGAGCTATATATTTGCATTACTTCTATTTTACATCCTTTCGAAGCCCCCCCTTCCCCAAAACCCTAACCCTTAAGAGCCATCAACATTTTGTGTAAACTAGTTAATTGAATTTACCGAATGTGGCTTTTCATCTGGAACATATGTTCAAAAATACACTCTACTTATTTATTTATCATGCCAGTGCAATTTCCACCACATTTAAACTATAATCGCAAACATCAAACAGACAAGTTACACATCTGCACAGGTGAGATGAATGCCTTTCCAATAAATTCTCAAGTATTTAGCAAATCAGCCATAAGTTGCTTCGACCCGGTGTGACGACTGAGCACTGAGTACCATGAAGTGGTTGTACTTTGTCTTTGCATTGTACTTGGCATTTGCTGCGTCCGAAAATCCAGACGGTAAGACTTATTTGTATAAACTCTTTTTTATTTTTCTGCCGATTTTAGGCTGAAAATATTCTTGTATTATTCTTAGATTACATAGCTTATGACATTTCCTTTTTATGATATTTTGGGGTATCAATTATAGTTAGCCCAGGTTTTTTCGTTTTGTTACCTAGTTTTCCCCTTTAGAGAATGGAATCAGTTGAAAACATATAATTGTATTGTATTTTCAGCTTTTGAACAGACAAAAATATATCGTTTTCAGTATCTCAGCCTGGGGTTTATTCTTAAAATATTCTTAAAATTTCGCAAATTTCAGCCTCGATATCTCTTGTAAAATATTTTCTTATAGTGTAACTTGCTAGTTTAAGATCGCGTAAAAGATCTAGACATCCAAAAAGAACACAAAGCCGCTAACACCCCATTTCAACAGACCCAGTGGAATCGACATCTTCACCGGGTTTTCTTAAAAAAAATATCTTAGGTCAGTTAATTTTCTCGAATTTTCCATTGTGTTTGTTTTTCAGTGTATCTGCTATCGTCATACAGTTTTCTAAATTTTTATGATGGGAGGCACTGCCTTAATCCGAGAGAGGAAAGTGGAACTGTTGTAGAGAATTAGTTAGAATTACAGCTAACTAGTGAACGTCGTAGATAGTACTCACTGAGAACTCAAATTGTACTATAGGAGAACTTCGCACCTACGGCCAAATAATGAAATGAATCAATCAGCAGGGTACACAGAGCGAAACGTTGTACGTCGTGAAGCACGGGAAATAAAATAATTTAGGCAACAGGGTAAGTGTCGAGTAGTTTTGGGATTTGAGTGAGATTTTCCAGCCATCCTAATTGCGTGGACTGATTTTTAAAAAGCCGTTATCGTAGCCCCGGAAATAAAATAGAACCAGAGAGTTTTGTATTGGTAAGGTCATGTTAATTTGAGCTGGATTATTAATATTAACCTTGGGCCAATGTTAGTTTGTGCTGGTTTACTCACTCAGAATTTTCTAATTTGCATTGTAGAGAATGAGGGTTTGTATGATCCTGACCTTTATGAAGGAGACATGATTCTGAGGCCTGATCAACGTGTGGCGGCAGAAATGGGACTGGACGTAGACAATCCAATGGGAAGAGGCTCGACTAAAGGCAGACAGTGGCCTGGAGGGGTCATGGCTTACGTCATCGACTCAAGTCTATGTACGATTCAATTCTTTTTCTTTAAATAAATATTAATTTAGCATAGCAAATGTGGAAGCAAATGTACCTTGTAGATTGCTATTCCATTTTTGCGTTTATTCATAATTGTTCTAAAGCAGAAAATTTCCACCAAAGTGTTTACAACGAGGGGGCTGATTAATGGACTTCAGCTTCTTGATATTGTAAGTCTTGAGAGTGCCGTTATCATAAACAGTCTTAGTAAGATAGATTAGTAATTAAAAAGTTCATTTTTGGATGTGGGTTGAATCTAGAATGTAAGGGCTTTACCCCGGAAAAAGAAAACTGTCGTACTCCATAGTAAAGAGGTATTCCTGTTAAGCGGGTGTTTGGAAAGCAGAGTAAGACTGTTCAATGGACAAGACTTGCCCCCTTTTACTGCAGTTGAATTAGTCATGGTTGCTTTTTATATTTTCCATTCAGCTCGAGATTCCCGTGCCATGAGTGCCATCCGAGCGGGAATGGAGGAATGGACAAGGAAAACTTGCATCCGCTTCAGGGAAAGAACAAACGAGAGGGCTTACGCTAATTTTAAGCTTGGCTCAGGGTAAACATCTTGTATTTCACCAGTAAATAATTTACAATTAGTCTTTGAAATAGAGATAAATATTTCTTAAGCCATGGTAATTCTAAAACATGTTAATTCTCAAGTTTACAACTGCGTAAGGGTTTAAATGGAACCGTTAAAAGTTTGAATTGTTCCCTTAACTGAAAATAAAAGTAGAGCTCTGTTATTTTCTGTTAACTTGACAAGTTAGTGAAAAAGGTTTCTTGTGTCGCTCTTCGCATAAAGTGCTGACACTGCGGGATCGGTAGCCCGAGGTAAGGCGTCGTTTTCCTGTAGCATTCTTTGTATTATTAACTTGAAACTTATAATTTCCCCAAACATTTGCTTTTATTTTCGTTTGTTATAAATAAACTTCGATATCTGGGCAAAAGTTTTCTTGTTAGGAAACGCTAAGTTCACAAAACGGCCTCTTTTACTCGAATGAAAAGTAGTTGTAAACATTCCATTGAGCAAAAAAAAAAATCATCTAATAAACGTTAAAGGGAAAACGCTGTTTTGAATCCTTGGAAGTCTTTTCTTGCCTTAAAAACATCAACCCTAGGATTCTGAGGACTTTCGAAAGATCGTTCTCTGCAAAAATTGGAAAAACACCGAGCTCATTATCCACTCGCTAGGAGGTGAACCGTTGTTGAATAGCCCGAGATAGCGAACCAATCAGATTGCTTTAAACACCAAGTTCACTGGTGAATAATTGTTTTAGTATATACACACGAAGTGATCTCAACAGAATCAGAAAGAAAACCATTAAAAAAACAATTAGTTTGATTGACGGGTGAATTCATGCGCAAACATGTAGCCGTAAACAGTAGATGTACAAAAGCTAGATCTTTACAGTATTTTCAAACATGGCAAATAATAGTTTTAATTTTGTTCTAAGATTTACAGTGTTCTCCCTAAATTTTAGCTCAGCAGGTAAAAGACCATTCATAGCTAGTAAGGGAGAAAAATAAGGCCCAGAGGTGCAATTTCCTGAGGGGGAGGGGGTAGTGTAGTGAGGGACATGGCCCCACCCTAAGAGTAGCTAAGTTCTTTAAAACGCCATTCCCTCATTTTAAGACCCATTTTACGTAAATCGGCCTTTGTTATCCTTTATAGACAACAATTTAAAACGTTTAATTTCAATAATTCTACTCTGTCTTCAACGATCTCTTTTCAAAATGCGAGGCCCATAAAAAGAAAAGCTGTGTATACTTTAGTACTTTTCCATATGATGTATTCATTCTCTTCCTTGGTCGGATCGAATAGCAACTTGCGAATTTTTTTTAAAACTACTTAATATTCAATTTTAGTTAACCTTCAAGCGGTTGCAGGCGGTTAGAAGTGTTGCTTCAGGCGGTAAATTTTACAGGTTGCCGCCTGATAAGGAGAACACTGACTGCTTTAGCATCAATGATTGAAAAGAAAACATTGAAAGTTTAAATATCTCCCCTTTCTGAGAAGAAACACAGAGCTCAGTTAATTTCCTTCTGCCGACTCACCGTGAATGGGAAAGTTTTTTTTGTCGCTTCTTGCAAATGCTGTCAACAGCGGCTTCGATCGAGGTGAGCGTTGTTTATATGCAGCTATTTCATGTTAACTTGCTGGCACGTACAGCTTTCGAAAATATTTGCTTTCCTTGTTTTCTCCATAAATTAATAGACAGAATTGGTCTTGCAACGAAATCCTGGGTTCACAAAACAGAGACAAAGCGGCCTCTTTTTCCTCTGTAGTGGTTAAAACATTGCTTCGAGCGTATGAAAGTCATTACTACAGTAAATCACTTCGCAATAAACCACGCTGTTTAAACACCAACAAGTCTTTTCTTACCTTCAAAATCATCAACCCTGGGATATTATTGCATTTTCAAAACGTTCTTACTCTGAAACGTGGCATGCAAAACACCCAGTTTACGACAGCAATTTTGTTTTACTTCATATTCACCGCCTAGCGCGGTGAATATAACGCCATAGCCTGAGATAGCGAACCATTTAGAGTGCTTGAATCACCAAGATCACTGCCTGTGTATAATATACTAAATGCTAATACGAAATAATCATTAAAATAATATGCTTTATGCGTGGTTGTAATGGCTTTGCCTCATTGTCATGTAGCTGTTCATCTTATGTTGGACGAACTGGTAGCCGGCAAGATATCAGTCTCGCTAGTGGGTGCTGGTACCGCGGAATTGTTGCTCATGAAATCGGTGAGTGAAGAAAAGCAGGGCAGACATAGTCGAAAAATGTAAACTGTTTAAAACATGAGATATAAAGGCCAAGCTTTCTAAACTTCATAAGACACCAATGACTTCAAAACAACTACAGAAAATCTATTTATTCTTATAACAATCCAGCCTTCGTTTTTTTTAAAAATATGTTGGACATTGTTAATCTCGTACCCAGATCTGACTCTGTCTTACCTTGGCCGAGGGAGATCTGAGTAAGAGATTAGGGCTTTGCTTGTAGAAAGGAGTTGTTGAATGCGTACTCAAAACGAAAAAAATAATAATAAAATAAAATTCCAGCAGAAAAATGCGACCGCTGTTCGCGTATTCTGCGGATGTGCCTTGAGGTATGGAATCAATTTGGATCGTTTTGTTTGCTTTCAGGGCACGCATTAGGATTCTATCACGAACAGTCACGGCCTGACAGGGATAATTACGTCACTATCATGTGGAACAACATCATTGAAAGTAAGATGGAACAAAATAGTATATCATAGTTTACATAATGTGATTTTGTCGAGTGAATTCCTTTTTAGAAATATAATGTTTCAACTTCTTCCAATCCGCAATGTTAGTAGCTCTGTATTGGTTTAATATTATAATAAATAATGCTGTATACTTATTAAACAAATTTCATATAGAAATAGAACATTTTTATGTTTTAAGTATCGTTACATCAACAGGGCAGGGTTTTTTTGCTTTTCTCGCGGCTTCAACGTAGTATTTTGGAAAATTTGCTGTAATTAAATCAATTTTCATGTTTAACAAGCCGAACTAGTATATTTCCCTTTTGATTTTCTTGTCTTAGTCTATTACCACATTGTATACTATATCTTATTCTTTAAACTCATTGATAAACTTTAGGCACCAAGTTTAATTTCAACAAGTATAACCGTGGAACAATAGACTCTTTGGGAACTGAATATGATTATGGGAGCGTGATGCATTATGGGAGCAGAGCTTTCAGCAAAAATGGAAGACCTACGATCGTCGCCAAGAAGTCTGGGGTATGTAATCATTCGATCTTTTTGTTGTGAATCAAAATCAATCAATACACGTTCTACGGACTAATTGACGATGACTGATAAAGAATTATTAAACACGCCTTAATATTTTATTCAACTGATAGCGTAGCTCTATACCTAAGAAAATGTGGTAGTCTACCCATCCGAGAAATTTTGGCAATCACGTGACCGTATGCCCGCCCGTCCGTCCGTCCGTCCGCACCACAGGCAAACCAATTATTTGAAACCCTTTCTAGCTAGTTTGGGAGCCCAGGTGCAACTTGATAGTGCACATCCATGTCGTGATTAATTGACAGCCGTCAAAACAGGGTATCTGCTGACCATTATCACCTAACCGTATGGCGGGCTTAGGTATGGACCCATCGAGGTCGAGATTTTTTTTGAAGTTTTCCAATGACAAGTTACTATAGTTTTTAAATGATCGCAGGCTCAAGTTCAGTTTTTAAATGCATAGGAAGCGAGTTGTGTTTATGAGCCATACGTCGAGCCGTATAATTAAAATTTGATTTCAAACTTAGCTCGGACTCGAAAATTCAGCCAGCTATTACAGACAAGGAAGGCAGTTGCTTTTGACTTTTCTCACCATGGTCACATGTCGGTCTCGCTGTAAGTCCAAATTTTATGCTTTGATTGGTCAAAATTTGACTGATGAGTTCATGAGGAAAATTTATGCAGCATGTGATAACTTGTTTACTGATAGCTGAAGCTCTTAGAGTTTAGTGTCATCTTGAGATGTTTTTAGCTGCCCTTTTTCCACTGGATCTGCAAAATGAATTACAGCTGCTATCGAGATTCTTTTGGCTTGTCAAAGTCATCGGGAATCCGATTTCGGATGGCATCGTTTCGTTTTTCACCTTGCTTGATGCGTAAGAGGGTTCAAAAGATTTTGGCCGGAAAAAACTGGTCCATTTGGAGATAACGTTATCAAAAATCCGGCTAGATATATATATGATAAAGGGGAAAAAATACATGAAACGAAAATAATCAAAGTAAGAACATACTTTTGGCTACTACTACTATAGGTGCAATTTTTTCTTTAAAGAAATGTTTTTTTTGGCTTATTTTGTCAGTGACTGGCGCTAAATCAGTTTGATGCGCAAATTCCTTATTCTTAAAGACAGCAAAGACAATCTTAGATTCTAGATCCCATATTTACGTTTTGGATGCCGGATTCCTGGTAGTGGATTCCGAATTTCAAACGTAAATGGGATTCCAGATTCCTAGAACTGAATTCAGGATTCCAAATCTCGGGATTCCCAATTCCACAAGCAAAGATTTGCTAGAATTCCTGAATCCACATTACATAACATGTGCCAAGACCGCGCCGTTTATGCAAAAATCACCCTCAGGCTGATTTTTGTAGTCCTAAACAGGGGAACATGCAAATTTTGTCCGACAGCTGTTGATGACAGAACAGTTTAAAACACCAGTTTCACCAGTTTCCATGATAGTTTATTACTTAAGAGTTAATGCTTTCGGCTTTCTGATGTTGTTTTGATTTTTTTTAACAGGTTACCCTTGGTCAGCGGGATGGTATCAGTCCAATAGACGCGCAGCAAATGAACCTGCTCTACAAATCACAGTGCAATGGTGGTGGCGGAGGTAAGTGACATTGTCTTTGTACAACTGTTTATAGCATGACACAGTTGTGACTGCTACTTAAGTTCTTGAATGGCAGGAGTATTTCACAAAACACAGCAGGGGCTTATCTGTGTAGGAGGCTCGAGGTAAGCATGCACAGTTTTCCAAATCAACCCTATCCCTGTTTCCCAAGTCGTTTCCTTGCAGGTAACATGATTAAATTTTTGTTTTGCTGTGCTAGTATGGTGAGGTAATCACCTTAGTCTTGGACTTCAGTCAACAAGCTGTGGCTTTCGCGTGTGGCATGGTTGGGGAAAACACTCTACTTTTCTTTAAAAAAATTGCAATTAAGTGACAAAGTTAAAGTTAAGTGCAGTTACATTGTGTGATTCTACCAACTTGTATTTACCGTCTACTTTCTGTTCAATTCCTTTACTTTTTATTTCTACTTCGTTTTTTTTCGTGTCTTAACCTTATGGGGATTATCCTAAGAGTATTCCAGGGGATAAACTTACGCCAGAACTGCAGATGGACTTTTACTTTCTCTTATCTGCTATTAAAATAGGAGGTAGCTGCGTAGACAAGGACAACAGGTGCTCACGCTGGACGACATATTGCAGCTATCACAAATACGTGAGAGCAAACTGCAAAAAGACCTGCGGACTGTGCTGAGCACACGAAAAAAGTGGCAAGTTAGTATTCATTTTAGACTACTTTCATTAAAATGTGATCACGTGGCCTTAAAAAATGGATTGAGCGCAGAATACGACTTTTTAAATTTGCTTCTGTGAAGCCATAATGCTCCCAGAAAACCACAACTTTGCTACATACATCGAATGCATCATTATTCACCTGTAATAATCATTTTTTTTTATGGACATTAAGGTTATTTTTATGTTGCGCCTCTACTTTAGCATCGACCAAGAAGGGGCAAAAATACCAATTTGCAGCTCTAGGCAAGAAAAATTCACATGCCAATTTTTCATTTTGTTTACATATTGCAGTTAAGCAATTAAAGATAAATCAGGTGCTTTTGGTTTCTAGAAAATCCCTTTGACTTGGTATAGTTTAATAAATTTGCCTATTTCATTTCTTGCAGATCATTTGCCTCTGGAAACTATAGACCTGACTGGCTTTCAAAAAGAAGTCTTATTTGACAAGTAGAATGAATAAAAAGAAGAGCATTTAAAATTTTTCTCGAGGTTTTTCTTTTTGCATTTTTGTCCCCAATTCGACACGTTAGAAACGAGAAGAGGACTGGAACGCGTCGGTCAGCTATTGGCCAAATCTCGTAACCAGATCTCCCACGTGTAAAACAGAGTGAGATCTGGGTACGAGATTACTATTGGCCAAGTTCTTCCCGTGTCCTCAGTAACACTCCCAGAAGTTATTACCGAAGAACAAAAAAAGACTCGTCCCAGTTTCTTTCTGGTTTCTAAAGTGGCGAATTAGTACTTTTGTGCTTGGAAATACATTAACACTTTAAAAATAAAGTGCATTATTTTTTACAATTTCTTTCGTAACCAAAATGGCAGTATATTCTTCATTAACATATGTTACTCTAATACAGGAAGTGGCTGGACTGGTTCAGTAAAGTGGCCGAAACATGCGCACATTTGGGAGAAGGTTCTTTAATCTGATTTTGTTGTCAGATTAATGAGAGAGTTCCTCGTAAAAATGCCACCAATGTTTTGTCACTACCAAAATTCCTTCCTATAACAGCTGCCAATTAAGCAAGGTGCAGTTATTGAAACGGAGTTTTTAGCTTTGCACTTCGGCAAACTCAAGAAAAAATTTAAATGCGTCAATAACAGGAATCCTTGTAAACAAAGCATATAATGATAACATGGAAAGTGCTGCTTAAAACCGTTTTCTCAACATTATTACAAAAAGGGTGGTCATAAGCGACCGCCCTGTTCGCCACACCCCAAACAAGACTTAAATACCATTTTGGTCCAAAACCGAAAAAATCCCTGACGACCATTAAGTTTCTTTTAAGAATATTTTTCCCAACAAAGAATCAACGAAAAAACTTCAAATTTTAGATGAAAATTAAAAGCCAACCCTTTGGAAAAATCCAAATTTGGCGACTATCTGAAATAGAAAATTTAAAGTATAGAAAGGCTGGTTTTGTAACTAGAGGATGACTCAAGGGAATTTCTAGGCTTATCTTCCCGAAAGAGTCAAAAGTCAAGATTTCAAATTTTATGCAAAAATCATGGGCTAACCCCTTTGAAAAAATTCGGAGTTGGCGAAGATCTAAAATCGACATTTTTATAGTCTAGAAAGGCTTGTTTTCTATCCAAAACATTTATTTACCATTTGTAAGCTTATTGTTCGTCCCAAAAAGATTAAATAAAGAACAGACAATGAAAGAATTTCAAATTTTTGACCTAAATCATGGGTTAACCTCTTTGAAAATATCCAATATTGTCGACTACCTAAAATCGACATTTTTATAGTTTAGAAAGGTTTCTATCCATGCAGAAGCATACAATATTACAATGTTTGTCGACTATCTAAAATCAATTTTTTTATAGTCTATTGTAACCCGCTATATCGGAAAAATGATAACAATCATCAAGTCTCAGAAATAGCTAGAAATCCCAATAATAGGAACTGAATTTTCACTCGAAGTTAGCCTAGAAAATTCGTAAGCTTATCAAATTTATTAGATATACGACGAATGTTCATATGGAGGGAAAGGCCAGTTTCAAGACAACTGCATGCATTTTAAATTTAGGCGAATTTGGTTTTCGGCTAACATGTTGTTAAAGCTATCTTCGGTATTGTATTCACAGCTATAGTTTTCTAAATAAACACGCACGTCTGGATCACTGTCTTTACTCCCAAAGACTAAAATTTTTATAGGATTCACAAAACAAAGGATTAAACTTTAATGAGCTCATTTATCAGGATCAAAATTAATGGTACCGAGCCATTCATAAATTCAAACAGAGTTAGCCGAAATTGATCATCGTCTAAACTATAAAATGGCGAGGACGATAGAATATTAACTCGCTGGTTTATCACGAATGACTAAGCGATCGAGTACAAAATATTACAAGCAATTTTACCCGACAACGCGACGTCCTCACTGATCACGAAGTGAAAACCAACGGGCCTTTCTTTTCGGGCTTTTCTTTGAACTTGTTCTCGTTGCTTTCAGTCGCGAAGACAACACATTTGCGTTGGCACTGCCTTTCTCCTTTCGTCGCTTCACACGATGAACTCTCTCAATGTCTATATCCAGGCAAAGCTTGGCCTCGATGATGACGTCTTTTCGATTCCACTTCATCCCAAGTCTCCCTCTCACTCTAGGCAATCCCTTTAACATGAAGATTGTTTTCGACTGATTTTCTAGGTACTCCGATTTAAGCTCTCGTTGAGCCAGAACTGAATTTAAGATCATTCCTCTGTTTTGCAATGCACAATTCTACTCCGCATCATTTTTCCAAGATGGCGGCCTTCCCCACTGAATTGACGGAATGGGCTATTTTTGGCGTTTTTAACAGTTTAAATGATTGAGAAATATGCTGTACGTAAGGAAAACTTTTAAAAAAGGCGATAAATCAGGAAGGTATGAAAATGCAGGTAAAAGTTGCTGAAAGTATTCCGAAGACGTGTTAGTCATGAGGAACGATAATAGACCTTGTCACGGTTTTCGACGCCATCTTGACGAGTAGGCAAACGCGTGAGAAATTACAGTGTTTGTATGAGAATCCAATGTCGAATAATTTCTGTAAAACGGCTGTTCTGAAAAAAATATGAATTTTAAACTAAAGCTACGCAGCAAAGGATGTTACTAACAAATTTTTGGGGCTGTTACGGTGCTTAAATTTCTCCAGAAGCTTGCTTTAGATTGTCCATATATTTGTCTGCAATTTTTCCCGGGAAATTTTTACAGACAAATGTATAGAAAATATTTAAAAAAGGTTCTAGGTCTTCTAATGCATGTAACGCCCTCAAATTTTGTCAGTAGAATCCTTAAGAGTGAAGCATTAATTTACAATTCACAGTTTTTTCAAAGCAGCCGTTTTACGGAAATTATTCGTCATTTAAATAGATTCTCATATAAACACTGTAATTTCTCACGCGTTTGCCTACTCGTCAAGATGGCGTCGAAAACCGTGACAAGGTCTATTCGTCGAACACTTGCAGGTCGCTGTGTCTTTGTAAAACAAGAAAAGTGGATTTCCGCTTCAGTTGTCGACGTTTTTCAAGTAAACAAATCTCAGCTTGGAAAATTCTTTCATCTATTTTGTCCAAACAGTGAATGTGGTGAAACGAAGGCTTATCAAGCCGATAGTTCTCTTGGGAGACCTCTTTTTAATTTTCTATGTACTTAGAAGGTTGCAGTTCTGTTGCTGATCGTTCAAAATCACCTCAAGTTGAGTATTTTATAGGGCTCAAACGACCTCAAAGCAGGATAACTGGACCTTATTACTTTTGCCTAAATAGACTCTAACGTCAAATTGTAAAAGAGAAGGAAAATTTATCGCTAAGTAGAATGTCAACAAACCGTGTAAAATCACTATTACAAGTCACTAATATATTATAAGATGATTTTTTAAAAATCATTGTACATGTGTGGCCTTGTATTTTTTCTAACATAATTAGACCAACCAACTTATTTATTTAACAATGGATGTAGAAATTCTCACAGGGGGTTTACGAGATTGATTTTACTTTTATCGTTGTAATCAACTTTCAAATAGTTCCTGTGGGAAAACAAAAATTTGATGTAATTTGTGAGAGGCTCCTGATTACCAAAACTGTTACCCTAATTCAAAATCAAGCGTGGCGACCTCACATTTTTTTTTAAAATTTAAATCAATCCTTTTGGCACCAAACTTCATGTAAACAAAAAATAAGCAAATTGTCAATGTTTGAAATATGTGAAATAATAGGGGAAAATGTCATCTGAAAAAATAATTTTTGCTTTGAGTTTTGTAACCATGGCAACAACTTTAACGAAAAAGTACGCAACTATGATAAGTTTTTGTTTTAGCATACAGAAAATAGGTCCTCAATATCCAAGCGTACTTACTATGTTGACTTTTTGTGTTCTGGACAGCTCTGAATTTTTGTTATTTTGCCTTTAAAAATTGAGAAACTATAGACTAAAGATCGATCATAAATAGGACATTTGCACGATGGCGTCATTTTACTACTACGACCAGAATCCTTTTTGTTTTTCCTTTCATATTTAAATTTTGTAATCCCTGAGTGTGGTTTGAATAACAAAAGCCCTAATTAGCACAAGATAGCAAAACCCTGAAGGATTCTGTTCGTAGTAGTAAAATGATGTCATCGTGCAAATGGCCTATTGACTACAAATACTCTCATGAAGAGGGGGGTATTTTCACCCATCATATCTCAATAGTAAGCATGGGGACCCCCATTTTTTATTTCATTTCTACGTTTCATGTAATTAACTTCTCGTACGGAAAGTGTGATAAAAATCTCAGTGTAGCTTCCATTTCAGAGGAATGACCTTAAATGATCGATCTCGTCCTTAGCCTCCCCTAGCTCAGACGCAAGGAGCTTAAGTTCCTCAATGTCTTGTAGGGAAAACTCCAAACTTGCTTTGATGAAAGTAACCGGTTGAACCACGTCATCCATTCTCGCCGTGAGTGAAATCACAACTGATTCAAACAGCGATCATAATAGTATCGATTCTCGTACTGTCAGCATTTCTCGAACTGTTCGCTAAAGTAGACAAGCTCTTCTGTGTCCACGGATGCTTGAGCTTCGTCGGTTTTGGAGATCTTGTTCAGCGCCATGAGCGGCCACGTGGTGTTTTGTTTGTTTAGGAGAACGTTTTTTCCCCATAATTACACAAATTTCGATAGCAAGTAGAGCTACACATAGATAATAAATATTTCAACTCAAAAGACTTTGTTGACTTGAGGAGATAACGATTATAAAGGTTTTTTAATACAAGATTTCATAACTGTTTTTCGGGCTACAGAGCTGCAAGTGCCTTTGGAAGTGATTTTAAAATTTTGAAAACCGATTAATTTTGAGTCCTCCGTGTTGCATCTTCTTTGCGTATGAGCGTGTGCTAGCAGAAGGCGTCTCTTTATTTTACCTGTTACTGACGAAAGATTTTCGAATTTCTAATGCCTGTAAAATCCCCGAAAAAAAGCATTGGAGAGCTAAAGAGGCAGCTCGGGGAAGCAAAGATAGATTTGAAGAAACTGGAGAAACGGAGTTTCAGAGCAAGAACGTAGTGTGAGAAATGTCAGTGATAGCTTCGCGGTGAAAAAAAAGGGGGCATCTCTTACAAACATCGAAGAACGGCTGCTTAAACTAGAATCTACAATTGATGAGCTTCAGAGTCTTACGCTGCATTGACACTTTTCCGTCCCATTCGAGCATACGGAAATACAAATTCCATCGAAACACAATACCATGTAAATAAACTTCTGTGAAAACACTTCTGTACGCACGTCTGTACGCCGGCATTAGCACCCACGCGCACGTTTTTCATTGTCAATAAGCTAAACAAACTAATGCACAGGGAAACACGTCCGTACGCATCAGCACCCACGCGCAAGGTTTTCTATGTCAATAAGCGAAATTTAATGTCAATAAGCTAAACAAATTAATGCAGCTTTCCTTGAATATTTACCCAGAATGACTTAAAAAAAAAAAAACTGTAAAATAGTGAATAAGGTCAGGGGAAGGGGAGTTCAGGGTGGGGACGCCCATATTTTTTGGTCGTTGCCACCCAATAAACAATCGCAGTGAAATAGCTCCGGCGTTCAATTAAATCTCTGGAGTTCAATACTTTAAATTTTAATACTTTTTTTCCGATTTATATATACCCATGGTTATTTTGAGCAGGGGGACAGCGCGAGGGTCTTGGAGAATAGGGGGCAGAAGGGGGATACGAAAGAGGGAAGAGAAAAGAGCGGGAGGTGTGGGTTCTAAAATGGTAGAAAGCGGTAGAAATAGGGGGAAATTAAAAGGTTTTAAGGGTGGAAGCCAAGAAAAAAGGGGTAGGATCCAGGAGTGCAAGGTACAGGGGGCGGGAGGCTTGGACCCCTCTGTCCACCCACTATTTAAGAGCTATATATTTGAGTTACTCCTATTCTCCATCCTCTAAATTTCCCCAAAACCCTAAGCCCCTAAGATTCATTAAGATTTTGAGTAAATCTACCGTAGTGAAGGGAATTTAACCAAATGTGGCTTTTCATCTAGAGCATATGTTCAAAAATATACTTCACTTATTTTTCTCATGCTAATGCAATTTGTACCACATTTAAACTTTAAACGCAAAAATCAAACAGATAAGTTTCGCATCTGCACAGGTGAGATGAAAGCCTTTCCGATAAATTTTCAAGTCTTTTAGCGAATCATTACCACAAGTTGCTTCAGCCTGGTGTGAATAAGACTGAACGCTGAGTACCATGAAGTGGTTGTACGTAGAGCCATGTTCAGCGCCATGAGCGGCCACGAGGTGTTTGGCTTGTTTAGGAGGACGTTTTTTCACCGTAATTACACAAATTTCGATAACAAGTAGAGCTACACATAAATAATAAATATTTTAACTCAAAAGACTTTGTTGACTTGAGGAGATAACGATTATAACGGTTTTTTAAAACAAGATTTCATCTTCTTTGCGTGTGTGCGTGCGCTAGCAGAACGCGTCTCTTTATTTTACCTGTTACTGACGAAAGATTTTCGAATTTCTAATGCCTGTAAAATCCCCGAAAAAAAGCATTGGAGAGCTAAAGAGGCAGCTCGGGGAAGCAAAGATAGATTTGAAGAAACTGGAGTAACGGAGTCTCAGAGCAATAACGTAGTGTGAGAAATGTCAGTGATAGCTTCGCGGTGAAAAAAAGGGGGCATCTCTTACAAACATCGAAGAACGGCTGCTTAAACTAGAATATACAATTGATGAGCTTCAGAGTCTTACGCTGCATTGACACCTTTCCGTCCCATTCGAGCATACGGAAATCTAAGAAAACTAAAAATAAGCTTTTATATGAGAGCAATAAAGACCTGTACAAATTCCATCGAAACACAATTCTCACCCTTACTCGTCATAGTAAGCCAGTATTCCTACGTCTTTTTATCCTTTCTCTATCCTCTTAATTATGATTAATATATTTATAGAAATTATTGTATTTAATCTGTAATATCATATTTATTATCCTGTAACTTTCTTTGTATTAATATTGTAATTTAAGTGTAAGCGATACGTTTCCATACTACTTGCCTCGATTAGCTTCACTATTTGCAGGCAGTCTGTACTTGTACTTTATCGATTTTACCATGTAAATAAACTTCTGTGAAAACACTTCTGTACGCACGTCTGTACGCATTAGCACCATCCTCGGAGACCCAGGGGCAGTCAGTCGGGTCGGGAAAAAGACGGGACGAAAGTTTTTATTACGGGCGAAAGAGCCCTGGGTACCGACTCTCACCGAACTATTTCCAAAAATTCGAGCGGATGCCGGCTCCTGATTGGGCACAAAAAAATGCTTTGTATTATTGTGCCCAATCGGCGAACAGTTTCTCCTGAGTTCTTTTCGTGAGTTTGTACACGACGGCTATTGTCTCGCCACAATTGCCCGGTTCGTTCACCAATGCAAGCTTGTGCGTACAAGGGAAACTTTTATTTTCTACTTTCCTAACCAGAAACAAAGGAACTACCGATGAGTTGAATAAACGTTTGGGTTACTATCAGCAAGAGCAATTGAATTTGCCCCGAGAATATTCTGTTTTGAAGGATCACATTTAAGAGGCAGCGGCGATGAGAAATTCAAATGAGTAACAGCTTGACAAGGCACAACAACAACTTTGCACGTGCATCACGCTTTTTTGTACATTTCTTTGCTGTCAACTGCACGACTACTCGTGAAAATGCCAAATTTCACGTTTTGTGAAGGACGTAAACAAGCAATAACAAAATTCATTCTCTCTTCATGGACTTTGATATGGTTCAGAAGAGTTCGCTTGCATTTGTCAAAGTAAACGAGTTGGATCAGATGGGGATTTTATATCAAACTGAAAGTTTCCGGACTGCGTGCATTTATCGAGACAATAGCCGTCATGTAAGAACACACGAAGAGAACTTATTGAGATGTGTTCGCCGATTGGGCACAATAATACAAAGCATTTTTTGTGCCCAATCAGGAGCCGGCATCCGCTTGAATTTTTGGAAATGGTCCGTTGAGAGTCGGTACCCAGGGGCTCTTTCGCCCGTAATAAAAACTTTCGTTCCGCCTTTTCTCCCGACCCGACTGACTGCCCCTGGGTCTCCGAGGATGCATTAGCACCCACGCGCACGTTTTTCAATGTCAATAAGCTAAACAAACTAATGCACAGGGAAACACGTCCGTACGCATCAGCACCCACGCGCAAGGTTTTCTATGTCAATAAGCGAAATTTAATGTCAATAGGCTAAACAAACTAATGCAGCTTTCCTTGAATATTTACCCAGAATGACTTAAAAAAAAAAAAAAACTGTAAAATAGTGAATAAGGTCAGGGGAAGGGGAGTTCAGGGTGGGGACGCCCATATTTTTTGGTCGTTGTCACCCAATAAACAATCGCAGCGAAATAGCTCCGGCGCTCAATTAAATCTCTGGAGTTCAATACTTTAAATTTTAATACTTTTTTCCTGTTTATATATACCCATGGTTATTTTGAGCAGGGGGACAGCGCGAGGGTCTTGGAGAATAGGGAGCAGAAGGGGGATACGAAAGAGAGAAGAGGAAAGAGCGGGAGGTGTGGGTTCTAAAATGGTAGAAAGCGGTAGAAATAGGGGGAAATTAAAAGGTTTTAAGGGTGGAGGCCAAGAAAAAAAGGGGTAGGAGCCAGGAGTGCAAGGTACACGAGGTGGGAGGCTTGGACCCCCCTGTCCACCCACTATTTAAGAGCTATATATTTGAGTTACTCCTATTCTCCATCCTCTAAATTTCCCCAAAACCCTAAGCCCTAAGATTCATTAAAATTTTGAGTAAATCTACCGTAGTGAAGGGAATTTAACCAAATGTGGCTTTTCATCTAGAGCATATGTTCAAAAATACACTTCACTTATTTTTCTCATGCTAATGCAGTTTGTACCACATGTAAACTTTAAACGCAAAAATCAAACAGATAAGTTTCACATCTGCACAGGTGAGATGAAAGCCTTTCCGATAAATTTTCAAGTCTTTTGGCGAATCATTACCACAAGTTGCTTCAGCCTGGTGTGAATAAGACTGAACGCTGAGTACCATGAAGTGGTTGTACGTAGCCTTTACATTGTACGTGAAGTTTGCTGCGTCCGGAAATCCAGAGGGTAAGTTACAAATTTGTATCACGTTTTTTAGTTCCCTACTTTCTAGTTTAAGATTACGTTAAAAATCTAGACATCCAAAAAGAGCGCGAAGCGGCTAAATCATAACACCCCTCTGTAACAGACCCAGTGGAATCGACATTCACCGGTTTTTCGGAAGGAAAAAAACCCTATTTCGGTTAATTTTCTCGAATTTTCCAGAGTACTTTTTCTCAGTATCCGCTATCGTCAGTTATCTAAATTTCCATGACAGGAAGCAATGCCTTAATTCAGTTTCCTCCTTTTATTTTACTTAATCATTCCCTGTGCCCAGCAAAAAAAAAACAAAAACAAAAACAAAACAAAACAACGAACAAACAAACAACAACTACAACATCAAGTAAAACTTCAAAACAGTTTTGCAATAAACAAAGGAATCCTGTGTATGACTCTCCTGAAACTTCAGCCCCTTCTGTCTTGTCTTTTAATCTTTTTTTTCTTTTTTTTTTTTTTTATCCATGTTGACTTTTTGCTTGCGTCAAACAAACAAAAAATAAGCCGGGTAGGTAAAAACACGCCCGACAGTGACCAGGGAAGCAAAGAAACAGCCGGGTAGAAACAAAATATTCGCCATGTAGACTAACCTTTTACAGCATGCCTATGGACGAAACATCCAGTACTGGGACGGGTGTATAGAGGGGAAATGTATAGTATATCCAGCTATTTCCAAATCGTAATTTCGCTTATCTCCGGAAATAAATTGGGACCGGAAAGGTTCTGATCGGTGACCTCATGTTGGTCAGTTGAGCTGGTTTATTCGTTCAGAATTTTATTGTTTTCATTGTAGAGAATGAGGGTGTGTATGATCCAGACCTGTTTGAAGGTGACATGATTCTGACGCCTGATCAACGCATGGCGGCAGAATTGGGACTGGATGTGGACAATCCACTAGGAAGAGGCGCGACTATAGGCAGACAGTGGCCTCGCGGCGACTTGGTCTACGTCATCGACTCAAGTCTATGTACGTTTGAATTCGCAGTTTCTTTAAACAAATATGTCTTACGACACGATGCCTTATGACACGTGTGCGGTGTTATAGGTCACACTGCTTTAAACAAAAGCCTAAGCGTGCCAAATATACGCATATCCGTGACATTGTAACACAGAAATCGTGACGTGTCATGACACGCGTGCCCGTGAATTCACCTTATTCCCTGAAATCCCGTGGAGGGCCAAATATTCCTAATTTAGCATAGCACCGCAATTTTTCTGAAGGAAATGTGCCGTGTAGATTGCTATTCCATTTATTTGTTTATTCGTAAGTGTTTTGAAGCAGAAAATTTCCACCAACATCGGATCGATCTAGGAGGCTGGCCAATGGTTGGCTAGCGCGGGACTTGATTTTGTAACAGCTTCTGCCGCAGTTGAATTGGTCATGGTTGTTTTTTTTTTTAATATATACTCCATTCAGCTAAGGAGGTCAAAGCCGTGAAAGCCATCAGGGAAGCAATGACGGAATGGTCAAGCAAAACTTGCATACGCTTCAAGAAAAGAACAAACGAGACGGCTTACGTTAGATTTAAGCTTGGCTCAGGGTAAATACGTATTATACGTTGTATCGCTTTCAGTAATTTTACGTTGTATTGCATTCAGTAATTTTACAGTCATTGTAATAATATTCTTGATGTGCGGTTGTAATGGCTTTTGCTTCATCGTCATGTAGCTGTTCATCTCATGTTGGAAGACTTGGCAGGCGCCAAGATATCAACCTCGCCCGAGGCTGCTGGACCCGCGGAATTGTTGCTCATGAAATCGGTGAGTGTAGAAAAACATGGACGACATAGTCGAAAACTGTAAATACTATCTGTTTAGAACATGAGGCATAAAGGCACAGTTTTCTAAATTTATAAGACACAAATGACTTTAAAACATCTACAGAAAATCTACTTTTAAGGGGTGCCTAACGACGGTTTCCTCGTAAATGCTTTGAAAACACTTTTTAGGCTATCCAGAGTACATACTTTTAGATCTCTAGGAGTGTATTCTAAGTGGCGCTAAAAAATTTATATCTGTTCGGTCATCCCAGGGCAACTATGTTGCAGCCGATAAGAATAAGATTTACAGCTCTGTCCTACTTTGAAACAACATTTACCTACGAGTATTTACGTTTACCCACGTACCCACGCTAACGAAGCAGTCATCGATCGGCAAACAAAATTTGTAAACAAACATTTTATTACTGATCTCTCTGTTTGCCTTATTAAGCCTAGAAATGCCTGCAAATGGCGCCTGAGCAGTCACAAAAACCCACAACGTATGAGTATAAAGATTATCCTAAATTGAGCATAATTTTTAATTGCTTATTAGCAAATGAAAAAATTCATTCGCGTTGCTTCGGGTCAGTGTTCCGCAAAACAAATGTTATCGAGTAGAAAAGAAACCAGATTATAAACAAAATATTTAGGCAATAATTTATTTTAAAAACATCAATTCTTAAACATAATTATACGATCATACTGCAAAGATACAAGGAAAAGTTCAAGTGTACCAGATCGGTGAAGATCGCGTGGCCTGTTGCGTACTTTTCGGTATAACTACAGGTCGGAGTCAAAAATCAAATCAGAGTTGAACAAACTCATGCCTTTACCACTTTCCAAGTGTCGTGTATTCTTTTCGTAAGCCACATACTACTCGCAGAACCATACCAGATCGATCGGCTAAGCTTCTGTACATATGTCCAAAGACTCTTAAGAACGTCAGTGTTGCCGGTAGCCCGCGACGTCGCTTCTGAGACTCCATTCACAAATTGATTTTTCGTTTCCTAAACGCCTTTGTCAATGGAAAGAACGACCGCAATTAGCATGAGCAAAGGAAAAGTCCGCTGACCAGCACTTCGCTTTTTTCAAGGCCCCATTCTCTCTTGTTTTCTCCGTATAAGATCATTTTATTTTTACGCCAGTACTGATTGAGATCAATCTGGCAAATATCGCGAAAGCTGTTGGTATTCTCTGCCATTTTTATTACTTAGAATCGAAAGCAATGGCAGCCTCGTACAATTCACAGTCTTTGCATCAACGCAACGCGCGCGAGTAATGCTTGAGAACCGTTTAATAGCCCGATCTCGAGAGTAAATTTACTTTTATTCACCTTGATTGTACGCAAAGGCAAAGTTTCCGAAACATTGATCATGCGATCTTGGACATGGGTAAAAAAAAAAAAGAGAAAAAATACGTCACCTGAAACGTAACGGAAACGAGAAAGAACGGAAATGTGATAACAGAAATGTGGCGGAAACATTATCGTTCGTTTCCGACGCGGAAACATGACGGAAACTCGTCCCGTCCATGGAAAACTAGATCACCATGTTTCTGCAGGGCGGCAACGTGACCGATATAAGCAATTTCCCGTTTCCGTCGACTTAACAAAATACGGAAACACGTTATTTCGCCCTTAATTATTGTGCATCGAGATAAATCGCTTGAACACAAAACAATTTAAGTTCGCGTAATCAGTGCTCAGCACTATGACTCAGGCTTGACTTAAACAAGGTCACGAGCTATTGTATTTCAAGGTGCGTTTAGTTCAGTCTTTTACAGTGAGCTTTATTTTACAATGGACAGTTTAGAACACCAATAATATGTGACATGTAGGGAAGCGTTACTTTTGTAAACAAAGCTCATTAATGCTTTAAAAAATCTTCGTTTACAATTTTCATTACATTTACTTCCCCAAAGCCATCCCAAGTAAAATATGATATATAAGTAGCAGCCTTATTCATAAACACAACTGTGTCTTGTAACTCAAACCTAACAAAAACCGCATTGTCAAATCTGGTGTTGTTCCGGTACCGCTTAGCGACCATTTTCTGGTATTTTGCATAATTAAAGCTGGTATTACAACAAAGGCTAAACCGAGAATGCTCGAGTATCGCTCCAAAAAGAATTTTAATCCGACTTTATATTCCCTGGCATATTGTTGAAAACGAGGACAACGTCGACGATGCCTTGTTTACGTGGAATAAAATGTTTTCGGAGGTTGCTGATCAACACGCACCAGTAAAAAGAAGGCGTGTCAAGGGAACACCTCTTCCCTGGATGAACAGTCAGATAAGTGATTCTATGAAAGAACGTGACTGGGCGCATAGAAAGGCGCGAAAATCGAACTCGGCGCGTCATTGGTCAATGTATGCAAAGCTTAGGAACAAGGTTAATGGCTTAGTACGAACTTCCAAGTCTAAATATTACTGTGACATGATCGAGGAAGCCAAGGGTGACTCAGATAAGGTGTGGAAAGCAGTGAACGAAGCATGCAATCGGAACTCATCTCCAGAGAGTATTCAGTGTATTATCTCTGATGGTGTTCAGCATATAACATCCCAATCCATTGCTTCTTCAATGAATAGCTTCTTTGCTTCCGTTGGCCGAATTCTAGCAAGTAGAATACAGACTCCCGTCTTGAATTTAAAATCCATTTCAAAACACCCGCTTTTCCAGTTCGAGTTGACTGAATTGGATCAATCATTTGTGCTTGAGCAGCTCTTGTCATTGAAAGCAAACAAACCGATTGGTCTTGACAAAATTAGCGCGAGACTTCTTAAAATCTCAGCTCACACAATTGCACCATCTGTTGTTAAACTTTTGAATCTTTCAATTCGCACTAGTCAATTCCCCAAATTGTGGAATGCGCGAAAATCACGGCATTGTTTAAGTCAGGTGACAGGACCAACGTTTCCAACTACCGCTCCATCTCAATCCTCCCTACACTAAGCAAGATTCTGGAAAGAGCGGTACACTTGCAGTTGTATCAGTACTTGATTACCAATAATTTATTGTCCAACAAGCAGTTTGGTTTCCGGAAGGGTTTCTCAACTACAACAGCTTTGACCTCATTGGCTGATGAAGTGCTCTTAAACATGGAAGAAGGAAAGCTTTGCGGGGCCGTGTTCATCGATCTAACCAAGGCATTTGACACGGTAGACCATCAAATAATGTTATGCAAGCTATACGAGATCGGCCTTTCTGAAACAGCTCTTCATTGGTTCCGTTCTTACTTAACTGGTAGACAACAGCGCACATCATGTGGAAATGAGTTATCTGAGGAACTTCCAGTCACGCATGGGGTGCCACAGGGTAGCATTCTAGGGCCTCTGTTGTTTGTGATTTACATAAATAACTTGCCAAATGTGCTTAACTCCTGCTACGCGTCACTTTATGCAGACGACACTGTAATTTATTGCTATGGTAAATCCTCAAAGGAGTTGAGTGATAAGTTAAATAACGATCTACTGGGTGTGGCGAAATGGCTTCATGATCACAAACTGACTTTAAATTTGGACAAAACTAAATGCATGCTTATCGGTAGTAATAGGAAACGCGAAAGCAAAGTAGATTTGACTGTTTCAATTTTAGATCATAGTAGAAGTAATGTTCGCAGCTTTAAATACCTCGGTATACATATATCTTCGGATTTCACATGGACTGATCATATTGAACACCTAACTGGGAAAATCAATCAGAGGCTTGGGCTTCTCAAGCGTATAAAACATTTATTGCCTTTCAGGGCGCGTCTACTTTTCTATAAAAGTCTTGTTATGCCCCTTTTTGAATATGCTGATCTAGTATGGGGCGATAAACATAATATTACCCTTATGTCTAGTTTGCAAGTTTTGCAAAATAAGGCCGCTAAAGTTATTTTAAATAGACCATTGTCCTCATCCTCCACTGAGGCATTAGCCGTTCTCAAGTGGCTGCCTCTAGATAAAAGGCGATTTCAAAGAAGGTGTGTACACGTATACAAATGCATCAATGGCCTAATTAATCACGATATGGACTTGATTAGACAAGACGTACTTCATAGGCATAATACACGTAACAACGGCAATTTTAGATTACCACGTGTCAAAAGAAATTGGGGGAAGCAAAGAACACAATATCATGCCGTTTCCGATTTTAACTCCCTCAGTCAGACGACCAAAGACTCAAGGAATGTAAATAGTTTTAAACGTAATGTTTTTAAGTTTTTAATATAGCTACTTACGTTTAATTTTCACTTATACTTATTTTTAATTTTTTATGCATTTTTTGTATCTTTTTAATCCCTTTGCAATTTTATAGCTTTTTTTTGTTTTTATAATATATATCTAGTTTTGAGGTCCTTTTTGAAAACCATATCTTTTATGAAAAAGTTTCCTCAATAAAAAGGATTATTATTATATTATAAAAATTTATTATTGCTGGCCTTCTATTCGGATCCTATTATTTGAAAAGAAAATCTGTATTTCGGCTGCTCAGAATAATAAATATTTGTGTGACCATGACAGGAAAATTAATTTTCCCTTTAAGAGACATTTTAACAAATTAACTCTTTCAAGGAAGTCAGAGGGAGGTGAAATTTAACAATCATTCATTTCTTCTTTTCTTCTACTTTCATTGTTTCCAAATATGAAAAATTGTTCGTTACATAGCATTCACAGAAGATAAACATGTTCGATTGGCATAATATTGCTTCAAGGAAAACGACAAGTACGTAGACATAGAGTTTCCTATAAGATCAAACCATTCTGCACTTTACATTAAGATAAATCCGTGTAATAAATGGGTGGAGAGGATGGCTGTGATGGGGGTTTGGAGGCCATTATCAGGACAAATTGTCAATTTATGTGGTCAGTGAAAGTGCACATTTGACAGAGTCTGGGAATTTCAAAACCTGTGGCTGTGGCAACTATGTCTGTCCAAGCTTGTGCATTTTGAGAATTGAGATACCGATCACCTCTACATGACTTGTATGTGGACATTTCATACAAATTCTCTCTTGCATGTGTTTATGTTTCTCATGCATACAAATAACTATGCACACTTGCATAAACGATGTGGTACTTTTTACAGAGATTCAGTGCTGATGAATGCCTGCATGTTAAATAATCATAAGTCATGATCACTTTCATAATTCTCATGAACTTCATCCTTAATGAGATTGCTACATGTAATTCTATTTCGGTGATTATGTTTGCACCTTACTGTTCCAAAAAATAGCTGTTAGGTGTGATTATGTATAAAACAAGTATAAAAACTCTCATTGCTGTTAGCTCACTAACAATAAAATGATATTTTTTGTCCAATAACCAGCATTTTCTTGTTGTTTTCACTGCAGCATTACCTCCTACCATTTCATCCACTCATTTTTTATGCAGTACCAAAAACAGGTACATCTGCATCTGAGGGCTAAAGCCGATACTACTAATGACATCCTTCACATATGCAATGCAATTTTGGCTGCCATTCCTTAACAACAGCAACCCCAATTAAATCCCAGATGGGCACTGGGTTCGAATTAACTCCAACCAAAGGGAGATTGAGAACATCTTAGATGCAATATCAGAGCAGGTGTTGAAATGTCAGTCCCGCCCTACCATCCCTGACATTTTACGGGCCTCCTCCCCCGAACTTCGCAAGGTTCTGCGATAGACGTATTTCTACTAATAAAATAAAAATTCCAGCGGACAAATGCGACCGCTGTACGCGTATGCTATGCATGTGCCTAATGATGTGGAATCAATTTCAGGGCACGCATTAGGATTCTATCACGAACAGTCACGACCTGACAGGGATGAATACGTCACTATCTTATGGGACAACATCAAAACAGGTAAGTTGGAACAAAATAGCATGTCATATAGTTTACATTATGTGATTTAGTCGAGTGAATTCCGTTATAAAAATATAATACTTCAACTTCTTCCAAAAAGGCAACGTTTGCAGCTCTGCATCAGTTATAATTAATGTGTATTCTAATTAAAGCAATTGAAATAGGAATAGAGCACTTTTATGTGATCCTAGCATTGGTACATCAACAGTAGGGCAGGGCTTTTTCTTTTCCGTGGATTCAACGTATTATTTAGGAAATTTTGCTGTAATTACATCAATTCTCATGTTTAACAAGCCGACCTTTTCTTGTCCTAGTCTATTACTATGCTTTATCTAATTATTTAAACTCATTGAGGGTTGGTACGTCCCGAGGTTTCAAATTATTACCAAGCTTCCTTTCTATCGAAGTGATTTGATTTTTTTGAGTTATATTATGAGCTGTTACATACTGTTGACTGAATTAATGATACTTTATGTTTTAAGTTAATAGATTATTTTATATTTAATCGAAGTATAATAACCTTTAGGTAAGAGTCATAATTTCAAAAAGTACAACCGTGGAACAATAGACTCTTTGGGAAGTCCATATGACTATGGAAGCCTGATGCATTATGGGAGCAAAGCTTTCAGCAAAAATGGAAAACCTACGATCGTCGTCAAGCAGTCTGGGGTATGTAATCATTCGATTTTTTAGTTGTGGAAAAAATTCCAGTCTATTTTTTTCTACGGCGTAATTGACGATTACTGATAAAGAATTGTGAAACATGCCTGGAAAACCTACGATCGTCGCCAAGCCGAATTCTCAGGTATGAAGTCATTCGAAATTTTAGCTCTGGGACAAAATCAGTCAATTTTTTTACACAGCCTTCAGACTAACTAAGCATCACTGATTAAGAATTATTAAACGTGCTTTATGTCAGTTTTATTGCATTCGAACTTTTAGTTCGAATGAATTTTTCTTAGTTAAATTAACTCTTTCTAAGCTAAATTAAGTACTTTTTAAATCGACAGGAATTGTAAATAGTGTTTTGAATGAATAGTTTGTTCTTTTTTTCAAGCGAATTAATTGTAAATAAGAATTTAATAGTTAGCATTGTTGTCAATAAATTTTTTTCATCATTAACGAATGCTAGGTCCATTTTTTTTAAATGAAAATGGTGTTTTGCTTATTTTTTCAGTGACTGACGCTAAATCGATTTGATGCCCAATTTCTTGTTCTCAAAGAGAGCAAATTACAGCGAAATTCGTTGTATCGCGCTGCGCGTATTGCAAAATACGAAGGGATTTTGGCTTTTTCTGTTCCGTCAATCATTTTACTGAAGGCGGGGTTAAAGCAAATCACAATGTAACACCTTCTCCCAGCTTGGCTGAGAATGAATCTTACTAGACTGTTCAAGAATAGCGAAGGAAATCGCGATGGAGCGTGGATTTTTGTCGAAGGAAGAAAGGAGACGTTGCTTTATTATTGCATCAGTGACAAGAATGAGAAAGAGCAGAAAAATCTGCGAAGCAATCTTAACTGGTCGATTATTGCCCCAAACAGGACGATCACAAAGCAACGAACCTTGAAAGACGAAACAAACAAAACGGATCGAAATCCACCAATCACGAATCACAATCCATGACCTTTTGAACTAGTGCAAGTAAACATGTGTTTCCTAAGAGGTCCGCTAAGATGATTGACGGAACAGAAAATGCAAAATTCCTTCGAAGTTTGCAAAACGCACAGCGCGATAGAACGAATTTCGCTAAAAATGGGACCGCTCCCTTCATACATGTAAGATAATCCACGACAGTGTCGGATTCTGGATCCCACGCTGTGGATTCCGGTTTCCAGCTACTGGATTTCGGATTCCTTGTCAATGGAACTTGGATAACGGATTCCAATCGTAGGCGGAGTTCCGGATTCCAAGAGCTGAAATCCGGAATCCAAAGCCCAAGATTTCCGATTCCACAGGCCAAAATTCTCCGAGTTCCAGAAGCCGGATTACATGACCGCTCCGTCTATGCAAACAATTGCCCTGAAATATGTAGTGCTTAACAGCCGAACACGCAAATTTTGTCCGACAGTTGTTAATTTTGGAACAGTTTAAAACGCCAGTTTCATCAGTTTGTTGCCATTATACAGGAGTGTATTGCGTAAAGGTTGCAATCTGTTTTTTGATGATGTTTTGAATTTTTTTAACAGGCTACCATAGGTCAGCGGGATCGTGTCAGTTCAAAAGACGCGCAGCAAATGAACCTCCTCTACAAATCACAGTGCGGTAAGATAGATCAAATAAGAACTTTATTTTAACACGATAAGGACACCAACATCACTGGTTAAGAATATTTGTAACGGATATGTATGTTTTTAGTTGCAGCTAAAATAGGTTCGAAATTCATGTTATCAGGTGCCAAATTCTGTAAGACAGCGTTTAAATTCTTTCAAGGTTTTGCCGTTATTCCCTAATTGTTCGTTAAACTGTTCCATGCGATGGCTCCTCTATAACATATGGAGTTTCTGATAAAATTCGTTTGTGGTCTTAGAAAAATGATGTCCTTGTTTCGTCTGCGGCTTAAATTCCTCTGTAAAAACAAATCTTTAAATTCCTTGACTCTGTAACCTTGGTGGTGATAGAGGCGGCGGTGACGGAAGTAAGTGGCATTAGAGACCTTAAGATCGAGGTTTGGTCATTCATTACTGTAAACGACAAATTGCAGTTTGTGGTTAACGGAGAAATTGTCTTCAAAATTACGTTTTTTGAATAGAATTCGATAGTTAATAAGCAAAAGAGTTCCCAAAAGTCGTATTTCTTCTCAAACGTGGGAAGAGGTTGTAAAAAGATCTTTTGGTTATCCGCTGATTGATCTGAAAACTACTACCCATGATAATTGGCGACTGCGAACAAACATCCTGCCCAGCGAAGAAGGTTTTAACCAAGCGTGGTTTCAAGAAAATATTCCTCAAGAGCTTCTAAAATATCGGAAGCAGCAAACTCTTTCACCTGTCCCGCTTGTTCCAGCTAGGCAAGAAATACAGGGAAACATGGATGACGTGCTTTCTCGAAACGATCTTCAAGCCGATGAAAAAGCTAAGCGATACTTTCAGTTGCAAAACAGAAACTTGGCTTTTACCGAAAATTAAATAGAAGAACACGACCGGAAGAAATAATCAGCAGTGTTCCAGACTTAACATCAAGCACACAAGATTCTTCGACAGCAACGACAGCATGCATTCTCCACTCCCCTCAACCCCTTCAACGTAACGCCTGAATTAACAGAAGCAGTCATCTCTCAAAAAGCTGAAAAACAAAGCTTCCTCCCACCACCACCCTTAAATCCTACTTTCCTGACCCCTTCCCCCACAGTAGAAACCACACCACAACAATGCCCGAAGCGCAAAAGGCGTCGGATTCAGTTTTTTAATTATTTGGATGATCATAATGGTCATGGCAAAACAGCTGAGGAAACGAAGTCGGCTTAAGAAATTTCGAGTCAAATCTTACTCGTACTCCATGGGCGAAGAAGATGAGGATTAATTCTTCATTCCTTTCAAATCGCGTTTTATATCTCGTGTCTGGTTTTATGGCTAGCAATTATTAGACGCATGTTTCAATTGATCCTTGTTAAGTTATTAATTGTTTTTATAATAATACGTCAAGGTTCTCCCTTGGGTTTTTTTACTGTAGAGCTAATTTGTATTCAACGGTGAGCTTGTGACCTCGCATAACTAACTGACTAACGGCGCCTGAAACTACAAGACTTAGGGATAGGGTGAGGTTAGGGTTTAGGGTTAACGAAAGCCATGGTGATAAAAAGTGAACAGAATTTTCCAAAACAGCGAACTCCAACAAATTGTTTCCTAGCAAAGTGATTGCAAGAAAGAGAGCGCTTTCAAAAACTGCCTGCTTTTATTTTGAACACTTAACAGATTCTACATGAGCCAATCAGGGTTAAAAGAGACCGCGCAAGTCTGGGCAAGCCTGTTGTGGCTATTGTGTAACGGAGACGCTCATTAACAAACCTATACCGAATTAGTATGCAGGAAGGCTCCCCGAAGGCACTAAATTAGTATGCAAGAAGAACCTTGTACATCTCAATAAAGGGAAGGCACGCGGAAGGCAGGGGGAAGGCACCAATGGGGCTTAATTCTGACCCTTTACCACTACTCACAGTTTTCCAAATCAACCCTATCCCTCGGGGGAGAGCTACTTCCCATACACTCTCTTAAATGAAATCCACACGATGTTCTCACAACTTGCAAAGCGATCAGCAAGGGTCTTGCCAGCGGATTTGTGTACTGATCATGCGCCGCCATTACGTCAAAAACCATAGATCAACGGTCTTGAGAAAAAACAAAAACATGGCAGTCGAAGGCGGGACTGTTTCTCACTATTAAATTTTGGTAATTCGCAAATTTATTGATTTTTTGTCGCTTTTCAGACATAGTGTGTGGTTTTCTTTGTCTGTTAAACAATTTCCCTTTGCAGAGTTTAGCTGAAAATCTTGGGAAAGTTAAAGTAGCTTCAAGGTACAGAGCTTTCAGTAGTACTTGTGATTTGTTTTAGGATCGTTTTGAATTTAACTGTGGGTTCAAGGTTTTGACTGATCGAAATAAACGAAGTGAAATGTTATGAAGTGTTAATTTTTATTCAGTTATGATATGTAGAGCAGTAAGCTCATTTTTATAAAGCTCTCTTGAATATACTTGCTTCCGATAAATTTGACACTTGCTCCAGTAATTTTTATCAGCATCAAGTTATCCTTGCCCGGCCAAGACGATTTAACCTATAAATAAATCCATCGAGTGCGTTTTTGTTGGTTAGGATCTAGCACGGTTGCGTTTTAGTTTCCCCCGCATTTCAGTACCGAAAGACAAATACGATTTGCAAGAAAAACAAAGATGCATGATACGATTTTTTTCAATTCTTTAAGCATTTCTGATTTCCCCTGTGGGTTCGCTTCTTGCTTCTAAAAAGTTTAAAAATATTTACTGTGGGAAAAATACTGTAGTTATCCGCAGACCACCACGCTGGGTGACCGCTTTGCAAGTTGTGAGAACATCGTTTCTCGGTCCCAGACCTCGTCTCTTCCCCTTCCCCACTGCTATCCCTCTTTCTCACGTCGTTTCCATGCCGGTGACATCATTGAATTTTTGTTTTCCTGTCAGTATGGCGATGTAATCACCTTAGTCTTGGACTTCAGGCAACGCGTTGTGGCTTTTGCGTGTTGCATGGTTGGGGAAAACACTGTATTTTTCTTAAAAAAAAAAAAGCAATTAAGTGACAGAAGTTAAAGTCAAGTGGAGTTACTTGAGTGATTCTACCAACTTGTATTTCCTGTTTTGCTTTCTGTTCAATTCCTTTGCTTTGTATTTCTACTTCGCTTTTTTTTTTTTTTCATGTCTTGACCTGATGGGGATTATCCTAAGAGTATTTCAGGGGATAAGCTTACACCAAAACTGGCGATGGACTTTTACTTTGTCTTGTTTGCTGTTAAAACAGGGCTTAGCTGCAGAGACAACTACAGTGCCTGCCGATTCTTGTCGATCGTTTGCGCCGTTAACAGCGTCGTGAGAGCAGAATGCAGAAAGTCCTGCAAACAATGCTAAGCACACGAAAAAGGTGGCAAGTTAGTATTCATTTTAGACTACTTTAATTAAAATGCTTATCTGCAATTTCTCTGACTACAGTTTTTCCAATTAGTGATCAATCAGTGAATCCAATTAGTGGCCTTAAAAAATGGATTGAGCATAGAATACGACTTTTTAAATTTGCTTCTGTGTAGCCTGAATAAACAGCAGACTTTTGGCGACGCCACCACTGTTTTCCCCGCCTGATGAAGTCAGAGAAACGAGCGCAGAAGTTCCATACTGATAACGCGTCACTACCCAGATCTGGCTAGTGACGCGTTATCAGTATGGAATTTCTGCACTCGTTTCTCAGACGTCATTTGGCGGAGAAACCAGTGGTAGCGTGCGTCACCAAAAGGCGGCTGTTTTCTCTGGCTAGCTTTTGTGAAGCCTCAATGCTCCCAGAAAACCAACCCTCTGTTTCGTACATCGAATGCATCTGTAATAATCCATTTTTAATGAACACCAAGGTTTTTTTATATTGCGCCAGCTACTTTAGCCTCGACCGACAGAAGCAAAAATACGTACTTGCATCTCTATGTTAGTAAGAAAAATTCACATGCCAATTTTTCCCCAAAGGTACAGGCTTATTCCGACTGGTTTCTTTACCTAACATGTCGTCATTAAAAGTTAAAGTTAAGTGGCGTTACATGGGTAATTCTACCAACTTGTATTTACCGCCTTGCTTTCTGTTCATTTCCTTTCCTTTGTATTTCTACTTCGTTTTTTTTTTTCATGTCTTGACCTGATGGGGATTATCCTAAGATTATTCCAGGGGATACGTTTACACCAAAACTGGCAATGGACTTTTACTTCTCTTGTTTGCTATTATAGGAGTTAGCTGCAAAGAGAGGACAATGTTTACCTATTGCAGTTAAACAACAAAAGATAAATTAGACGCTTTTCTTTCACGGAAATCTCTTTGACTTGGTATAGTTCAATAAATGTGCGTATTTGATTTCTTGCAGATCATTTGCCTCTGGAAACAAAACTGGGTGACTTTTAAAACGAAGCTTTATTTATCTGGGAATGAATAAATAAAAGAGCATTTAAAATTTTTGAGGAGATTTTCTGTTTGCATTTTTGTCCCCAATTTGTCACTTTAGAAACGAGAAGGAGACTGGTGACGAAATATGTCCCAAATAGGCTATTTCCGATTTGCCTCAAGCCACTTTTTCAAAGCGAGGTTAAGTGTGAAGCCATTGATATGAAAATGATATTTGATTATAATGCAAATAAAACGCATTTACACAACAAAGGTTTCTCACTTAGCCTCGTTTTGAAAGTGAGATTTTTTGGAAATCGGAAATGGCTTATTGCTTCTGGGATCGTTACTGGGAACGCATCGGTCAGCTATTGGCCTAATCTCGTACCCAGATCTCCCACGTGTAAAACAGAGTGAGATCTGGGTACGAGATTACCATTGGACAAGTTTTTCCCTGTCCTTAGTAACAGTCCCAGAAGTTATTGCCACAAAAAAAAAAAAACAAAAGCAAAAAAAACAACAACAACAACAACAACAACAAAAACACTCGTCCCACTCAAGTGAATTAAGGCATGGGTCATCAGCTATTTTCCCGTAAAAATGAAGAACGTAGTGTGAGAAATGTCAGTGTTGGCAGTGCCTCGTCCTCCATCTTGATAGTGAGAAGCCGAAACGAGCATTGATCGCGAGTTCATTGGCCATGAGTATGATGCTATCACGGTGCAGTTAGAAAAAAAAGGGGGCATCTCTTACAAACATCGAAGAACGGCTGCTTAAACTACTGAATCTAGAATTGATGAGCTCATTCAGGATTATACCTACTCGCTACTCGTTCAACCAGGGGCACCCAACGAGAACATAGTGCAAAACCACTTAAACATAGTAGAATGCCTAAAAGTAATAAACGACCCTAAATGTAATAAAGTCCTAAATGTAATAACATTTTGCCCTAAATGTAATAAACTCTTAAGTTGCAAATTACAGTAATTACTCAAATAAGCACCGCATTCGGTGGGATTTAATAAGCGCCGCGACGCTTATTCGCGTAAATACGGTAGTAAGAGGTATTACTATGGTTTTAAGCGCCGCCCTCAAATAAGCGCCGCATTTTTGGAGAAAAAAATTTAATAAGCTTCGGTACATTTCCTTATGCGCTGTGTAACTTGACGTTCACAAATAAATTGCTTGTAAAGGGACAAAAAAAAAAAAAAAAAACTTGTCAGCCTTTAAAAGTTTTTCATACTTCATTTTTGTTAAAGAAATTTACTGCAAAAACCGTGGACGAAGATCCTGTTGCTTGTCATCGTTGAATCTCTAGAAAAGACATCTATAAATCAGCTAAAATATTAAGAACAAAAAACGAGAACTTATAACAACGTTTATAAATAACTAAGATAGTACACGTGCGCTCTGATTGGCCAAGAGATGTGTTTGCATGAGAGTATATAAACATTTGTGGAGTCAAGATGTTTTGCTCTTCGCACGCTAATCACACAAGCCCGAATTTTAAAATGTTTTTGAGATGAAAACTCGACAAATTTACTTTATTTACCCATTCCCTCGTCGGATGAAACCTCGAAAATCTTTACAAACACGCTGTGCCAATTTTAAGCGAGAAAAACACTTTTTTGAAAAAAAAGAGAACTGATTACACGTACATTAAGCTTCGTGTACAAGACTTCGCAACTGGTAAGAATTTCTCTTTTAATCAGTAACCTAAACAAAGAGTTTTTCTTTTTTCTCGGGAAAGTTAGTTTATAAAAGCAATAGAAAACTTTTTCCTGTGTTTGCATAGCCTGATATAAACACTCGAGGGGCTGGGAGAATTCTTGACAGTTATGCAAACCCTAGGCGAATTAAGTCGAGGGTTTGCATATATTAACTGTCTCTTGCTTAAATATTGCTTTTTTCAGAAAAATACTGCTACTTTGTCGTTACAAGCAATTCAATTTATTTGTAAACGTTAAGTTTCGCTGTGCATAAGGAAATGTACCGAATTTACACGAATAAGCGCCGCGAAGCTAATTAACCCCCTAAATGCGGCGCTTATTTGAGGGCGGCACTTATTCGAGTAACTACTGTAATTGGTAACTTAAGAGTTTATTACATTTAAGGCAAATTGTTATTACATTTAGGACAAAATGTTATTACATTTAGGACTTTATTACATTTAGGGTCGTTTATTACATTTAGGCCTTCTACAAACGTATCTCATTATTTAAACGGTAGATATAGGCATATTTTTATCCCCTAAAAATTTCTCATCTGTCCGGATTTCCTAGCTGAAAGTTCAGTGATTCAAAAATACTTACCTTTTAGAAAATTTCAGCCAGAAAAAAGGTTCCCGAAAATTCTAGGTGACCTTTATAGCCGGGTAAAATTCCGTTAAAGATGGGTAATTATACCATTGTTTAGATGTTCGAAAATCCTAGGAGAGGTAAGCAAGCAAGAAATTTTACAAAAAATGTTCCGAAAATTCTATATCTCAAATCGTCTTTCGTCTTCCGAAAAGGTATAGTATTTTCCGAAAATTGACGTTGGGTGCCCCTGTTCAACGTGGGGCTTACCAGAATTGGACGAGTCGGAGAGCGCAGCAGAATTGCCAGCAGACTGTGTGATAGAGTATGTAACGCTATGGGTGCGTCTGTATCTTTAAACGACATCGACATTGCTCACCGCGTCCCACTTGGAGATTCAACGCGGGAAGGCCCCAAATCAATTGTATGTAAGTTTGCAAGGCGGTTGGCTAGAATGATCGGAAGTAATATAATATGGCGGTGTGCAGGCCACCAAGGTCAGCGCCCATATTTTTTGGTCGTTGCCACCCAATAAACAATCGCAGTGAAATAGCTCCTGCGTTCAATTAAATCTCTGGAGTGCAATACTTTAAATTTTAATACTTTTTTCCTGTTTATATATACCCATGGTTATTTTGAGCAGGGGCACAGCGCGAGGGTCTTGGAGAATAGGGAGCAGAAGGGGGATACGAAAGAGGGAAGAGAAAAGAGCGGGAGGTGTGGGTTCTAAAATGGTAGAAAGCGGTAGAAATAGGGGGAAATTAAAAGGTTTTAAGGGTGGAAGCCAAGAAAAAAGGGGTAGGATCCTGGAGTGCAAGGTACAGGGGGCGGGAGGCTTGGACCCCCCTGTCCACCCACTATTTAAGAGCTATATATTTGAGTTACTCCTATTCTCCATCCTCTAAATTTTCCCAAAACCCTAAGCCCCTAAGATTCATTAAGATTTTGAGTAAATCTACCGTAGTGAAGGGAATTTAACCAAATGTGGCTTTTCATCTAGAGCATATGTTCAAAAATATACTTCACTTATTTTTCTCATGCTAATGCAGTTTGTACCACATTTAAACTTTAAAACGCAAACATCAAACAGATAAGTTTCACATCTGCACAGGTGAGATGAAAGCCTTTCCGATAAATTTTCAAGTCTTTTAGCGAATCATTACCACAAGTTGCTTCAGCCTGGTGTGAATAAGACTGAACGCTGAGTACCATGAAGTGGTTGTACCTAGCGCCATGTTCAGCGCCATGAGCGGCCTCGAGGTGTTTGGCTTGTTTAGGAGGACGTTTTTTCACCGTAATTACACAAATTTCGATAACAAGTAGAGCTACACATAAATAATAAATATTTTAACTCAAAAGACTTTGTTGACTTGAGGAGATAACGATTATAACGGTTTTTTAAAACAAGATTTCATCTTCTTTGCGTGTGTGCGTGCGCTAGCAGAACGCGTCTCTTTATTTTACCTGTTACTGACGAAAGATTTTCGAATTTCTAATGCCTGTAAAATCCCCGAAAAAAGCATGGAGAGCTAAAGAGGCAGCTCGGGGAAGCAAAGATAGATTTGAAGAAACTGGAGTAACGGAGTTTCAGAGCAAGAACGTAGTGTGAGAAATGTCAGTGATAGCTTCGCGGTGAAAAAAAAGGGGGGCATCTCTTACAAACATCGAAGAACGGCTGCTTAAACTAGAATCTACAATTGATGAGCTTCAGAGTCTTACGCTGCATTGACACCTTTCCGTCCCATTCGAGCATACGGAAATCTATGAAAACTAAAAATAAGCTTTTATATGAGAGCAATAAAGACCTGTACAAATTCCATCGAAACACAATTCTCACCCTTACTCGTCATAGTAAGCCAGTATTCCTACGTCTTTTTATCCTTTCTCTATCCTCTTAATTATGATTAATATATTTATAGAAATTATTGTATTTAATCTGTAATATCATATTTATTATCCTGTAACTTTCTTTGTATTAATATTGTAATTTAAGTGTAAGCGATACGTTTCCATACTACTTGCCTCGATTAGCTTCACTATTTGCAGGCAGTCTGTACTTGCACTTTATCGATTTTACCATGTAAATAAACTTCTGTGAAAACACTTCTGTACGCACGTCTGTACGCATTAGCACCATCCTCGGAGACCCAGGGGCAGTCAGTCGGGTCGGGAAAAAAGGCGGGACGAAAGTTTTTATTACGGGCGAAAGAGCCCCTGGGTACCGACTCTCACCGAACTATTTCCAAAAATTCGAGCGGATGCCGGCTCCTGATTGGGCACAAAAAATGCTTTGTATTATTGTGCCCAATCGGCGAACAGTTTCTCCTGAGTTCTTTTCGTGAGTTTGTACACGACGGCTATTGTCTCGCCACAATTGCCCGGTTCGTTCACCAATGCAAGCTTGTGCGTACAAGGGAAACTTTTATTTTCTACTTTCCTAACCAGAAACAAAGGAACTACCGATGAGTTGAATAAACGTTTGGGTTACTATCAGCAAGAGCAATTGAATTTGCCCCGAGAATATTCTGTTTTGAAGGATCACAATTAAGAGGCAGCGGCGATGAGAAATTCAAATGAGTAACAGCTTGACAAGGCACAACAACAACTTTGCATGTGCATCACGCTTTTTTGTACATTTCTTTGCTGTCAACTGCACGACTACTCGTGAAAATGCCAAATTTCACGTTTTGTGAAGGACGTAAACAAGCAATAACAAAATTCATTCTCTCTTCATGAACTTTGATATGGTTCAGAAGAGTTCGCTTGCATTTGTCAAAGTAAACGAGTTGGATCAGATGGGGATTTTATATCAAACTGAAAGTTTCCTGACTGCGTGCATTTATCGAGACAATAGCCGTCATGTAAGAACACACGAAGAGAACTTATTGAGATGTGTTCGCCGATTGGGCACAATAATACAAAGCATTTTTTGTGCCCAATCAGGAGCCGGCATCCGCTTGAATTTTTGGAAATGGTCCGTTGAGAGTCGGTACCCAGGGGCTCTTTCGCCCGTAATAAAAACTTTCGTCCCGCCTTTTCTCCCGACCCGACTGACTGCCCCTGGGTCTCCGAGGATGCATTAGCACCCACGCGCACGTTTTTCAATGTCAATAAGCTAAACAAACTAATGCACAGGGAAACACGTCCGTACGCATCAGCACCCACGCGCAAGGTTTTCTATGTCAATAAGCGAAATTTAATGTCAATAAGCTAAACAAACTAATGCAGCTTTCCTTGAATATTTACCCAGAATGACTTTAAAAAAAAAAGGGTAAAATAGTGAATAAGGTCAGGGGAAGGGGAGTTCAGGGTGGGGACGCCCATATTTTTTGGTCGTTGCCACCCAATAAACAATCGCAGCGAAATAGCTCCGGCGCTCAATTAAATCTCTGGAGTTCAATACTTTAAATTTTAATACTTTTTTCCTGTTTATATATACCCATGGTTATTTTGAGCAGGGGGACAGCGCGAGGGTCTTGGAGAATAGGGAGCAGAAGGGGGATACGAAAGAGAGAAGAGGAAAGAGCGGGAGGTGTGGGTTCTAAAATGGTAGAAAGCGGTAGAAATAGGGGGAAATTAAAAGGTTTTAAGGGTGGAGGCCAAGAAAAAAGGGGTAGGAGCCAGGAGTGCAAGGTACACGAGGCGGGAGGCTTGGACCCCCTGTCCACCCACTATTTAAGAGCTATATATTTGAGTTACTCCTATTCTCCATCCTCTAAATTTCCCCAAAACCCTAAGCCCTAAGATTCATTAAAATTTTGAGTAAATCTACCGTAGTGAAGGGAATTTAACCAAATGTGGCTTTTCATCTAGAGCATATGTTCAAAAATAAACTTCACTTATTTTTCTCATGCTAATGCAGTTTGTACCACATGTAAACTTTAAACGCAAACATCAAACAGATAAGTTTCACATCTGCACAGGTGAGATGACAGCCTTTCCGATAAATTTTCAAGTCTTTTGGCGAATCATTACCACAAGTTGCTTCAGCCTGGTGTGAATAAGACTGAACGCTGAGTACCATGAAGTGGTTGTACGTAGCCTTTACATTGTACGTGAAGTTTGCTGCGTCCGGAAATCCAGAGGGTAAGTTACAAATTTGTATCACGTTTTTTAGTTCCCTACTTTCTAGTTTAAGATTACGTTAAAAATCTAGACATCCAAAAAGAGCGCGAAGCGGCTAAATCATAACACCCTCTGTAACAGACCCAGTGGAATCGACATTCACCGGTTTTTCGGAAGGAAAAAAAAAACCCTATTTCGGTTAATTTTCTCGAATTTTCCAGAGTACTTTTTCTCAGTATCCGCTATCGTCAGTTATCTAAATTTCCATGACAGGAAGCAATGCCTTAATTCAGTTTCCTCCTTTTATTTTACTTAATCATTCCCTGTGCCCAGCAAAAAAAAAAAAAAAAAAAAAAAACAAAACAAAACAACGAACAAACAAACAACAACTACAACATCAAGTAAAACTTCAAAACAGTTTTGCAATAAACAAAGGAATCCTGTGTATCACTCTCCTGAAACTTCAGCCCCTTCTGTCTTGTCTTTTAATCTTTTTTTTCTTTTTTTTTTTTTTGATCCATGTTGACTTTTTGCTTGCGTCAAACAAACAAAAAATAAGCCGGGTGGGTAAAAACACGCCCGACAGTGACCAGGGAAGCAAAGAAACAGCCGGGTAGAAACAAAATATTCGCCATGTAGACTAACCTTTTACAGCATGCCTATGGACGAAACATCCAGTACTGGGACGGGTGTATAGAGGGGAAATGTGTAGTATATCCAGCTATTTCCAAATCGTAATTTCGCTTATCTCCGGAAATAAATTGGGACCGGAAAGGTTCTGATCGGTGACCTCATGTTGGTCAGTTGAGCTGGTTTATTCGTTCAGAATTTTATTGTTTTCATTGTAGAGAATGAGGGTGTGTATGATCCAGACCTGTTTGAAGGTGACATGATTCTGACGCCTGATCAACGCATGGCGGCAGAATTGGGACTGGATGTGGACAATCCACTAGGAAGAGGCGCGACTATAGGCAGACAGTGGCCTGGCGGCGACTTGGTCTACGTCATCGACTCAAGTCTATGTACGTTTGAATTCGCAGTTTCTTTAAACAAATATGTCTTACGACACGATGCCTTATGACACGTGTGCGGTGTTATAGGGCACACTGCTTTAAACAAAAGCCTAAGCGTGCCAAATATACGCATATCCGTGACATTGTAACACAGAAATCGTGACGTGTCATGACACGCGTGCCCGTGAATTCACCTTATTCCCTGAAATCCCGTGGAGGGCCAAATATTCCTAATTTAGCATAGCACCGCGATTTTTCTGAAGGAAATGTGCCGTGTAGATTGCTATTCCAATTATTTGTTTATTCGTAAGTGTTTTGAAGCAGAAAATTTCCACCAACATCGGATCGATCTAGGAGGCTGGCCAATGGTTGGCTAGCGCGGGACTTGATTTTGTAACAGCTTCTGCCGCAGTTGAATTGGTCATGGTTGTTTTTTTTTTTTGATATATACTCCATTCAGCTAAGGAGGACAAAGCCGTGAAAGCCATCAGAGAAGCAATGACGGAATGGTCAAGCAAAACTTGCATACGCTTCAAGAAAAGAACAAACGAGACGGCTTACGTTAAATTTAAGCTTGGCTCAGGGTAAATACGTATTATATGTTGTATCGCTTTCAGTAATTTTACGTTGTATTGCATTCAGTAATTTTACAGTCATTGTAATAATATTCTTGATGTGCGGTTGTAATGGCTTTTGCTTCATCGTCATGTAGCTGTTCATCTCATGTTGGACGACTTGGCAGGCGCCAAGATATCAACCTCGCCGGAGGCTGCTGGACCCGCGGAATTGTTGCTCATGAAATCGGTGAGTGTAGAAAAACATGGACGACATAGTCGAAAACTGTAAATACTATCTGTTTAGAACATGAGGCATAAAGGCACAGTTTTCTAAATTTATAAGACACAAATGACTTTAAAACATCTACAGAAAATCTACTTTTAAGGGGTGCCTAACGACGGTTTCCTCGTAAATGCTTTGAAAACACTTTTTAGGCTATCCAGAGTACATACTTTTAGATCTCTAGGAGTGTATTCTAAGTGGCGCTAAAAATTTATATCTGTTCGGTCATCCCAGGGCAACTATGTTGCAGCCGATAAGAATAAGATTTACAGCTCTGTCCTACTTTGAAACAACATTTACCTACGTGTATTTACGTTTACCCACGTACCCACGCTAACGAAGCAGTCATCGATCGGCAAACAAAATTTGTAAACAAACATTTTATTACTGATCTCTGTTTGCCTTATTAAGCCTAGAAATGCCTGCAAATGGCGCCTGAGCAGTCACAAAACCCACAACGTATGAGTATAAAGATTATCCTAAATTGAGCATAATTTTTAATTGCTTATTAGCAAATGAAAAAAATCATTCGCGTTGCTTCGGGTCAGTGTTCCGCAAAACAAATGTTATCGAGTAGAAAAGAAACCAGATTATAAACAAAATATTTAGGCAATAATTTATTTTAAAAACATCAATTCTTAAACATAATTATACGATCATACTGCAAAGATACAAGGAAAAGTTCAAGTGTACCAGATCGGTGAAGATCGCGTGGCCTGTTGCGTACTTTTCGGTATAACTACAGGTCGGAGTCAAAAATCAAATCAGAGTTGAACAAACTCATGCCTTTACCACTTTCCAAGTGTCGTGTATTCTTTTCGTAAGCCACATACTACTCGCAGAACCATACCAGATCGATCGGCTAAGCTTCTGTACATATGTCCAAAGACTCTTGAGAACGTCAGTGTTGCCGGTAGCCCGCGACGTCGCTTCTGAGACTCCATTCACAAATTGATTTTTCGTTTCCTAAACGTCTTTGTCAATGGAAAGAACGACCGCAATTAGCATGAGCAAAGGAAAAGTCCGCTGACCAGCACTTCGCTTTTTTCAAGGCCCCATTCTCTCTTGTTTTCTCCGTATAAGATCATTTTATTTTTACGCCAGTACTGATTGAGATCAATCTGGCAAATATCGCGAAAGCTGTTGGTATTCTCTGCCATTTTTATTACTTAGAATCGAAAGCAATGGCAGCCTCGTACAATTCACAGTCTTTGCATCAACGCAACGCGCGCGAGTAATGCTTGAGAACCGTTTAATAGCCCGATCTCGAGAGTAAATTTACGTTTATTCACCTTGATTGTACGCAAAGGCAAAGTTTCCGAAACATTGATCATGCGATCTTGGACATGGGTAAAAAAAAAAAAAAGAGAAAAAATACGTCACCTGAAACGTAACGGAAACGAGAAAGAACGGAAATGTGATAACAGAAATGTGGCGGAAACATGATCGTTCGTTTCCGACGCGGAAACATGACGGAAACTCGTCCCGTCCATGGAAAACTAGATCACCATGTTTCTGCAGGGCGGCAACGTGACCGATATAAGCAACTTCCCGTTTCCGTCGACTTAACAAAATACGGAAACACGTTATTTCGTCCTTAATTATTGTGCATCGAGATAAATCGCTTGAACACAAAACAATTTAAGTTCGCGTAATCAGTGCTCAGCGCTATGACTCAGGCTTGACTTAAACAAGGTCACGAGCTATTGTATTTCAAGGTGCGTTTAGTTCAGTCTTTTACAGTGAGCTTTATTTTACAATGGACAGTTTAGAACACCAATAATATGTGACATGTAGGGAAGCGTTACTTTTGTAAACAAAGCTCATTAATGCTTTAAAAAATCTTCGTTTACAATTTTCATTACATTTACCTCCCCAAAGCCATCCCAAGTAAAATATGATATATAAGTAGCAGCCTTATTCATAAACACAACTGTGTCTTGTAACTCAAACGTAACAAAAACCGCATTGTCAAATCTGGTGTTGTTCCGGTACCGCTTAGCGACCATTTTCTGGTATTTTGCATAATTAAAGCTGGTATTACATCAAAGGCTAAACCGAGAATGCTCGAGTATCGCTCCTATAAGAATTTTAATCCGACTTTATATTCCCTGGCATGTTGTTGAAAACGAGGACAACGTCGACGATGCCTTGTTTACGTGGAATAAAATGTTTTCGGAGGTTGCTGATCAACACGCACCAGTAAAAAGAAGGCGTGTCAAGGGAACACCTCTTCCCTGGATGAACAGTCAGATAAGTGATTCTATGAAAGAACGTGACTGGGCGCATAGAAAGGCGCGAAAATCGAACTCGGCGCGTCATTGGTCAATGTATGCAAAGCTTAGGAACAAGGTTAATGGCTTAGTACGAACTTCCAAGTCTAAATATTACTGTGACATGATCGAGGAAGCCAAGGGTGACTCAGATAAGGTGTGGAAAGCAGTGAACGAAGCATGCAATCGGAACTCATCTCCAGAGAGTATTCAGTGTATTATCTCTGATGGTGTTCAGCATATAACATCCCAATCCATTGCTTCTTCAATGAATAGCTTCTTTGCTTCCATTGGCCGAATTCTAGCAAGTAGAATACAGACTCCCGTCTTGAATTTAAAATCCATTTCAAAACACCCGCTTTTCCAGTTCGAGTTGACTGAATTGGATCAATCATTTGTGCTTGAGCAGCTCTTGTCATTGAAAGCAAACAAAGCGATTGGTCTTGACAAAATTAGCGCGAGACTTCTTAAAATCTAAGCTCACACAATTGCACCATCTGTTGTTAAACTTTTGAATCTTTCAATTCGCACTAGTCAATTCCCCAAATTGTGGAAATGCGCGAAAATCACGGCATTGTTTAAGTCAGGTGACAGGACCAACGTTTCCAACTACCGCTCCATCTCAATCCTCCCTACACTAAGCAAGATTCTGGAAAGAGCGGTACACTTGCAGTTGTATCAGTACTTGATTACCAATAATTTATTGTCCAACAAGCAGTTTGGTTTCCGGAAGGGTTTCTCAACTACAACAGCTTTGACCTCATTGGCTGATGAAGTGCTCTTAAACATGGAAGAAGGAAAGCTTTGCGGGGCCGTGTTCATCGATCTAACCAAGGCATTTGACACGGTAGACCATCAAATAATGTTATGCAAGCTATACGAGATCGGTCTTTCTGAAACAGCTCTTCATTGGTTCCGTTCTTACTTAACTGGTAGACAACAGCGCACATCATGTGGAAATGAGTTATCTGAGGAACTTCCAGTCACGCATGGGGTGCCACAGGGTAGCATTCTAGGGCCTCTGTTGTTTGTGATTTACATAAATAACTTGCCAAATGTGCTTAACTCCTGCTACGCGTCACTTTATGCAGACGACACTGTAATTTATTGCTATGGTACATCCTCAAAGGAGTTGAGTGATAAGTTAAATAACGATCTACTGGGTGTGGCGAAATGGCTTCATGATCACAAACTGACTTTAAATTTGGACAAAACTAAATGCATGCTTATCGGTAGTAATAGGAAACGCGAAAGCAAAGTAGATTTGACTGTTTCAATTTTAGATCATAGTATAAGTAATGTTCGCAGCTTTAAATACCTCGGTATACATATATCTTCGGATTTCTCATGTACTGATCATATTGAACACCTAACTGGAAAAATCAATCAGAGGCTTGGGCTTCTCAAGCGTATAAAACATTTATTGCCTTTCAGGGCGCGTCTACTTTTCTATAAAAGTCTTGTTATGCCCCTTTTTGAATATGCTGATCTAGTATGGGGCGATAAACATAATATTACCCTTATGTCTAGTTTGCAAGTTTTGCAAAATAAGCCGCTAAAGTTATTTTAAATAGACCATTGTCCTCATCCTCCACTGAGGCATTAGCCGTTCTCAAGTGGCTGCCTCTAGATAAAAGGCGATTTCAAAGAAGGTGTGTACACGTATACAAATGCATCAATGGCCTAATTAATCACGATATGGACTTGATTAGACAAGACGTACTTCATAGGCATAATACACGTAACAAAGGCAATTTTAGATTACCACGTGTCAAAAGAAATTGGGGGAAGCAAAGAACACAATATCATGCCGTTTCCGATTTTAACTCCCTCAGTCAGACGATCAAAGACTCAAGGAATGTAAATAGTTTTAAACGTAATGTTTTTAAGTTTTTAATATAGCTACTTACGTTTAATTTTTACTTATACTTATTTTTAATTTTTTATGCATTTTTTGTATCTTTTTAATCCCTTTGCAATTTTATAGCTTTTTTTTGTTTTTATAATATATATCTAGTTTTGAGGTCCTTTTTGAAAACCATATCTTTTATGAAAAAGTTTCCTCAATAAAAATGATTATTATTATATTATAAAAATTTATTATTGCTGGCCTTCTATTCGGATCCTATTATTTGAAAAGAAAATCTGTATTTCGGCTACTCAGAATAATAAATATTTGTGTGACCATGACAGGAAAATTAATTTTCCCTTTAAGAGACATTTTAACAAATTAACTCTTTCAAGGAAGTCAGAGGGAGGTGAAATTTAACAATCATTCATTTCTTCTTTTCTTCTACTTTCATTGTTTCCAAATATGAAAAATTGTTCGTTACATAGCATTCACAGAAGATAAACATGTTCGATTGGCATAATATTGCTTCAAGGAAAACGACAAGTACGTAGACATAGAGTTTCCTATAAGATCAAACCATTCTGCACTTTACATTAAGATAAATCCGTGTAATAAATGGGTGGAGAGGATGGCTGTGATGGGGGTTTGGAGGCCATTATCAGCACAAATTGTCAATTTATGTGGTCAGTGAAAGTGCACATTTGACAGAGTCTAGGAATTTCAAAACCTATGGCTGTGGCAACTATGTCTGTCCAAGCTTGTGCATTTTGAGAATTGAGATACCGATCACCTCTACATGACTTGTATGTGGACATTTCATACAAATTCTCTCTTGCATGTGTTTATGTTTCTCATGCATACAAATAACTATGCACACTTGCATAAACGATGTGGTACTTTTTACAGAGATTCAGTGCTGATGAATGCCTGCATGTTAAATAATCATAAGTCATGATCAATTTCATAATTCTCATGAACTTCATCCTTAATGAGATTGCTACATGTAATTCTATTTCGGTGATTATGTTTGCACCTTACTGTTCCAAAAAATAGCTGTTAGGTGTGATTATGTATAAAACAAGTATAAAAACTCTCATTGCTGTTAGTTCACTAACAATAAAATGATATTTTTTGTCCAATAACCAGCATTTTCTTGTTGTTTTCACTGCAGCATTACCTCCTACCATTTCATCCACTCATTTTTTATGCAGTACCAAAAACAGGTACATCTGCATCTGAGGGCTAAAGCCGATACTACTAATGACATCCTTCACATATGCAATGCAATTTTGGCTGCCATTCCTTAACAACAGCAACCCCAATTAAATCCCAGATGGGCACTGGGTTCGAATTAACTCCAACCAAAGGGAGATTGAGAACATCTTAGATGCAATATCAGAGCAGGTGTTGAAATGTCGGTCCCGCCCTACCATCCCTGACATTTTACGGGCCTCCTCCCCCGAACTTCGCAAGGTTCTGCGATAGACGTATTTCTACTAATAAAATAAAAATTCCAGCGGACAAATGCGACCGCTGTACGCGTATGCTATGCATGTGCCTAATGATGTGGAATCAATTTCAGGGCACGCATTAGGATTCTATCACGAACAGTCACGACCTGACAGGGATGAATACGTCACTATCTTATGGGACAACATCAAAACAGGTAAGTTGGAACAAAATAGCATGTCATATAGTTTACATTATGTGATTTAGTCGAGTGAATTCCGTTATAAAAATATAATACTTCAACTTCTTCCAAAAAGGCAACGTTTGCAGCTCTGCATCAGTTATAATTAATGTGTATTCTAATTAAAGCAATTGAAATAGGAATAGAGCACTTTTATGTGATCCTAGCATTGGTACATCAACAGTAGGGCAGGGCTTTTTTTCTTTTCCGTGGATTCAACGTATTATTTAGGAAATTTTGCTGTAATTACATCAATTCTCATGTTTAACAAGCCGACCTTTTCTTGTCCTAGTCTATTACTATGCTTTATCTAATTATTTAAACTCATTGAGGGTTGGTACGTCCCGAGGTTTCAAATTATTACCAAGCTTCCTTTCTATCGAAGTGATTTGATTTTTTTGAGTTATATTATGAGCTGTTACATACTGTTGACTGAATTAATGATACTTTATGTTTTAAGTTAATAGATTATTTTATATTTAATCGAAGTATAATAACCTTTAGGTAAGAGTCATAATTTCAAAAAGTACAACCGTGGAACAATAGACTCTTTGGGAAGTCCATATGACTATGGAAGCCTGATGCATTATGGGAGCAAAGCTTTCAGCAAAAATGGAAAACCTACGATCGTCGTCAAGCAGTCTGGGGTATGTAATCATTCGATGTTTTAGTTGTGGAAAAAATTCCAGTCTATTTTTTTCTACGGCGTAATTGACGATTACTGATAAAGAATTGTGAAACATGTCTGGAAAACCTACGATCGTCGCCAAGCCGAATTCTCAGGTATGAAGTCATTCGAAATTTTAGCTCTGGGACAAAATCAGTCAATTTTTTTACACAGCCTTCAGACTAACTAAGCATCACTGATTAAGAATTATTAAACGTGCTTTATGTCAGTTTTATTGCATTCGAACTTTTAGTTGGAATGAATTTTTCTTAGTTAAATTAACTCTTTCTAAGCTAAATTAAGTACTTTTTAAATCGACAGGAATTGTAAATAGTGTTTTGAATGAATAGTTTGTTCTTTTTTTCAAGCGAATTAATTGTAAATAAGAATTTAATAGTTAGCATTGTTGTCAATAAATTTTTTTCATCATTAACGAATGCTAGGTCCATTTTTTTAAAATGAAAATGGTGTTTTGCTTATTTTTTCAGTGACTGACGCTAAATCGATTTGATGCCCAATTTCTTGTTGTCAAAGAGAGCAAATTACAGCGAAATTCGTTGTATCGCGCTGCGCGTATTGCAAAATACGAAGGGATTTTGGCTTTTTCTGTTCCGTCAATCATTTTACTGAAGGCGGGGTTAAAGCAAATCACAATGTAACACCTTCTCCCAGCTTGGCTGAGAATGAATCTTACTAGACTGTTCAAGAATAGCGAAGGAAATCGCGATGGAGCGTGGATTTTTGTCGAAGGAAGAAAGGAGACGTTGCTTTATTATTGCATCAGTGACAAGAATGAGAAAGAGCAGAAAAATCTGCGAAGCAATCTTAACTGGTCGATTATTGCCCCAAACAGGACGATCACAAAGCAACGAACCTTGAAAGACGAAACAAACAAAACGGATCGAAATCCACCAATCACGAATCACAATCCATGACCTTTTGAACTAGTGCAAGTAAACATGTGTTTCCTAAGAGGTCCGCTAAGATGATTGACGGAACAGAAAATGCAAAATTCCTTCGAAGTTTGCAAAACGCACAGCGCGATACAACGAATTTCGCTAAAAATGGGACCGCTCCCTTCATACATGTAAGATAATCCACGACAGTGTCGGATTCTGGATCCCACGCTGTGGATTCCGGTTTCCAGCTACTGGATTTCGGATTCCTTGTCAATGGAACTTGGATAACGGATTCCAATCGTAGGCGGAGTTCCGGATTCCAAGAGCTGAAATCCGGAATCCAAAGCCCAAGATTTCCTATTCCACAGGCCAAAATTCTCCGAGTTCCAGAAGCCGGATTACATGACCGCTCCGTCTATGCAAACAATTGCCCTGAAATATGTAGTGCTTAACAGCCGAACACGCAAATTTTGTCCGACAGCTGTTAATTTTGGAACAGTTTAAAACGCCAGTTTCATCAGTTTGTTGCCATTATACAGGAGTGTATTGCGTAAAGGTTGCAATCTGTTTTTTGATGATGTTTTGAATTTTTTTAACAGGCTACCATAGGTCAGCGGGATCGTGTCAGTTCAAAAGACGCGCAGCAAATGAACCTCCTCTACAAATCACAGTGCGGTAAGATAGATCAAATAAGAACTTTATTTTAACACGATAAGGACACCAACATCACTGGTTAAGAATATTTGTAACGGATATGTATGTTTTTAGTTGCAGCTAAAATAGGTTCGAAATTCATGTTATCAGGTGCCAAATTCTGTAAGACAGCGTTTAAATTCTTTCAAGGTTTTGCCGTTATTCCCTAATTGTTCGTTAAACTGTTCCATGCGATGGCTCCTCTATAACATATGGAGTTTCTGATAAAATTCGTTTGTGGTCTTAGAAAAATGATGTCCTTGTTTCGTCTGCGGCTTAAATTCCTCTGTAAAACAAATCTTTAAATTCCTTGACTCTGTAACCTTGGTGGTGATAGAGGCGGCGGTGACGGAAGTAAGTGGCATTAGAGACCTTAAGATCGAGGTTTGGTCATTCATTACTGTAAACGACAAATTGCAGTTTGTGGTTAACGGAGAAATTGTCTTCAAAATTACGTTTTTGAATAGAATTCGATAGTTAATAAGCAAAAAAGAGTTCCCAAAAGTCGTATTTCTTCTCAAACGTGGGAAGAGGTTGTAAAAAGATCTTTTGGTTATCCGCTGATTGATCTGAAAACTACTACCCATGATAATTGGCGACTGCGAACAAACATCCTGCCCAGCGAAGAAGGTTTTAACCAAGCGTGGTTTCAAGAAAATATTCCTCAAGAGCTTCTAAAATATCGGAAGCAGCAAACTCTTTCACCTGTCCCGCTTGTTCCAGCTAGGCAAGAAATATAGGGAAACATGGATGACGTGCTTTCTCGAAACGATCTTCAAGCCGATGAAAAAGCTAAGCGATACTTTCAGTTGCAAAACAGAAACTTGGCTTTTACCGAAAATTAAATAGAAGAACACGACCGGAAGAAATAATCAGCAGTGTTCCAGACTAACATCAAGCACACAAGATTCTTCGACAGCAACGACAGCATGCATTCTCCACTCCCCTCAACCCCTTCAACGTAACGCCTGAATTAACAGAAGCAGTCATCTCTCAAAAAGCTGAAAAACAAAGCTTCCTCCCACCACCACCCTTAAATCCTACTTTCCTGACCCCTTCCCCCACAGTAGAAACTACACCACAACAATGCCCGAAGCGCAAAAGGCGTCAGATTCAGTTTTTAAATTATTTGGATGATCATAATGGTCATGGCAAAACAGCTGAGGAAACGAAGTCGGCTTAAGAAATTTCGAGTCAAATCTTACTCGTACTGCATGGGCGAAGAAGATGAGGATTAATTCTTCATTCCTTTCAAATCGCGTTTTATATCTCGTGTCTGGTTTTATGGCTAGCAATTATTAGACGCATGTTTCAATTGATCCTTGTTAAGTTATTAATTGTTTTTATAATAATACGTCAAGGTTCTCCCTTGGTTTTTTACTGTAGAGCTAATTTGTATTCAACGGTGAGCTTGTGACCTCGCATAACTAACTGACTAACGGCGCCTGAAACTACAAGACTTAGGGATAGGGTGAGGTTAGGGTTTAGGGTTAACGAAAGCCATGGTGATAAAAAGTGAACAGAATTTTCCAAAACAGCGAACTCCAACAAATTGTTTCCTAGCAAAGTGATTGCAAGAAAGAGAGCGCTTTCAAAAACTGCCCGCTTTTATTTTGAACACTTAACAGATTCTACATGAGCCAATCAGGGTTAAAAGAGACCGCGCAAGTCTGGGCAAGCCTGTTGTGGCTATTGTGTAACGGAGACGCTCATTAACAAACCTATACCGAATTAGTATGCAGGAAGGCTCCCCGAAGGCACTAAATTAGTATGCAAGAAGACACTTGTACATCTCAATAAAGGGAAGGCACGCGGAAGGCAGGGGGAAGGCACCAATGGGGCTTAATTCTGACCCTTTACCACTACTCACAGTTTTCCAAATCAACCCTATCCCTCGGGGGAGAGCTACTTCCCATACACTCTCTTAAATGAAATCCACACGATGTTCTCACAACTTGCAAAGCGATCAGCAAGGGTCTTGCCAGCGGATTTGTGTACTGATCATGCGCCGCCATTACGTCAAAAACCATAGATCAACGGTCTTGAGAAAAAACAAAAACATGGCAGTCGAAGGCGGGACTGTTTCTCACTATTAAATTTTGGTAATTCGCAAATTTATTGATTTTTTGTCGCTTTTCAGACATAGTGTGTGGTTTTCTTTGTCTGTTAAACAATTTCCCTTTGCAGAGTTTAGCTGCAAACCTTGGGAAAGTTAAAGTAGCTTCAAGGTACAGAGCTTTCAGTAGTACTTGTGATTTGTTTTAGGATCGTTTTGAATTTAACTGTGGGTTCAAGGTGTTGACTGATCGAAATAAACGAAGTGAAATGTTATGAAGTGTTAATTTTTATTCAGTTATGATATGTACAGCAGTAAGCTCATTTTTATAAAGCTCTCTTGAATATACTTGCTTCCGATAAATTTGACACTTGCTCCAGTAATTTTTATCAGCATCAAGTTATCCTTGCCCGGCCAAGACGATTTAACCTATAAATAAATCCATCGAGTGCGTTTTTGTTGGTTAGGATCTAGCACGGTTGCGTTTTAGTTTCCCCCGCATTTCAGTACCGAAAGACAAATGCGATTTGCAAGAAAAACAAAGATGCATGATACGATTTTTTTCAATTCTTTAAGCATTTCTGATTTCCCCTATGGGTTCGCTTCTTGCTTCTAAAAAGTTTTAAAATATTTACTGTGGGAAAAATACTGTAGTTATCCGCTGACCACCACGCTGGGTGACCGCTTTGCAAGTTGTGAGAACATCGTTTCTCGGTCCCAGACCTCGTCTCTTCCCCTCCCCCACTGCTATCCCTCTTTCTCACGTCGTTTCCATGCCGGTGACATCATTGAATTTTTGTTTTCCTGTCAGTATGGCGATGTAATCACCTTAGTCTTGGACTTCAGGCAACGCGTTGTGGCTTTTGCGTGTTGCATGGTTGGGGAAAACACTGTATTTTTCTTAAAAAAAAAAGCAATTAAGTGACAGAAGTTAAAGTCAAGTGGAGTTACTTGAGTGATTCTACCAACTTGTATTTCCCGTTTTGCTTTCTGTTCAATTCCTTTGCTTTGTATTTCTACTTCGCTTTTTTTTTTTCATGTCTTGACCTGATGGGGATTATCCTAAGAGTATTTCAGGGGATAAGCTTACACCAAAACTGGCGATGGACTTTTACTTTGTCTTGTTTGCTGTTAAAACAGGGGTTAGCTGCAGAGACAACTACAGTGCCTGCCGATTCTTGTCGATCGTTTGCCCCGTTAACAGCGTCGTGAGAGCAGAATGCAGAAAGTCCTGCAAACAATGCTAAGCACACGAAAAAGGTGGCAAGTTAGTATTCATTTTAGACTACTTTAATTAAAATGCTTATCTGCAATTTCTCTGACTACAGTTTTTCCAATTAGTGATCAATCAGTGAATCCGATTAGTGGCCTTAAAAAATGGATTGAGCATAGAATACGACTTTTTAAATTTGCTTCTGTGTAGCCTGAATAAACAGCAGACTTTTGGCGACGCCACCACTGTTTTCCCCGCCTGATGAAGTCAGAGAAACGAGCGCAGAAATTCCATAGTGATGACGCGTCACTACCCAGATCTGGCCAGTGACGCATCATCAGTATGGAATTTCTGCACTCGTTTCTCAGACGTCATTTGGCGGAGAAACCAGTGGTAGCGTGCGTCACCGAAAGGCGGCTGTTTTCTCTGGCTAGCTTTTGTGAAGCCTCAATGCTCCCAGAAAACCAACCCTCTGTTTCGTACATCGAATGCATCTGTAATAATCCATTTTTAATGAACACCAAGGTTTTTTTATATTGCGCCAGCTACTTTAGCCTCGACCGACAGAAGCAAAAATACGTACTTGCATCTCTATGTTAGTAAGAAAAATTCACACGCCAATTTTTCCCCAAAGGTACAGGCTTATTCCGACTGGTTTCTTTACCTTACATGTCGTCATTAAAAGTTAAAGTTAAGTGGCGTTACATGGGTAATTCTACCAACTTGTATTTACCGCCTTGCTTTCTGTTCATTTCCTTTCCTTTGTATTTCTACTTCGTTTTTTTTTTTCATGTCTTGACCTGATGGGGATTATCCTAAGATTATTCCAGGGGATACGTTTACACCAAAACTGGCAATGGACTTTTACTTTCTCTTGTTTGCTATTATAGGAGTTAGCTGCAAAGACAGGACAATGTTTACGTATTGCAGTTAAACAACAAAAGATAAATTAGACGCTTTTCTTTCACGGAAATCTCTTTGACTTGGTATAGTTCAATAAATGTGCGTATTTGATTTCTTGCAGATCATTTGCCTCTGGAAACAAAACTGGGTGACTTTTAAAACGAAGCTTTATTTATCTGGGAATGAATAAATAAAAGAGCATTTAAAATTTTTGAGGAGATTTTCTGTTTGCATTTTTGTCCCCAATTTGTCACTTTAGAAACGAGAAGGAGACTGGTGACGAAATATGTCCCAAATAGGCTATTTCCGATTTGCCTCAAGCCACTTTTTCAAAGCGAGGTTAAGTGTGAAGCCATTGATATGAAAATGATTTTTGATTATAATGCAAATAAAACGCATTTACACAACAAAGGTTTCTCACTTAGCCTCGTTTTGAAAGTGAGATTTTTTGGAAATCGGAAATGGCTTATTGCTTCTGGGATCGTTACTGGGAACGCATCTGTCAGCTATTGGCCTAATCTCGTACCCAGATCTCCCACGTGTAAAACAGAGTGAGATCTGGGTACGAGATTACCATTGGACAAGTTTTTCCCTGTCCTTAGTAACAGTCCCAGAAGTTATTGCCACAAAAAAAAAAAGCAAAAGCAAAAAACAACAACAACAACAACAAAAACACTCGTCCCACTCAAGTGAATTAAGGCATGGGTCACCAGCTATTTTCCCGTAAAAATGAAGAACGTAGTGTGAGAAATGTCAGTGTTGGCAGTGCCTCGTCCTCCATCTTGATAGTGAGAAGCCGAAACGAGCATTGATCGCGAGTTCATTGGCCATGAGTATGATGCTATCACGGTGCAGTTAGAAAAAAAAAGGGGCATCTCTTACAAACATCGAAGAACGGCTGCTTAAACTACTGAATCTAGAATTGATGAGCTCATTCAGGATTATACCTACTCGCTACTCGTTCAACCAGGGGCACCCAACGAGAACATAGTGCAAAACCACTTAAACATAGTAGAATGCCTAAAAGTAATAAACGACCCTAAATGTAATAAAGTCCTAAATGTAATAACATTTTGCCCTAAATGTAATAAACTCTTAAGTTGCAAATTACAGTAATTACTCAAATAAGCACCGCATTCGGTGGGATTTAATAAGCGCCGCGACGCTTATTCGCGTAAATACGGTAGTAAGAGGTATTACTATGGTTTTAAGCGCCGCCCTCAAATAAGCGCCGCATTTTTGGAGAAAAAATTTAATAAGCTTCGGTACATTTCCTTATGCGCTGTGTAACTTGACGTTCACAAATAAATTGCTTGTAAAGGGACAAAATAAAAACAAAAAAAACTTGTCAGCCTTTAAAAGTTTTTCATACTTCATTTTTGTTAAAGAAATTTACTGCAAAAACCGTGGACGAAGATCCTGTTGCTTGTCATCGTTGAATCTCTAGAAAAGACATCTATAAATCAGCTAAAATATTAAGAACAAAAAACGAGAACTTATAACAACGTTTATAAATAACTAAGATAGTACACGTGCGCTCTGATTGGCCGAGAGATGTGTTTGCATGAGAGTATATAAACATTTGTGGAGTCAAGATGTTTTGCTCTTCGCACGCTAATCACACAAGCCCGAATTTTAAAATGTTTTTGAGATGAAAACTCGACAAATTTACTTTATTTACCCATTCCCTCGTCGGATGAAACCTCGAAAATCTTTACAAACACGCTGTGCCAATTTTAAGCGAGAAAAACACTTTTTTGAAAAAAAAGAGAACTGATTACACGTACATTAAGCTTCGTGTACAAGACTTCGCGACTGGTAAGAATTTCTCTTTTAATCAGTAACCTAAACAAAGAGTTTTTCTTTTTTCTCGGGAAAGTTAGTTTATAAAAGCAATAGAAAACTTTTTCCTGTGTTTGCATAGCCTGATATAAACACTCGAGGGGCTGGGAGAATTCTTGACAGTTATGCAAACCCGAGGCGAATTAAGTCGAGGGTTTGCATATATTAACTGTCTCTTGCTTAAATATTGCTTTTTTCAGAAAAATACTGCTACTTTGTCGTTACAAGCAATTCAATTTATTTGTAAACGTTAAGTTTCGCTGTGCATAAGGAAATGTACCGAATTTACACGAATAAGCGCCGCGAAGCTAATTAACCCCCTAAATGCGGCGCTTATTTGAGGGCAGCACTTATTCGAGTAACTACTGTAATTGGTAGCTTAAGAGTTTATTACATTTAAGGCAAATTGTTATTACATTTAGGACAAAATGTTATTACATTTAGGACTTTATTACATTTAGGGTCGTTTATTACATTTAGGCCTTCTACAAACGTATCTCATTATTTAAAGGGTAGATATAGGCATATTTTTATCCCCTAAAAATTTCTCATCTGTTCGGATTTCCTAGCTGAAAGTTCAGTGATCCAAAAATACTTACCTTTTAGAAAATTTCAGCCAGAAAAAAGGTTCCCGAAAATTCTAGGTGACCTTTATAGCCGGGTAAAATTCCGTTAAAAATGGGTAATTATACCATTGTTTAGATGTTCGAAAATCCTAGGAGAGGTAAGCAAGCAAGAAATTTTACAAAAAATGTTCCGAAAATTCTATATCTCAAATCGTCTTTCGTCTTCCGAAAAGGTATAGTATTTTCCGAAAATTGACGTTGGGTGCCCCTGTTCAACGTGGGGCTTACCAGAATTGGACGACTAGGAGAGCGCAGCAGAATTGCCAGCAGACTGTGTGATAGAGTATGTAACGCTATGGGTGCGTCTGTATCTTTAAACGACATCGACATTGCTCACCGCGTCCCACTTCGAGATTCAACGCGGGAAGGCCCCAAATCAATTGTATGTAAGTTTACAAGGCGGTTGGCTAGAATGATCGGAAGTAATATAATATGGCGGTGTGCAGGCCAGCAAGGTCAGCGCGACGGCTATCGGTTTAGACGAAAACATAAACTTTGCAAACGCAAAGGTGGTTGATCATCTAACTCCCAGGATGCAAAAACTCTATGTGGATGCAGTGGCTATCAACAATGAATGTCACTTTGCATTCTGTTGGATGAAGAGTGGATCTATCCTTCTCCGCCTGCTTGCCGATTCCAGCCCTTACAGGGTTAGGAACGTCTCGCCTGTATTTCTGATCGTCTCTGCAATTTATGTATTAATGATTGTTTGTCAATATCATCTTTGCAATGTCATCCCTAACTCAAGCAATGCAAAACAAAAGTTTGCTTCGCGAATTGCCTTATTCTGGACATAATATTATACTATGTGCCATGGGCAATTCAACAACATCATCCCGTTTAATAATCTCCCAACTAAAAAGTATTTGGAATGTTAGCTTAGCCTTCATGACATTTTTTTTAACTCTAACGCTGAATTGACACCTTTCCTTCCCATTCGAGCATACAGAAATCTATTAAAACTAAAAATAAGCTTCCATATGAGAGCGATAAAGACCTGTACAATTCTATCGAAATACAATTCTCACTGTTACTCGTCATAGTAAGCCAGTATTCCTACGTCTTTTTATCCTTTCTCTATCCTCTTAATTATGATTAATATATTTATAGAAATTATTGTATTTAATCTGTAATATCATATTTATTATCCTGTAACTTTCTTTGTATTAATATTGTAATTTAAGTGTAAGCGATACGTTTCCATATACTACTTGCCTCGATTAGCTTCGATATTTGCAGGTAGTCTGTACTTGTACTTTATCAATTTCACCATCTAAATAAAGTTCTGTGAAAACACCTCCGTACGCATTAGCACCCACGCGCACGTTTTTCTAATCAATGTCAATAAGCTAAACAAACTAATGCAGAGGGAAACACGTCCGTACGCATCAGCACTCACGCGCAAGGTTTTCTATGTCAATAAGCGAAATTTAATGTCAATAAGCTAAACAAACTAAAGCAGCTTTCTTTGAATAGTTACCTAGATTGACTTGAAAAAAAAAAAAAAAAAAAAACTGTAAAATAGTGATTAAGGTCAGGGTAGGTGGGGGGAGAAGGGGGTTCAGGGTGGGGACGTCCATATTTTTTGGTCGTTGTCACCCAATAAACAATCGCAGTGCAATATCTCCGGCGCTCAATTAAATCTCTGGAGTGCAATACTTTAAATTTTAATACTTTTTTTCCTGTTTATATACACCCATGGTTATTTTGAGCAGGGGCACAGCGCGAGGGTCTTGGAGAATAGGGGGCAGATGGGGGATACGAAAGAGGGAAGAGAAAAGGGCGGGAGGTGTGGGTTCTAAAATGGTAGAAAGCGGAAGAAATAGGGGAAAATTAAAAGGTTTTAAGGGTGGAAGCCAAGAAAAAAGGGGTAGGATCCAGGAGTGCAAGGTACAGGGGGCGGGAGGCTTGGACCCCCCTGTCCACCCACTATTTAAGAGCTATATATTTGAGTTACTCCTATTCTCCATCCTCTAAATTTCCCCAAAACCCTAAGCCCCTAAGATTCATTAAGATTTTGAGTAAATCTACCGTAGTGAAGGGAATTTAACCAAATGTGGCTTTTCATCTAGAGCATATGTTCAAAAATATACTTTACTTATTTTTCTCATGCTAATGCAGTTTGTACGACATTTAAACTTTAAACGCAAACATCAAACAGATAAGTTTCACATCTGCACAGGTGAGATGAAAGCCTTTCCGATAAAGTTTCAAGTCTTTTAGCGGATCAACCACAAGTTGCTTCAGCCTGGTGTGAATAAGACTGAACGCTGAGTACCATGAAGTGGTTGTATGTGGCCTTGACATTGTGTGTGAAGTTCGCTGCGTCCGGAAATCCAGAGGGTAAGTTACAAATTTGTATCACGTTTTTTAGTTCCCTACTTTCTAGTTTAAGATTACGTTAAAAATCTAGACATCCAAAAAGAGCGCGAAGCGGCTAAATCATAACCCCCCTCTGTAACAGACCCATGCAGTGGAATCGACATTCACCGCTTTTTCGGAGGGAAAAAAAAACCTATTTCGGTTAATTTTCTCGACTTTTCCATAGTGCTTTTTCTCAGTATCCGCTATGGTCAATTATCTAAATTTCCATGACAGGAAGCAATGCCTTAATTCAGACAGGAATGTAGAACTGTTGTAGAGAGTTGCAACTAAAGTAAGTAAGTTTCTTCCTTTTAGTTACTTAATCATTCCCAGAGCCCAGCAAAAAAAAAGCAAAAACAAAAACAAAAACAAAACAAAACAACGAACAAACAAACAACAACTACAACATCAAGTAAAACTTCAAAACAGTTTTGCAATAAACAAAGGAATCCTGTGTATCACTCTCCTGAAACTTCAGCCCCTTCTGTCCTGTCTTTTAATCGATGTTGACTTTTTGCTTGCGTCAAACAAACAAAAAATAAGCCGCGTATGTAAAAACACGCCCGACAGTGACCAGGGAAGCAAAGGAATAGCCGGGTAGAAACAGAATATTCGCCAGGTAGACTAAACTTTTACAGTATGGCTATGGACGAAACATCCAGCACTGGGACGGGTGTATAGAGGGGAAATGTTTAGTATATCCAGCTATTTCCAAATCGTAATTTCGCTTATCTCCGGAAATAAATCATCCTCGGAGACCCAGGGGCAGATAGTGGGGGCGAGGGAAAGTCTAAACGGGAGGAACGGAATGTCGTGTTCCATTTAAGTTCCTCGTAGTTTGTACCAGTTCCAGGTCCACGGTCGGGCACCGCGACGTACCGGGGTTTACGACCAAATGGAACAACTTTTTACCAATCAAAAATTCCACTTTTGCTCCCACCGAAATTTCCGGGTTTTTTTCCTAAATGGAAAGCGCCCATTGTCCCCAGGGGCTCTTCTCGCCGTTCTTTACTTTTCTTCGTGCCATATTTTTCCTCCCGTTTAGACTTTCCCTCGCCCCCACTATCTGCCCCTGGGTCTCCGAGGATGGAAATAAATTGGGACCGGAAAGGTTCTGATCGGTGACCTCAAGTTGGTCAGTTGAGCTGGTTTATTCGTTCAGAATTTTATTGTTTTGCCTTGTAGAGAATGAGGGTGTGTATGATCCAGACCTGTATGAAGGTGACATGATTCTGACGCCTGATCAACGCATGGCGGCAGAATTGGGACTGGATGTGGACAATCCACTAGGAAGAGGCGCGACTGTAAACAGACAGTGGCCTGGCGGCGTCATGGTCTACGTCATCGACTCAAGTCTATGTACGGTTTGAATTCTCAGTTTCTTTAAACAAATACCGTAAAATTCCGAAAATAAGCCCCGGGGCTTATATTTTTGAAAGGCCCTTTTTGAGGGGCTTAGTTTTGGAGGGGCTTGTATTCGGAGGGGCTTATATACGGAGGGAAATTTGCGTTTCAAAATCGATTGGGCTAGCCTTATAGTTGGAAGTAAATTTACCGTTTTTGCTTTGTTTTACTTTGTATTTGAGGGCAATTTTCCAAGTAAAAGCCCCCCCGGGAGCTTATATTTGGAGGGGCGATTTAACGGAGGGTTTCTTGCGTTACCGGTTTGGGGGGCTTATATTTGGAGGGGCTTATGCATGGAGGGGCTTATTTTCGGAATTTTACGGTATGTCTTACGACACGATGCCCTATGACACGCGTGAGGTGTTATAGGGCACACTGCTTTAAACAAAAGCCTAAGCGTGTCAAATATACGCATATCCGTGACATTGTAACACGGAAATCGTGACGTGTCATGACACGCGTGCCCGTGCTTTCACCTTATTCCCTGAAATCCCGTGTAGGGCCAAATATTCCTGATTTAGCATAGCACCGCGATTTTTCTGAAGGAAATGTACCGTGTAGATTGCTATTCCATTTATTTGTTTATTCGTAAGTGTTTTGAAGCAGAAAATTTCCACCAATATCGGATCGATATAGGAGGCTGGCCAATGGTTGGCTAGCGCGGCACTTGATTTTGTAGGTCTGGTGCGTGTCGACATCGGCAGTCTTAGTGAGATTCCTTAGTAATTGAAAAGGTCATTTTTGGAAGTTGGTTGAATCTAGAGGCAATTAATATAAGGGCTTTCCCCCGGGAAAAGAAAACTGTCTCACTCCAGAGTAAAGAGGTATCCGTGAGGCCGGTTTCAAACGTCGTGCTACTGCCCGGCTTGCTTAAGTCCAATTTAATTCGATGAATTGATTTCGGCACGGAAGAAGCACCACGTTTGAATCAGGCCTATTGGCTAATAAGTGAGTGCCCGTGAATAGGGGAAAGAGTGTATAAAGGACAAGACTTAACAACTTCTGCTGTAGTTGAATTGGTCATGGTTGTTTTCTTTTTTTTAATATTTATTCCATTCAGCTAAGGAGGCCAAAGCCCTGGAAGCCATCGGACAAGGAATGATGGAATGGTCAAGCAAAACGTGCATAAGCTTCAAGAAAAGAACAAATGAGACGGCTTACGTTAAATTTAAGCTTGGCTCAGGGTAAATACGTATTCTACGTTGTATCGCATTCAGTAATTTTATAGTCATTGTAATAATATTCTTAATGCGCGGTTGTAATGGCTTTTGCTTCATCGTCATGTAGCTGTTCATCTTCTGTTGGACGACTTGGCAGGCGCCAACATATCAACCTCGCCCGAGGCTGCTGGTACCGCGGCATTGTTGCTCATGAAATCGGTGAGTGTAGAAAAACATGGACGACATAGTCGAAAACTGTAAAAATTAACTGTTTAGAACATGAGGCATAAAGGCAAAGTTTTCTAAACTTTATAAGATACGAATTAATGACTTCAAAACATCTATAGAAAATCTACTTATCAGTGACTTATTCTTATTCTAGTCCGGCCTTCGGCTTTTTAAAGGGACGGGTTCACGATACTGCGCATGTGTGAGTTCTGACAGTAACTAATTGTTTTTAAACCAATCGGAAACGAATTAGACGCACGTAAGGAAATTTACATAATTCAAATTCATTGTTGGCGACGCGGGAGTATTTGTAAACAAACATTTTATTACTGATCTCTCTGTTCGCTTTATTTAAACCTAGAAATACCTGCAAATAGCGCCTGAGCGGTCACAAAAAACACACAGCATATGGGTATAAAGATAATCCTAAATTGAGCAAAAATTTTAATCGCTTATCAGCAACTGAAAAAATTCATTCGCGTTGCTTCGGGTCATTGTTCCGCAAAACAAATGATATCAAAGTAGAACATATAAAGAAACCAGATTATAGACAGAATATTTAGGCAATAATTGATTTTAAAAACATCAATTCTTAAACATAATTTTACGATCATTACCAGATCGGTGAAGATCGCGCGGCCTGTTGCGTACTTTTCGGTTTAACTACAGGTCGGAGTCAAAAATCAAATCAGAGTTGAACAAATTCGTGCCTTTACCACTTTCCAAGTGTCGTGTATTCTTTTCGTAAGCCACACACTACTCCTAGAACCATACCAGATCGATCGGCTAAGCTTGTGCATGTCCAAAGACTCTTGAGAACGTCCTGTTGCCGGTCGTCCGCGACGTCGCTTCTGAGAAATTGATTTTTCGTTTCCTAAACGCCTTTATTAATGGACGCCAAAAAAAACGACCGCAATGAGCATGAGCAAAAGAAACGTCCGCTGACCAGCACTCAGCTTTTTTCAAGGCCCCATTCTCTCTTGTTTTCTCCGTCTAAGATCACTTTATTTTTACGCCAGTACTGATTGAGATCAAGCGTTACTTTTGTAAACAAAGCCCATTAATGTTTCAATTTAAGTTCGCGTAATCAGTGTTCAGCACTGACCCAGGCTTGACTTAAACAAGGTCACGAGGTATTTTATTTCAAGGTGCTTATAGTTCAGTCTGTTACAGTGAGCTTTATTTTACAATGGACGGTTTAGAACACCAATAATGTGTGACATGTAGGGAAGTGTTACTTTTGTAAACAAAGCCATTAATATTTAAAAGAAATTTGGTTTACAATTTTCATTACATTTACTTTCCCAAAGCCATCGCAAGTAAAATATAAGATATAAGTAGCAGCCTTATTCATAAACACAACTGTGCCTTGTAACTCAAACCTAACAAAAATTTATTATTGCTGGCCTTCTATTCGGATCCTATTATTTGAAAATAACATCTGTATTTCGGCACCTCATGCAGAATAATAAATATTTGTGTATGACAGGAAAATTAATTTTTCCCTTTAAGAGACATTTTAACAAATTAACTCTTTCAAGGAAGTCAGAGGGAGGTGAAATTTAACAATCATTCATTTCTTCTTTTCTTCGACTTTCATTGTTTTCAAATATGAAAAATTGTTCGGCACATAGCATTCACAGAAGATAAACATGTTTGATTGGCAGAATATTGTTTCAAGGAAAACGACAAGCAGATATAGAGTTTCTATAAGATCAAACCATTCTGTGCACTTTACATTGAGGATAAATCCATGTAATAAGTGGGTGGAGAGGATGGCTGTGATGGGGGTTTGGAGGCCATTATCGGTACAAATTGTCAATTAATTTGCTGAGTGAAAGTGCACATTTGACAGAGTCTGGGAATTTTTAAAACGTATGACTGTGGCAACTATGTCTGACCAACATCACCTCTACATGACTTGTATGTGGACATTTCATACAAATTCACTCTTGCATGGGTTTATGTTTCTTATGCATACAAATAACTATGTACACTTGCATAAACGATGTGGTCCTTTTTACAGAGATTCAGTGCTGATGAATGCCCGCATATTAAATAATCATAAGTCTTGATCACTTTCATAATTCTCATGAACTTCATCCTTAATGAGATTGCTACATGTAATTCTATTTCAGTGATTATGTTTGCACCTTACTGTTCCAAACAATAGTTGTGAAGTGTGATTATGTATAAAACAAGTATAAAAACTCTCATTGCTGTTAGTTCACTGACAAGAAAATAATATTTTTTGTCCAATAACCAGCATTTTCTTGTTGTTTTCACTGCAGCATAACCTCCTACCATTTCATCCACTCATTTTTTACGCAGTACCAAAAACAAGTACATTTGCATCTGAGGGCTAAAGCCGATACTACTAATGACATCCTTCACATATGCAATGCAATTTTGGCTACCATTCCTTAACAACAGCAACCCCAATTAAATCCCAGATGGGCACTGGGTTCGAATTAATTCCAACCAAATGGAGATTGAGTACATCTCAGTTCTAACATCAGAGCAGGTGTTAAAATTTCAGTCCCGTCCTACCATCCCTGACATTTTACGGGCCTCCTCCCCCGAACTTCGCAAGGTTCTGCGATACACGTATTTCTAGTAATAAAATAAAAATTCCAGCGGACAAATGCGACCACTGTACGCGTATGCTGTGCATGTGCCGAATGATGTGGAATCAATTTTGATCGTTTGCTTTCAGGGCACGCATTAGGATTCTATCACGAACAGTCACGACCTGACAGGGATGATTACGTCACTATCTTGTCGGACAACATCAAAACAGGTAAGTTGGAACACTGATAGCATGTCATATAGTTTACATTATGTGATTTTGTCGAGTGAATTCCTTTATAAAAATATAATATTTCAACTTCTTCTAAAAAGGCAACGTTTGTAGCTCTGCATCAGTCATAATTAATGTGTATTCTAATTAAAGCAATAGAAATAGAAATAGATTACACTTTTATGTGATCCTATCATTGGTACCGCATCAACAGTAGGGCAGGGCTTTTTTTCTTTTCCCGTGGATTCAACGTATTATTTAGGAAATTTTGCTGTAATTACATCAATTCTCATGTTTAACAAGCTGACCTGGTCTACTTCCCTTTTCTTGTCCTAGTCTATTACTATACTTTATCTAATTATTTAAACTCATTGAGGGTTGGTACGTCCCGAGGTTTCAAATTATTACCAAGCTTCCTTTCTATCGAAGTAATTTGATTTTTTTGAGTTACATTATGAGGTGTCACATACTGTTGACTGAATTAATGATACGTTATGTTTTAAGTTAATAGATTATTTTATATTTAATCTGTTTAATCGAAGTATAGTAACCTTTAGGTAAGAGTCATAATTTCAAAAAGTACAACCGTGGAACAATAGACTCTTTGGGAAGTCCATATGACTATGGAAGCGTGATGCATTATGGGAGCAAAGCTTTCAGCAAAAATGGAAAACCTACGATCGTCGCCAAGCCGAATCCTAAGGTATGAAGTCATTCGAACTTTTAGCTGTGGAACAAAATCAGTCAATTTTTTTTTAACGGCCTTCAGACTAACTAACCATCACTGATTAAGAATTATTAAACGTGCTTCATGTCAGTTTTATTGCATTCGTAGTATATAATAAACTAATGTTAAGGTCTATTGTTTTTTTAATGAAAATGGTGTTTTGCTTATTTCGTCAGTGACTGACGCTAAATCGATTTGATGCCCAATTTCTTGTTGTCAAAGAGAGCAAATTACAGCGAAATTCGTTGTATCGCGCTGCGCGTATTGCAAAATGCGAAGGGATTTTGGGTTTTTCTGTTCCGTCAATCATTTTACTGAAGGCGGGGTTAATGCAAATCACAATGTAACACGTTCTCCCAGCTTGGCTGAGAATGACTCTTATTAGACTGTTCAAGAATAGCGAAGAAAATCGCGATGGTGCGTGGATTTTTGACGAAGGAAGAAGGGAGATGTTACTTTATTATTGGAAGTGACAAGAAGGAGAAAGAGCAGAAAAATCTGCGAATCAATTAATCTTAACTGGTCGATTACTGCCCGAAACAGGACGATCACAAAGCAACGAACCTTGAAACACGAAACAAATAAAACGGATCGAAATCCACCAATCACGAATCGCAAACCATGACCTTTTGAACTTGTGCAAGTAAACATGTGTTTCCTAAAAGGTCCTCCAAGATGATTGACAGAACAGAAAATGCAAAATTCCTTCGAAGTTTGCAAAACGCACAGCGCGATACAACGAATTTCGTTAAAAATGGGACCGCTCCCTTCATGCATGTAAGATAATCCACGACAGTGTCGGATTCTGGATCCCACGCTGTGGATTCCGGTTTCCAGCTACTGGATTTCGGATTCCTTGTCAATGGAACTTGGATTCCGGATTCCAATCGTAGGCGGAGTTCCAGATTCCAAGAGCTGAAAACCGGAATCCAAAGCCTAAGATTCCCGATTCCACAGGCCAAAATTCTTCGAATTCCAGAAGCCGGATTACATGACCGCTCCGTCTATGCAAAAAATTGCCCTGAAATATGTAGTCCTTAACAGCGGAACACGCAAATTTTGTCCGATAGCTGTTAATTTTGGAACAGTTTAGAACGCCGGTTTTGCCAGTTTCTTTCCATTATAGTGTATTGCAATCTGGTTTTTGATGATGTTTTGAATTTTTTTTAACAGGTTACCCTTGGTCAGCGGAAGGGTATCAGTGCAACAGACGCGAAGCAAATGAACCTCCTCTACAAATCACAGTGCAGTGAGTTAGATAGATAAAATAGGAGCGTTATTTTAACACGATAAGAACATCAGCATCACTGGTGGGTTCATACAACAGTTACGAGAAAAATAAGAATTACTAAAAACAAATTTACTATTAGAAATTAAAAACTATTCAGAATATTTGTAACGGACATCTATGTTTTTAGTTGCAGCTAAAATAGGTTCGAAATTCATTTTATCAGTGTCAAATTCTGCAAGACAGCGTTGAAATTCTTTCAAGGTTTTGCCGTTATCTTCCCTTGTACGTTAAACTCTTCCATGCGATTGTTTCTCTATAACATATGGAGTTTCTGATAAAATTCGTTTGTAGTCTTGGAAGAATGATGTCCTCGTTTCGTTTGCGGCTTAAATTCCTTTGTTAAAACAAATCTTGTGACGGTGTAACCTTGGTGGTGGTGGAGGCTACGGTGGCGGGGGTAAGTGGCATTAGAGACCTTAAGATCGAGGTTTGGTCATTTATTACTGCAAACGACAAATTGCGGTTTGGTGTTAACGGAGAAATTGTCTTCAAAATTACGTTTTTTGAATAGAATTCCATAGTTAATAAGAAAAAGAGTTCCCAAAAATCGTATTTCTTCTCATATGTGAGAAGAGGTTGTAAAAAGATCTTTTGTTTATCCGCTGATTGATCTGAAAACTACTACCCATGATAATTGGCGACTGCGAACAAACGTCCTGCCCAGCGAAGAAGGTTTTAACCAAGCATGGTTTCAAGAAAATATTCCTCAAGAGCTTCTAAAATATCTGAAGCAGCAAACTCTTTCGCCTGTCCCGCTTCTTCCAGCTATGCAAGAAATACGGGGAAACATGGATGACGTGCTTTCTCGAAACGATCTTCAAGCCGATGAAAAAGCTAAGCGATACTTTCAGTTGCAAAACAGATACTTGGGTTTTACAGAAAAATTAAATACAAGAACACGACCGGAAGAAATAATCAGCGGTGTTCCAGCATTCTCCACTCCCCTCAACCCCTTCAACGTAACGCCTGAATTAACAGAAGCGGTTATCTCTCAAAAACCTGAAAAAGAAAGCCTTACCCCACCACCCTTAAATCCTGCTTTCCTGACCCCTTCCCCCACAGTAGAAACCACACCACAACAAGGCCCGAAGCGCAAAAGGCGTCGGATTCAATGTTTAAATTATTTGGATGATCATAATGCTCATGGCAAAGAGATGAGGAAACGAAGTCGGCATAAGAAATTTCGAGTCAAATCTTACTTGTACTCCATGGGCGAAGAAGATGAGGATCAATTCTTCATTCCTTTCAAATCGCGTTGTATATCTCGAGTCTGGTTTTATTGCTAGCAATTATTAATAGCATGTTTCAATTAATCCTTGTAAAGTTATTAATTGTTTTTATAATAATACGTCAAGGTTCTCTCTTGGGGTTTTTACTGTAGAGCTAATTTGTATTCAACGGTGGGTTTGTGACCTCGCATAATTAACTGACTAACGGCGCGTTAAACTACAAGACTTAGGGATAGGGTTAGGTTAAGGTTTAGAGTTAACGAAAGCCATGGTGATAAAAAGTGAACAGAATTTTCCAAAAAAGTGAACTCCAACAAATTGTTTCCTAGCAAAGTGATTGCAAGAAGGATAGCGCTTTCAAAAACTGCCCGCTTTTATTTTGAACACTTAACAGATTCTACATGAGCCAATCAGGGTTAAAAGACACCGGGCAAGTCTGGGCAAGCCTATTGTGCCTATTGTGTAAAGGAGACGCTCATTAATGAACCTATACCGAATTAGTATGCAGGAAGGCACTCGAAAGGCACTACAAATATTCAGGAAGGCACTTATACGTATTAATAAGGGGAAGGCACCAACGGGGCTTAATTCTGACCCTCCACCACTACTTAAAGTTTTCCAAATCAACCCTATCTCTTTTCTCACGACGCTTCCATGCAGGTGACATCATCAAATTTTTGTTTTCCTGTCAGTATGGTGATGTCATGTAATCACCTTAGTCTTGGACTTCAGGCAACGCGTTGTGCCTTTTGCGAGTGGCATGGTTGGGGAAAACACTGTATTTTTCTTCAAAAAAAGTGCAATTAAGTGACAGAAGTTAAAGTTAAGTGGAGTTCCATGGGTGATTCTACCAACTTGTATTTCCTGTTTTGCTTTCTGTTCAATTCCTTTGCTTTGTATTTCTACGTCGTTTTTTTTTTCATGTCTTGACCTGATGGGGATTATCCTAATTCCAGGGGATAAGCTTACACCAAAAACTGACGATGGACTTTTACTTTGTCTTGTTTGCTGTTAAAATAGGGGTTAGCTGCAAAGACAAGACAAGTTTGTGCCGATACTGGAAGTTATTTTGCCGCATTAGCAGTTACGTGAAAGCAAAATGCAAAAAGACCTGCAAACAATGCTAAGCACACAAAAAAGGTGGCAAGTTAGTATTCATTTTAGACTACTTTAATTAAAATGCTTATCTGCAATTTCTCTGACTACAGTTTTTCCAATTAGTGATCAATCAGTGAATCCAATTAGTGGCCTTAAAAAGAGGATTGAGCATAGAATACGACTTTTTAAATTTGCTTCTGGGTAGCCTGAGAAAACAGCCGACTTTTGGTGACGCCAGCTCTGTTTTTCCCACCTAATGAAGTCTGAGAAAAGAGCGCAGAAATTCCATACTGATGACGCGTCACTACCCAGATCTGGCGTCATCAGTATTTATTCCAGGGGATAAGTTTACACCAAAACTGGCAATGGACTTTTACTTTCTCTTGTTTGCTATTAAAATAGGAGTTAGCTGCAAAGACAAGACAATGTTTACGTATTGCAGTTAAGCAACAAAAGATAAATTAGGCGCTTTTCTTTCACGGAAATCTCTTTGACTTGGTATAGTTCAATAAATGTGCGTATTTGATTTCTTGCAGATCATTTGCCTCTGGAAACAAAACTGAGTGACTTTTAAAAAGAAGTTTTATTTATCTGGGAATGAATAAATAAAAGAGCTTTTAAAATTTTTGAGGAGATTTTCTTTGCATTTTTGTCCCCAATTCGACACTTTAGAAACGAGATGGAGACTGGTGCCGAAATGTGTCCCAAATAGGCTATTTCCGATTTGCCTCAAGCCACTATTTCAAAGCGAGGTTAAGTGTGAAGCCATTGATATGAAAATGATTTTTAATTACGATGCAACTAAAACTCATTTACACAACAAAGGTTTCGCACTTAACCTCGTTTTGAAAGTGAGATTTTTTGGAACTCGGAAATGGTTTCTGGGATCGTTACTGAGCATGCGTCGGTCAGCTATTGGCCTAATCTAGTACCCAGATCTCCCACGTGTAAACAGAGTGAGATCTGGGTACGAGATTACTATTGGCCAAGTTTTTCCCTGTCCCTAGTAACAGTCCCAGATGTTATTGCCACAAAAAAAAGACTCGTCCCACTTAAGTGAATGAAGGCATGTGTCAACAGCTATTTTCCCATAAAAATGATGGTGGTGGTCGATAATGGTAACTTTTTATCATGAAGCACAACATACCAAAATGAATATTATAAACTACAAAAAATTACACTTCAGAAAACGCAAATATTATGCAAATTAGGTCCGTGACCTAACAGCTCCACAAAGTTTCTTTAAGAAGAAATGGGCACACTCTTTAGCAAGATTTATTTTACTTAATAACTGGTAGAAGAAAGCCGCTACAAAACTGTGCTTAACAACTTTGAAATATCTGGTTTATTTTGAAAATAAACGGGTTTTCCGACTAGTACCTAGTCTCCGAACACAAGTGTATCATTTTAACATGCTTTTCCTTTGAAAAATCTTGACATTGCCAAGCGCAGAAATGAGATACCTAACGGCCTTAAAATTATGAAACTAGTAGAAAAATTTAGGAAGCAAGAAAAAGTGTGCCCAGTTTAGTTCAAAGCTTTTCTGGGCGTGGCGAGTCATGTTGCCTCATTTGCAGGTTTGGTGTAGGCCAAATAGACAAAAACTAGCATTGTATGTGTCTGACAAGTTTTCAACCTGCTGCTGCTAATGCAATTCGAAAGATAGACCACACTCTCACTTTTCGACTTGACAACTGGGGACCCATGCCTTAATAGGACAATTGCATGATGACGATATTTGACTACAACTACCTACCAGAATTCATTTCGGTTTTGCTTTGTCATTTAAATTTATCAATCCCGCTGAGGATTAAAGAACAATAGCCTTAATTTGCACAAGAAAACAACAAACTCAAGGATTCTGGTAGTTGTAGTAAAATGACGTCGTCGTGCAATTGTCCTATTAACTTCAGCAGTTTCTTTCTGGTTTCTAAAGTAGCAAATTAGTACTTTTGCGCTTGGAAATACATCGACACTCAAATAAAGTGCATTTATTTTTACATCTTCCTTTGTAACCAAAATGTCAGTATATTCGTCATGATTAAAATCTGAATCGTTGGATAATGCAATTGTAGAGCTCTGATTGGCTTAGCCATCATGGTATATGGGCCATTATACCATGTTCTCCAAATATGGTAACTGTACGCGTCTGCTCAAAATTAAAAACAAGCTGAAAAACTGGTTGTTCTCACAAATAAAGTCGGGAAGAATTCTCGATATTTTGTGGGTGTTTTTAATGAAACAATTATTCTACTCGCGCTTGTTGGAAATGAAATCAATTATAGCCAACTCATATCCAACGCACACTCGTGGAATAATTGTTAATTAACATGTCACTATACTAAATCATGGGTTAACCCCTTTGAAAAAATCCAATTTTCTCGACTATCTGAAATCGAATATTTTTCTACAGTAGGTTTTTATCTACGCAGAACATTATTTCTATGTCAGCAATCAGTAAAATAAACAATCGAGAAATTTCAAATTTTTGACCTTAATCAAATGATTTTTGTCCAAAGAAAACGTAGCAAGAAGATATTGCTATGGCTATTTTGCCATTAAACAAAAAATTAAGAAATTTCAAATTTTTGACCTAAATGATGGGTTGCCCCCTTTCAAAAGATCCAATACTGCCGATACCTAATAAAATCAATTTTTTATAGTCTCGAAAGGCTTTTATCTATGAAGGAAATTATTTCTATTGCTATTTAGGAATCAGTAAAATAAATGATCGAGAAATTTCAAATTTTTGACCTAAATCATGGGTTAACCCCCTTGAAAAAATTCAATATCGTCGACTATCTAAAACCCAGTGAAAATCGATGTTTATATAATTTATAGTCTCGGAAGGGATTGTATCTATACAGAACATAAAAAAACGTCATTTCTATGCCTGTTTAGCAATAGAGTAAACAATCGAGAAATTTTTATATAGCCTGCCTAGAAAAGCTTTTTGTCTAAACAAAACATAAAAAGTTTTATCTATTACGATTTTGCCATAATACAAACAATGACGAAATTTCGAATAAATCAGGGGTTGACTCCTTTAAATAAATCCGTCATACAGCCAAAATACCAATTAGCTCATCAGTACCTCTGCAGTTGTCAACGGAACCGACACAATTAAATGAAAACTTTTTCATAAGGATTTATCTTGATAACAAATAACTAGGACCTCCAAGAGACTTTCAAGGGTGGCAAAGCTTTAAACTCGTTCACGTGTGTTGCCTGTTTCTCGCATTTCGTGCGCGACTTTCCTTAGATACACAGAAAGTATCCATGCCCCATGAACGAGGTCACCTTCAACAGCAAAACGCAAACTGAGTCCTTGCTTTTGCATTCATTTTATTTTACTGCGTTTTTCCTGATGTTAGCGTATCTTTGATGAACTTTTCCAAAAATTTACTGGTGGGAAAGGGAGAGAGCGAGGGAGAACATGATCTTATAGAGTCACTCCCTGTAAACTACTGTTAATCTTCGCTTCTGTAAATAATTGTTCACTGTGTTCTAAAGATTTATTCGTTGTCAATGGACGTTAATGCGGAAAGTTTAAGCTGGTCAAATTTTAACAAGGCTCGATTTTATTTGGCACAATTTCTATTGTTTCTTTATAAGGAAACCACCGCAGTACCTACAAAAATATTCAGCATGAATCTGAATTTGATACAGTGACATTTTAAAATGGTTTTGTATTTATCGAAAGCTGCTAATGTGTTCATTTACTTTTTTAAGTTGAGTTTTGGCAAAATGTATCAATGTCGTTTATTGGATGTTAACTAAACTTTAAATCAGGCAATATTTTTAGTTCAACTGTTTAGTTATCTCACGATTGCAAATGGTGTGATCTTTCACACAAAGGACGATAATCGTGTGAATTTATGTTGAATAAGGAAAAATACCTTAAAATCAGGCTAAATCTTAGTGTCAGTAGATTGTATGTTATAAAACATATTAAATGTTTGAAATCTTGTTCAAACGATTCGTGACACAAATAACCACCATGAGGTTCTCGGTTGGAAAGCTGAGTAAACTTTCGTGCACTATTCACTTAAAGTGTTACGCAAAAATTATCATCTTCTGTAAGACTAGTGCTTTTTCGAAACGGGAGCACTTGTCAACTGGTAAGAATAGAACTTTTATTGTTCAAAAATGCTAATAAATCGGCGTTTAACCGTGATCAAACGATTTTAAGTTTATTGTTTCGTTCTTCGAGGATAGTTCAATTTCAGAGTTTATTTGTGTCAATAACATCTAAACAAACTAAAGCGATTTTACTCGCGAACAGAAGAAAAAATCTATATACGTACGCAGGCTGGTTAAAAAAGTGAAATGATAAATGAGATATGACCTGGGGACTCCAGCAGCTTGTTCAGGTCCTTTTACTGGAAACAAATTATGAACTGTTCTTATTGGGAGAAGGGTTAATTTAAATACTTTTAGATCAAAGAAATTTCTCCGTTTTACCTTTTGGGACCGTCCTGGTCACTGTCAAGCACAGTTGATGACTTAATTTTAAGTAATCTATCTTTCTGGAAGTCAAGTAGTATTCTGAAATTAAGGTCAAAGTAGTTGGGGGAAAGTGAAATCAGACTCAAAATTCAACAAGTTTTATCTGGATGGAGCATATGTTCAAAAATACACATAATTTGTTGTCTTATGCCAATGTAATATGCCTCACTTTTAAACAATAATCGCAAACATCAAATAGACAACTCAAACATTTGCACACGTAAGGCGTCATTGCCTTTCCAATAAATGCTCTAGTCCTTCAGCGAATAAATCACATATTACTTCGAACACCATGAAGTGGCTGTACGTTTTTGCATTGTACGTAGCCTTTGCTGCCGCATCCGAAACACCTGACGGTAACTATAACTATAATTTCTCTTATTGTTAGTTTAAGGCTTTAGATTGCGTAATTGGCACCCAGAAAGAACATAGAGCGTTTATAAATGAGAGTATTCTACTAACCTGATTATCTCATTATATCGTGTGCACCTATCAGCGTTTTAGGCAGGATTTCATGCTCCGTCTTCATGCTTCACGCTTTTGTTTTTTGTTTTGCGTTGTAGAGAATGAGGGTGTGTATAATCCAGACCTGTATGAAGGTGACATGATTCTGACGCCTGATCAACGCATGGCGGCAGAAATGGGACTGGATGTAGACAATCCCTTGGGAAGAGGCTTGAGCGAAAACAGAAAGTGGCCTGACGGCAAGTTGGTTTATGCCATCGACCCAAGTCTAGGTACGTCTGAATTCTTGTTTCTTTACAGAAAAATATTTCTATTAATATTAAAGTTGATATAGCACGTTTTTTTGAAACAGAAGTGCTGGGTCATTAGTTTTTCCATTATATAAAATTGATCTGGGACAAAAAAATTTCCATTAAAGTGTGGTGGATCGAACAATGAAGCGACGAACAACTGCAGTTTAATCTTAAATTATTGATTTGTAAAAAATAGAGGGTAATTGATTATTCAGAACAGTGCAGTCCTATAGATAGCCCCTACAATTAAAAAATTTGAAAAAAAAAGACTTCATGAATAAAAAAGTAATATCATCATTATCATCAATCTGTAGTTGGTCATTTTCTGAAGAAGTGAGGCACCTTGCGTGAGGATGTATTGGAATGGAAAGCCATATTTATTTTTATATAGCTATACAGTCAGACTTTCTTAAATAAAACTCTATATGTCTACAAAAAATATTTCATGCAGTCGATCACCATCTTTAATTTTAAGTAAAGGCAAAGCCGGAGGGACTGGGGAAAGTAGAAAGCTCCATCAGAAGAGTGAGTATCACGCGTCTACCACCATAAGCGAGTTCCAGTGCTCCCCTCCACTCCCTCCACCCGCCTTCCCCCCTTCCAAAAAGAAGAAATAAATAAGAAAAGAAAACTACCAAACTCAGGCTAAACGACTATAAAAGATACAAAATTTGTTGATAATATATACTGCTTGGATTTTAGATGGCACGCTGTGAATTCCTTGTCAGTAAAACTTGGATTCCTGATTCTAATCATAGGCAGGATTCCGGATTCCTTTCGCTGAATTCCGGAATCTGAAAATTTCCCGGAATCCAGATACCACCAGCAAAAATTTCCAGGATTTTGGAATCCTGATTACCTTACACGGGGCAATACTGCAGTTATATTAATCACGTTTTTTCTTTGTCTATACTCTATTCAGCTCAAGATTCCAGAGCCATGGACGCCATTAGAGCAGGAATGGAGGAATGGACGACATTGACTTGCATTCGCTTCAAGAGGAGAACAGATGAGAAGAATTATGTTTATTTTAAACCTGGCTCAGGGTAATTACGTGGTATCGCACTAGTGAAACCGACCTGGGGGAGCAGGGGGAGGATGATCTCGTAGATAAGCCGCTATACCGACATTTAATCCCCAATTCGTCTGTAATTGTGTGAAGATTACAATCGCTTGCGTCTCAACTACAGTAAAGTTTTATGTCCAGTTTAATTTTAAAAGACATGAGTTCAAATATCGACTCGAATTTCCTCTGCGTATACTTCGCTTTTGACACAAGGAAGGTCAGCCTCGTCCCCATTGGTTTTCCTGCCGCCCAGCGTAAAAAACTACCATCAAAATTTTTTCCACCAACACATTTAATTACTTTATGTTAATCTTTTTAGTTGTTTTTGTCAAAAGAGAGTAACATTATTATTTTGGGGTTGTAATGGGTGAGTCATACACTTTGTACGTGAAACCTGGTATTTGCTTCATCTTCCTTCCAGTTGTTCATCTTATGTTGGAAAAACTGGTTACCGTCAGGATATAAACCTCGCCCGTGGGTGCTGGTACCGGGGAGTTGTTGCTCATGAAATCGGTAAGTGTAGAAAATAACTAAATAAATGAGTAATTAATGAAACAAAGTCGACAACTTCACAGACTAAATCAAACTACTGTGAGGACAAAGCTTTTATAGCTTCGAATAATTCTGTGATTTTCTCAATTCTCGGTGTAGGTGTGCTTTCCCACGTTTAAAATACCTCGCACAGCCGAGTGTTAATTTAAACTGAATTTTAAGAAGACTAGAGCTGCGAGGAGTTATAGATCTGCTTTGAAAACAGTTATAAAAAATGTGTTCATTCTTGCTACAATCTTTTTGGGGCAAAAAATTGGAGGTAAATTTCTCGCATTTCTGTATTGGAAGTTTAAACATATTAGTAATAAGCCGTTTCCGAGTTGTCCAAAACCTCTGTTTCAAAGCGAGGCTAAGTGCGAAACCATTGATATGAAAATGTTTTCTTTATTCTTATGCAAACAAAACACCTTTTCACAACAAAGGTTTTGCTCGTAGCCGTGTTTTGAACGGGGGAGTTTTTGAAACTCGGAATTGGTTTATTCAGTCTGTGTATTGGACATGAATTATTCATGCGTTTTTAGCTGCCTATGAAATGGGCCATTTCCGATTTGTCTCAAGCCTCTGTTTCAAAGCGAGGCTAAGTGCAAAGCCATTGATATGAAAATGATTTTTTACTCTCTTTAAAACTCATTTTCACATGAGAAAGGTTTTAGTACTTAGCCTCGTTTCGAAGCGAGAGTTTTTGAAACTCGGGATTGGCCTGTTCCGATTGTTTCCATTTCATCGTTTTTTTTTAATTTCCTCAGGGCACGCATTGGGATTCTATCACGAACAGTCACGTCCTGACAGGGATAATTACGTCACTATTATGTGGGACAACATCATTGAAGGTCAATTGTGCATGTGAAAAAGCTGAAATGGCTTAGCCTTTTCCCCATTCCTCATTTTGGTCTGTTCAGTAGAGAGCTTGTGAATTCGTGGGCGGGGGGGCTTTCGTGGCCTATACGGGGGGTACCTGTTTTAGACCTCAGGTTCACGAAAGGGTAGGGATTTCTCTAGTTGAAGGACATGAAAGGATAGGGAAATCCGTCATTTCGGTCTGCAAAAGGGGAAGACATATATTTCAAGGGGTTGCAAAGTTCTAAGCTAGGTCTGAGAAAGGTGTACCATTTGTCAATAGAATGCATATCAAAAGGGTCGCCTCTTCTGGCAAAAACTTTATATAAAAGGGTAAGGGGTTAGATCTTGGGGTGAAGCCTCCCAGTCAAAAAAAGCCTTGTTGAGCACCTCCGGAGTGTGTGAATTGATTTTACTTCAGTTTTATGAAGGAACTAAAAATATTTAACTGTCTCATCAAAGTGTTTAAAAACCTTTAGGATACAAGTTTAATTTCCATACGTACCACCGAGGAACAACTGACTCGCTGGGAACCAGGTATGATTACGGAAGCGTAATGCATTATGGGAGCAGAGCTTTTAGCAAAAATGGAAAACCTACGATCGTCGCCAAGAAATCTGGGGTAGGTTGTAATTCCTTTACACCTGTAAATAGCCATGATCACTAGAGCAATTAGCAGGTCAGTATGAGTCATTAAAAACATTATTTCAATTCACTAAGCAGACTCTCGGTGCCATGTTAAATGGTTTGGGTTGATACACTTATTTTAATGACATGCTTGATATCAATATTTTACCCTGTTATTCAACTTTGCGTCTTGTAGTTTATCGCTGTCCTGCTGACCTCTTGTAAGATGTCTTCCGCTTAGCAGTCATGTTGAATTGTGAGGGCGTTTCCCTCTCTGTTCCATTAACTATCTTGATATACCCAAATACAGACTGGACAAAGATACTTCGGTAACTTTGATGCACCATGACTCAACCATAATTCTGATCATCCTAAAGAAATCCACCTGAAATTAATCTTGTGATCATAACCTGGTCTGATTAGAATCAGGATTCACATGGAACCCATTTAAAAACGTCATTATGAGGGAAATTAAAAGTAAGTGATTTTTCTTAGTTGAAACGTTAGACTCTGTTACAAATAGTTATATGAAGAGACAACCTCATACATGTAAATATCAAAGAAAAGAAGCAAACATTAGTATTCATCGTCCCAATGTTTTCCCTTTCTTTTTGTTGTTAGGTTAAAATCGGTCAGCGGGACGGTATTAGTGCAGTAGACGCAGAACAAATGAATCGCCTTTACAAGTGTGGTGGAGCTTATACCGGAGTCGTTGGTAGGTAGCATCAAGCTTGCAGCATTTTAGTTGAAGATGGACATGAAGGACGAAGGGTGCTGCGGCGGGGGGGTGGGAGTTGGCAGGGCGGAGGGTGGGTGAGCACCTCCCTATTGGAAATTACTAAGGTGCGTTGCGTGATACTGCCTGAGAAGGTAAAAGTTGACTTTGGGTAGATAAATCTGTTAAATATCACCGCCTTTGGTGGCTACTTTGGTTGCTCTAGCTCCTTGCACATAACAAGCCCAAAAATGACAGGAATCAATGAGAAAAACACAATCATGAGGCCATGTTTAATAGGGTCAATTGACTAAAGCCTGCTCCGCAGAGGAAACTAAACTCTGGCCAAGTCCATCTGCGAAACAGCGCAGAAATCCTTGTTCTGGGCCCCACCTGTGTACCAGGATTTGAAGACGCGCCATATTGTCCTGTTTAAAATGTCATTGTCGATTTGCCAATCAGGATGAAAGGAAATTAGAAACCCACTTCCGGTAATTTGCCGAGTCCGTTGGGTGCCCGGAACAAGGATCCCGGCACTGCTTAACCGACGTTACTCACCGAGGTTGAATTACGTCTGCGACACAGGCTAACTAACCATTAACTTCAAGATAATCGTACTTTCCTCCTTTAATAGGAAGTACCTGCGTGGACAAGAGCCGATGGTGCAAATATTGGACAAGACATTGCAAAAACCAACAATACGTAATCGATAACTGCAAGAGGACCTGCAACCGATGCTGATCAAAGAGGTGACATAAAGTTTGTGGTCCTGTTCTGTGGTCAAAGCTTACTTCAATTAAAATTATATATAGGGTGCTATACTCTTGCCTGAGTCTACATGTATCTCCAACTTTTCATGTAAGCTTTGCATAATTTATGAACAAGCTGAAGAATATAAATGAGCGTAACGGTAACCTCAGTATAACAAGTTTGTTTACCCTCGAGTTTCAACGTTGAGAGTGATACTCCATTATTACTCCACTTGTATGTGAATTTATTTGACTTTTATTCAGCCTATAACCGTGGTAGCCCCTTTTTCGACAAAGCAAAAATTTTTACCTTTTTTTTCTAGAAAAAAAAAATAGTAGAAAAAAACAGTGCATCTTTGCTATGCCTATGCCTACATGTAATATTTTTACTGTTTTGCTAGGGCATAGTTAGTAGAGGAGCTGGTTAATGAAAACAGGCAAATTAACTTCTCAAACTCATTAATAATTCATAAAGAAAATTCAAAGGATATTAATGTTTAATGAGTGTTTGGATATCAGATGAAAAACTGCTCATTTTTGTATCCTTAATTTCTCCTTCAAAAATGATTTTGTTTGAGAAGAAATATGAAACATTCGACACAGTGTTTCATCACCAGATGAAACACCTCGAAGTTCGTCAAAAATACTCCGCTGCGCGTCGTATTTTCAACTCTCTTCTCGGTGTTTCATCTGGTGATGAAACACTGCATCTCATGTTTGTTAAATTAAATCAAAGTTGAAAACATCGGTGCTGTAGTTTATGTTGGAAGCTCCCTGACCGTACACAATCCTTTGTTTTTTGTTCACACATTGTGGCTGCGATGTTTCTATTGGTCAGTAAGTTTAAAATGACAGGAACGCTATTGAACATTGTGCACGGTCAGGTCCAAAAACGGTACGAAAAACACGTAACAAAGGAGTCTAACGGTTTTCATAACCATTCCACTTTAAAACTATTATAGCTAGGGGGAATAGGCGACTTGCACACAACATAATTGCCGGCGTGCCGTTCTGTCAACCCTTTTCTCTTTTTCCTTTTCGTTTTGCATTAATTACTTCTTTTTTGCTCAGGTTCCCTTTCTTATTTAATCTTTTACTTAATCTTTTGCAGGCCATTTGCTGCTGGAAATTAAACATACTTTCAAGACGTTCTCGTTGAGCATTGTTGAGTAGGCTTTTCACATGACATTTGACCGTGTATTCATGCTGTCTTAAATAAATGATACTAAAGTAAAAAAAAAAACCCGTCTCATCTGTTAGTTACCTGAGCGACTTTCATGGGCCGAGATGGGAAGGAAGCAGAATTCACACTGAAACCCAACACGATGCTCTATAAATTTCTCATCCTTTGTTATGTTTAGCCAACTTTTTACCCAGACAAAAGAATTGAAAGTAAACATGCCTCGAAACCAGTTGCTTCGTCCGGAGTATTTTTACACTGCTGCTCACCTGGTTTTGTTTATTCTGTTTTGTCAGTTTATTTCTTGATACATTCCTGAATACTTCCGTTCTTGTCTATTAAGCTGCTACAGCTGCTTCTCCCAGTGTTTCTTGCGGTGTTGAACATCTTTGTTATCAGCTTGTTCCATTTATTTTTTCACGTAAATACAAAAGAATACTAGACGTCCTCCACTCTGAAATATTTACGTTTTTCGGCGGTTTGACCAACCGAATTAGAAAATACTTGCACAGTTGAACAGATGGAATGATAGGTTCGGTATTAAAACTGGAATAAAATGCAAAAATAAGTGTCACCATCTTCATCTGCAAAGAAGCATCATGGACTCTCTTATCTTCTCGTTGTTTCATCTGGTGATGAATCACTGTTTCTCATGCTTGATACCATAAAATTCCGAAAATAAGCCCCGGGGCTTATATTTTTCAAAGGCCCTTTTTGAGGGGCCTATTTTTGAAGGGGCTTATATTCGGAGGGGCTTATCTGTGGAGGGAAATTTACGTTTCAAAATCGATTGGGCTAGCCTCATAGTTGGATGGAAATTTACCGTTTTTGCTTTGTTTTGCTATGTATTTGAGGGCAATTTCCAAGTACAAGCCCCCAGGGGGCTTATATATATCAAGGGGCGATTTAACGAAGGGTCTTTTTGCGTTACGAGTTTGCGGGGCTTATATTTGGAGGGGCTTATACATGGAGGGGCATATTTTGGAAATTCTACGGGATATTACATCCAGAATGAAGGATCAGCAATTGCAGCATGTTAGCAGCGTGTTTATCGTTCGCCTGGAGTCCCTACCCCAGTCAATTCTACATTTAATTATAAGACCAATTTATGTCCTCATAAATTTAAGTTAATGGGACAACCATGAGAGATTACGTGCCGGTTGTGTGACATGCTTTAAGGTATGGGGTAGGGTTTCACAGTCCAAAGTTTAGCGTGATCACATGCATTTGTAACGCAAACTGTTCGCTGAGCCAATCAGAATCGGCTGGTATTTCACTGTCAATCAATCCTCAGACATCGAGCACGAGTTGTGTGTTCATTCATTCCTTCGCTGCAAGCTAGCAACTGTATTTGTCTTGTTCTACAATGTGTTTTTCCCTCCCTCCCACCCTATGGTTTAAGCATGTCACACCCAAATTAACACTAGTATTACACAATGCTTATGAATTTACGAATAGTTGTAATATATCTTACTTAAGCTGTTAAGCTGGGCCTTTGGCCCCCATGTTAGGGATCATTGACTAGCTTTCCTATGTACAGCCACTGTTCATGTTTCTAATTTTCAGATTCACAGCAATATGTATTGATATCTCTTTATACAAAACGTTACAGTTATGAGCTATTTTTTGTTACTGTTAGCAACCAGTGCTGTTGGTATTAATTTTATGCAGTTTACATGCATCAAAGACACTGAATGAACTGTTTAGCCTTGTCTAATCCCAAGGACTACATAATTGTAGTAATGAGTTAGTCTACAATTTTGATCTGTCTAATTAAAATACAGAAATAAACTTTGGGTTGGGATGAAGTGCTCCCTTACAGGCACTCTTGGCCCCATAGACTCACAGAATTGATGGGTTACCATGGTAACCATGAGTCTAAACTCCCTTAGCCATAGGACTAGGAACCTCTTTCAGGGTATTGTGACCTGCAGCCCTGAGGGGGAGTAGGGACCTTTTCAGGGTATTGTGACCTGCAGCCCTGAAAGGGAGTAAGGACCTCTTTCGGGGTATTGTGACTGCAGCCCCGAAGAGGATTAGGAACCTCTCCCAGGGGTTTGTGACCTGCATCCCCGGAGAGGAGGGGGCTTTGACCCCCCTTACCAAGCCAGATTAGTGATTTATCTATTGATGGCATTTAGTTCCACCGGCCTGCTATTGGAGTACTTCATTCCCAACCCCTTACCCCACATATTGTTGTTGTGTTCTTATGTCTCATGGGTTGGGAGCATTAACTACTATATAGGGCATTTAAAGAATTTAAAATGAAAGGATAAAGGATAATAAGTAATGGTTTATAGGCTAAGAAGAGGTATTGTTCAATTGACATATTTGTGCAGTGTCCTTAAATATATTACATGATGGGTAAAAATTTGAGTCTAAGTGGCACAGCTTATCCCAGATTTTGAATCAGACAATTTAAAAGACGTCTTAACTACATTTGGAGATTCTCTTGGTCTAAAACATTCACTTTAGCTCACTTTACTAGCAAATCTTTTTTATAATTGGTATCCTTAATGCAGGAGTCAAGACCCCAGGAGGATACGCAAGATTTCAAGTGACGGGGATGATCGAATAGCCGGGGGCAAAAATCAAAACGCAAATAAATTCCTAGGGCTTTCAACAAAACCAAACAAAAAATCCCTGGACAAAAATCATCCCCACAAAAAAAAAATCGCATGCCGAAACACTCGAGACACTCACAAACATATTTTGTTTCATCAATAACATTACACAGAAAGACTGTAACTTCAGATTGTTTTGAATATGCCCAAAAAAAAAAAGAAAAAAATCCTACGTAAATCAAGCCACCCAAAAACATACTTACCAAATTTTCCAACCCAAAAAAATCCTGTTAGCAAAAATTTCAAATTAAAAATTACATTTTTGGATCATCCCCGTCACTTCAAGGCACCAAGGAATACATCCGGAATGCAACAGTTTCATTTCAGGGTAGTTATCTTACGTTTAAGATACATTAGAATATATATTTGTTTCAGCATATTCCCAACTAATATGTGATATCTTAAATACGTAAAAATTCCAATTATAGATTTTGCCATTTTGTTATTTTAGTACTTGGGGCTGCCAACTTGAATGTTTATCAATAACTATGAAACTGCCAGAAACAATGACAACTGATATTACATATAGTCTTAATGGTTTTTGTTCCATACTGCAAATATTCAGTGAAAATCTATTCTAGGTTTGCATGATGATGATGCCGTCGATATTGACGGTGGTTCGTTTTAATGAAAATGAATTAAAAATGGTCGGTTTTTGGATACATCGTTTCTTTTCTCAACGTAAAATCCTAATGAGCCGGATTTTTTTACTTATCTTTGATTTTAGTAAAGAAACGCACTGTAAATTAACTGGCCAGGCAAGTACAGACAAGTAACTAATAATAGACGACGGTTGTTTGTTGAAGACTAATTTTAGATGGTCAATATGACGAACAAAAGTATGGCTGAGGGCTTAGGGGAATCAGATATTTAACCAGTGGCTGCCAGTGGGCATGCGCACTAATATGCGTACTCCTTTTGGTAATTAGGGAGCTTAAGAAACGACGACGGCGACGGCGACGGCAACGAGAATAGGGAACTTTAGCATCGACGACGGCATCGGCAGCGAAAACGTCAGTTTTAAAACGAATTCCCGTATTTTCAATCTTTGTCACGTTTATTCCAATTTGTTAAAAATGGCAAGTGTAGGCGAATTTCGCTGGAGTTGATTTCTTGAGGACCGCACTCAAGTTTAGAGAGAGAAAAAGAGATTCGTCGTCGCTTGTTTACGTCCTCCATAAAACTTGCAATTAGGCATTTTCACGTCGTAGTCGTGCAAGGACGGTGAAGAAATGTACAAAAAAGCGTGATGCACGTGCAAAGTTGTTGTTTTGCGTTAACCTATTGCTTTTTCGACGTCCAGGTTGCCCTCGCCGTCGTCGTTGCTAAAGCTCCCTAATGGCAAAAAAGCAATACGTTTAGGCTTTTAAAACAACAACTCTGCACGCACGCTTTTTTTTGTATATTTCTTTGCCGTCTTTGTACGCCTATGACGTGAAAGTGCCTCACGTTTTGTCGAGGACGGGAACACAAGACAACAACTTTCTCTTTCTTTTCCAGAACTTTGATACAGTCCTTGGGAGAGGGGCACATCTAGGACGACTAATATTGCGCCCCTTAGTAAAATTGTATATTATGACAAAGAAAGATAGATACATACAGTATAGATATTAATAATACTTAAAAAGGACAGCAATATTAGTACTGAGTGACATAATAACCTGTCAATATACATTTAAATTCTGTTTTCGAAGATTTTTGACGGATGGACGAAGAAATGTTGTTCCAAAACCATTTACTTGTACTTGAAGAAAATCTCCTTAGGTTTGTGCGGAAAGATTCAATAACTAGATGATCTGATAATGCACTAGGAGTATGATAAATATGCTGCGCTGCTAAAAGCGTAAGGATTGTGGTTTATATTAGGGTGGCAATTGGTATGTGGCAATTAGGTTCCCTCTTAAAACAAAGTGTTTGATATTATATGTTGGTTTCGGGAGAAGGGAAAACACAACAATATTAACAACACCAAAACAAAGTAATGATAAAAATAAAAATAAGAAAAGAAAACATTAAAACAAAAACAATTTCATGCCGCCCCCAAAAAACAATCTGATTGATTCATGCTGTTCCTACAACTTAATAAAATTCAATTAATCGCAATTTAACCAATTTGTTTTAATTTGAGTATAATAAAAAAAAATTGTTTTTTTCCACTAGAAAAAATAATTGTTGAAAATAATCTTAATTTAGAAAATAATCTTAATTTAGAAAGTTCTAAAATAGAAAGAAGAAGAAGTTCTTAGAAGTTAGAAGTTCTTAAAGTCTAGTACGCAAATTGCACGAACGGACATGAATTATAAACTAATAGAAATGACAAGAAATTTATGAATTGCTATAAAGTAAGCAAGAAAATGAATTTTCTTGAGTGGAAAGAAGCAACACGAGCCACTCTTCTGTTAATTGAAGTTTTATTGAGAGGTTTGTGCTTAGCACATTTTGATCAGGAAGCCGGATACATATATTCTCATATTACCAGTAAATATGGAGTTTGTCAATGATACATATTAAAATATTGAGTGCTAAAAAATTGTAAATCTTGGTTTTAAATGTTTGATAAATGTTGACAAACTACAACTAATATTTTAGGTATCTCTCTTTTTGATTTGCACAATGGAACTATCATATATTTTCATATTTCCAGTATGGAGTTTGTGAATGATACACACCATTGAAATATGAAACGCCAAAAAATGTAAACCTTGTTTTTAGTCATTTTATAAATATTGACCAACTTCAAATACACTTAACAATTATACGGCTCTCATTTGAAAGTTATTTTAGGCGTCTCTCCTTTTGGTTTGTGCAAATAATGGAAGTAACATATATGTTAGTTCATATTTATGTTCATAGTTTGCCAATGATACACATTAAAATATTGAATGCTAAAAAAATGTAAACCTTGTATTTAGTCATTTTATAAATATTGACCAACAACAAATACATATAAGACTTAGACAGCTCTCATTTGAGAGTTATTTTAGGTCAGTGTCTGTCTTTGAGTTTGTTCGAAAGAAGTATCATGAGATGATCATGAAGTATCATGAGATGAAGTGGTTTACTCTTCTATTCTTGGTGAACGCAGTGTTTTGTGCTGACCATAATCCTGATGGTAAGTATTTCGGTCTTAAAGTAGTAAAAAAATTCGATAATAGTTTGACCTCGTGAATTTTTCTAGTTGCGAATTGGTTGCCCTTCCTTTAAAAAAAAAAAAAGAAAAAGAAAATTGGCTAGGCTTCTGGGGAACAAAAGCTACTGAGAAGTGTCAACATCCAAATCGAATCTGGGTAAAGGAAGGAAGGAAGGAAGGAAGGAGTCATGGATGAGAGGACAACAAACGTGCCCTCTTTACAATATTACTTATCAACATGTGAACAGTAAGCTCGGACGTCAGCATACAAAGTCGCCACTGGCAGCCGCTATCGGTCCATTTTTTTATGAGCTTAACTACTGTAGTCCCACAAAACCCATGATGTGAATGATGTGTGAAGGTTGCCCACATCAGTGGGTTCTACGTCCCCTACTCTTTTCGAACAGTGGTGTGGGTTCTTTTACGTCTCACAAGAAGAGATAGGTGTAAGTGCCGTGGGACGGTTACTACGATTTTTCATCCTTAACCGAGAAGACTAGGAAGGCTAACCATTCGCAGATGTCATTACAAACACAGCTCTTTCTTCTCAGTTTTTTAAAGACCCTGAGTGTTGATCCGGCCGGGATTCGAACCCACGACCTCCCGCTCAGCAGACCGGCGCTCTCCCAGCTAAGCTAACCAGGACGCAGTTGGGCTTCTGATGATTGATTGAAACAAAACACAAAACCAATCAGAAGCACTTCCCAGATACGTCAATATTATGAAATTTCTCCGCTCGTTCCTCAGACGAGATTTCGCAGTGAGGAAATCAGTTTTGGCGTCGTAAAGTATAACGGTTGTTTTCTTACACTATTGCTACTCTCACTTTATAGAGAATGAAGGCGTTAATGACCCGAACCTGTTCGAAGGAGACATGATTCTGACTCCAGAACAGCGCTACAGGGCCGAGCATGGAATGGATGTTAATTTCGGTGACAATCGGAAAAGGGGCGCACGGAAAGGTGGAGGGCTTTGGCCTAATGGAGTGGTAGTGTATGAAATCGCACCTGACCTCGGTAAGTTTTTAATATCGGAATTGTTTGTTCAACTCTGGCTCTTTGAGCTTCTCTATGGGTAGAGGGTTCCCAACGGGGTTTTCAATCTCGTAATCCCGACCCAAACGTTCGTGCGATACTGTAATCCCGAGAGTTATTTTTTGCATCCCACCTTCCGCGTACACTTTCAATCCCCAATCTCGCCCTCATTTTGCTTTAAAATCCCGAATCCCGAGCTTCATATTAAACGCAAATCCCGGATCCCGTAAGGCCTGTTGGGGATCCTCTGTGTACGTGAAGACTTTTATGGTTAGATTCTTTAACTTTCGCTCTAAACATAAAGCAAAATCAAAGTCCAAAACATGAGTGCATACTTTATATATGTGCATAGCTTTATACAATAGTATTGTCATTTTATGAGATTTAGTGTACGTGAGCATTTTAGATACACCTAATTGCTATAACATTGTCACATAAAATTTCCAAAAAGAAAAAGGACAAAGCCAAATAGGAATTAATTAGGCTAATAAGCCACATTCTTATGGTGGATTCACAGCCTTATTGCCCCGCAGGATTTTTTTTTTGTTTTTCAGCTTTAAAATAATAAAGAATATTAACCCACTCCAAGGGGCAAATGCAATGGCCATGCGCCTATGCCGCATTATGCAAATAAATCCACCCTGAGCTGAATATTGTATATTTGCTTAATTAATTCCCACTTGGCTTTTTCCTTTTTTCTTTTAGCGTTTTTCTAAGACAACGCTATTTTTAGCTGATGAAGCACTTTATATATATATATGAGATTTCAGTTTCCTCTTATTGCTTTTCCTTCATGCCTTATAACATACTTATTTTTTGTACATTTACTTTTTTATTTGTTTATTTCAATTATTTTTTCTCCTTTATTATGTCATATCGCACAGTGTTATAAATTAAATCTTTTATCTTTTTCAGCTAGAAGTTCAACAGCAATGAACGCCATCAAAGCAGGAATGAATGAATGGACCCGAAAAACCTGCATCAGCTTTAAAAAAAGGAACGGAGAAGGAAGTTTTGTCAGATTCCAAAATGGAGCCCAAAATCAGTAAGTAAAAGTCAAGGATCAAGGTATTGAACTACAGCCAACTCTCTCTAGGACGGATGTCTTTGCGACCGGCACTAATTGTCCGTCTTAGAAAGATGGGATCTATTTAGGTTTCTAGGAAACTGCCCACCTACCCCTCTCCTAAGTCAACATTTACACTTACTTCTCACTTAGGGCAAAATGTTGGATTAGGGGAGGGCTAGCTGGGCAGTTTCCCAGAAACCTAAATTGACCCGAAAGATGTCGGTCTTATATACTAGAGAGTTAACTAAAAGGGGTAAAGAAAGGTAGGGACTAACTTTAAGTGTCCGTTTTTGCAAGTTGTCCGTCTTAAAGGGATATGATGTCCGTCAAGAAAGAGTTGAGTGTAGATGTCATGATATGGGCGGCAGCCGTTTGTCTATTACATTTCATTAGACAAAAAAAGTGTGTGCCTCTTTCTACAACTCACTGAGTTGCAAAATACCGTAAAATTCAGAAAATAAGCCCCTCCATGTATAAGCCCCCCAAACCGGTAACGCAAAAAACCCTCCGTTAAATCGCCCCTCCAAATATAAGTCCCTGGGGGCTTGTACTTGGAAAATTGCCCTCAAATACAAAGTAAAATAAAGCAAAAACGGTAAATTTTCTTCCAACTATAAGGTTAGCCCAATCGCGATTTTGAAACGCAAATTTCCCTCCGTAGATAAGCCCCTCCGAATATAAGCCCCTCAAAAAGGGCCTTTGAAAAATATAAACCCCCCTGGCTTATTTTCGGAATTTTACACAGGATACATCTCTCGCTGACAATTTTAGGGGTAAAGTAACAATACATATATATATTTTTTCATTAGAATCCCGACCCATCGAGACTCCTTAATAAGTACAGTCGACTTTTGATAAATCGAAAACAGTTCGAGTTATCGGGTGTTCGAAGCAAATAACCAGAAGTAAGGAAATGGGATGGCGTAGGAATGCAAGTATCATGCACACTTCACTTCAAGGGCAGCAAGTGATATATTGATATTTTGAAAAAGAAATTAAGCAACAAAGCTTGATTAATCAGTACAGTGTTAAACATTGTATTGGAATTGGATTGACAAAAACGTAACTGGGAAGCTTAAAGATAAAGAATACACGGTTGTTTTGAGAGAAATTCAATGATTTGGACTGCAGTTCACTGCGTTTTTTCGACTTGTCACGCGCTTAAAACATGGTTCGTCGGTCATCGAGGGTAAAATTGTATAGAAATGATCTGAAGGGAAACAAACATTCTTCGAGTTAGCAGGAGATTCGAGTTATCGAGGATTTGAGTTACTGAGGGTAAAATTACAGTAAATTACGAGGGAAATCCAGTGGAAATCGATTTTGGTTCGCCGAGTTAGCGAGGTTCGAGTTATCGGGAGTCGACTGAAGGTTTTTTTTAGAAGCGACTTGTTTCGCTTTTGGAACATTTCATTTGTTTTAGTGACACTTCACGTTTCTTGTCAGATGTTCTTCCCAGGTGGGAAGAACTGGAAGAGCTCAAGCGATTACCCTTGGTGCAAGATGCTGGGTAAAGGGGATTGTAGTTCACGAAATTGGTAAGGAATTATTTTTCCTACTTTTATGTTTTTTTCTCCTAGAAATTCGTAATGATTTAGTTAAGTAAACCGTGAATATCTGTAAACGTTATTTTTCATAAAGGACATGCAGTTGGCTTTTTCCACGAACAGTCTCGCCCTGACAGGGACGACTTCGTCACAATACTGTGGAATAACATACAGCAAGGTACCGTATTTATTCGATTAACCGCCCTGGGCGCTTATTAAATTTTTGGACCTTGAGAGTGGGCGCTTATTCGAGGTGGACGCTTATTCGAGGCTGGGCGCTTATTAAATTTTTACCATTTTCAGCATGTGAAGTATGTTTACTTTGAAACAAAACAAATGCTAATAACAAAGCGCGAAGAAGTAACAAATAAAGCAAGGTTTCCGTAAAGTACTCTGAAGAAAACTCCGTCCTCGAGGAAGTCTCTTATTAGAATTCATTCAATGACTCAAGTGGGTGGGGTGGGGAGGGGATGAGCGCTTATTTGAGTTTGATTGGGAGGAGGAGGGAGAGGGCGCTTATTCGAGGCTGGACACATTCCCATGCTAGTATCTCCTCTGGAGATTGCCAACCCTGACATAAACAAACGAACGGAAATGTTGAAGACATAGCAGCTAATGAAGAAGGTGGCTCCGAAGAAAACACTCGAGTAATCCCATGAACAAGATTCTATAACCAACGAACTTAAGGCCACAGTTAAATGTTCTTTAATTATCACCTTCTATACTGACTAAGTTTGATCACCTATTTCCACGGCAAGCCTGGCTACTATTCGCAATTAATTTAAAGATTAAAGATCTTATGGTTTCTACCCCAGATGCTCTAGCAATGAGCTACGAAAGACTCGTGCGCGCTTGGGCCAATGAACTACAGGTTCTTTTAAGGAGTGAGATTATAATTATTGATGAATGTATATTTTTAACGCATTTTCTTTTAATTAGACAGAAAGCACAATTTTAACAAGTACGAAAGATCGCAAATCGATTCCCTTGGATCTCCTTATGATTACGGAAGTGTAATGCACTATTCAAGCAAAGCATTTTCTCGTAACGGAAGGGTGACCATCCAGCCTAAGCAGAGAGGGGTATGTTTTATATTACGTTATAAAATAACTAAGTTAGTAGGCGCGCTCTGATTGGCCGAGACACGAGAGGAGTTGGGAGAATTCTCGACAGTTATGCAAACCCTCGACTTCGTCTCGGATTTACCATAAATGTCTCGAATTCTCCCAACCCCTCTCGTGTTTATATGAGGCTATGCAAACACGGAAAACGTTTTCTATTACTTAAGTAATAAACCGAAAGGAGGATTATAGAGAATTTTAAATTATATTCTAAGCGCTTATGTGAAAAGGGGTCCCTAAACATGGACGAAAGCTGAGCAGTGCACTCTTGGCAGCGCCTTCTAGTGGTCTCAAACTGATGCCTTAATTTCTCTCTGGGCAACTAAGAAATCATAGCTTTTGCGTAAAAATCATGTTCTTGACACCCTGGAGTTTCTTTACTGGTTTGAGTATTGGGATGCCCAGAATTTTTTTTCCTGCGAAGCAAAGAACATAATATATGTTTTTCAATGAACTTTCTGATCATTAATGAGAACAAAGGCAAGCGCTATTAATTGGAGTATAAATTTTTCAGGCAATTGACGGTTTAGACAGTTCGGCTCGTGCGGCAAGAGGGAAAACTGATGCCTTCCTTGCATGACTTTTAAAAGGATCCTTTATACAGAAAACGACATTACAATGAGTATCAATGTTGGTTTCAATTCAGAAAATCAACAGGAATTATTCTGCACGAAACTTCAAGACCTTCTGTTTTACTAATAGGTCGATTTCGGAATTGTTCTATCCACCACCCCCTTAATTTGCTACTTACTAATGTCAAGGACAAAGACAAACCGAAGGACAGACAGGGAGCAGTATACAAGATCTGAAGAATGCTGCGACTGCCAGGCTACTTACATTGGTGAAAGCGGTAGAAACCCTAGCACGTGGCTGACTGAACACAAACGAGCGACGAGAAATGATGACGTTAACAATCACATTGCTTGTGACCATTTACAGACGAAACATCAAATCGACTCAGGACTCTGCGACATGTATTAAGTATTCTACAGACTACTATCAACGACTCACTTTAGAAAGCTGGTTTACTAACTTCGAACAATTCACGCCACTGAATCGTAGTCAACGGTTACCGGCACTGTGCAAACGACTCATTGACGAAATCAAGCAAAACTAACTACGAGAGAACGACTGGACAGCTGACAATTTGACTAACAATAGACGACTGTTTGACTGTGACAATAGACGGATCAAAACGCACCAATTACATTACGAGTCTTCGTAGCCAATAACATCACGACGTAATTGACCAATCAGGTCAATAACCAGAGTATAATACCATCAACTGACGTGATACAACTCACTTTGACTCTGAAGATGACTACCGCACAGGTTGTCGAAACGTCAGTCACTATCAACAACAACAATCCTATTCAGGACTACGTTCACCCGGACGATCAAACTCTAACTACTATTGAAATGACTCCTGGGTTCAATCCTTTTACAAAATGGGAAATAGTCAGTGAAATAGAGTGAGATATCATACTAGATTTTCAAGTTAAATCATTGCGAATGCTAGCGACCAACGCATTCCAACTATTTTTAAGGTCTCTAATTAAATCCATGGAGAAAATAAACTATGTTTTTTAATTTCCGTTTTATTAGGCGCAAATTGGTCAGCGACGAGGATTAAGCAATATTGATGCGAAACAAGCAAATCTACTGTACCAATGCTCAGGTCGACGAGGTATGAAACAACTTATACAACAACCCATCCGCAAAATTTGCAAAAAAAAAACCCCAACATATAAGACTCATTTGACTAATCAGGTCAATAATCATAATTATCTCGGGTGAGCTAGACTACGATTAGTCCCCCTTTTTTCCTTAGGGATAGCACAGCGAGCGAAATGCGAGCGCGCGTGAAAATCACCCCACGCGAGAAAGGCTCCCCGCCGCGACTAATCAGGTCAATAATCATAATTATCTCGGCTGAGCTAGACTACGATTAGTCCCCCTTTTTTCCTTAGGGATAGCACAGCGAGCGAAATGCGAGCGCGCGTGACAATCACCCCACGCGAGAAAGGCTCCCCGCCGCGTCTCGCCCTGTTTTTTTGGAGAGTCTTTTAATATAAGGCTCCGTAGCAATTCGTGCTGATATTGATCTTTGGCCCTCCACTTGTTTAAAAGCTGGATAGTCCCCCGTATAAATCGCCATCAAGAGTATAAGTATTCGGGGAATCCAATGCACTATCCAGTGGATAGCGCTCTCCACCTTTAGAACAACTGGGGCGTGATAGGTGGGTGTTGGAGATAGTTGTGATGATGATGATGATGATGATGACGATGATGATAATGGTGACGATGATTACGTAATAGCAGAGCTAAAACAGCAAAGAAATGATACTAACAAAAAACTAGGTGAACTCCTTTTTAAAGGAAAAACATTGAGAAATGTAAGGTCACAGGCATAAAAATGTACTCTCAGTATGTATAAAGTAGGCGATCATCTCATTTTATTGTTTGCGTAGGCAACAGAACAATTTCATCATTATTGGATTTTATCAAAATCTATTAAACAATCCTGACAATTTTTCCCGGATTTGTCGAACTCCTAATGTTTCTGAGCTCTCTTTCTTGACGGTTCGAAGAAACTGCTGTGATTCAACATGAAATTGTGCTGTGAAATTGTGTGAGATTCCTAAAAATTCATGTTATGTTCACATTGATTTTCAGGAAATTCAAATAGAAGGCCTGGAGGTAAGTGTTACTTTATTGGGCTGCTATCACATTTCTTCACGAAGTAAACACAGTTTACCGCTGTTTCGGTTGTTGTAAAATTTAATAAAACAAATAATGTTATATCATTTCTTCAGGACAACAAAGGGGACGTGGAGGTAAGCTTCTTTCAGAGGTTCTCTTAAGTTTTTAAAAACATAAACATGCTAACTCTTTCCTAAAAATTTCCTTTCACTTGGTTAAACGCTGAAATTATTTCCTGAATAATTTTCAAGCTACTGCAATTTTCAAAATATCATGTTAATTCTTGTTTTTAAATATTTTTAGGACGACCAGGAGGGCGTCGTGGAGGAGGTAAGATGCGTTATCATTTTCATCATTTAAACAAACAAGCATAGTGACTCTTTCCTAAAATGACCCTTTCCATAGTCAAAAGCTGAAATTTCTTAAGTACTTAACAATTTTCAAGCTACTTTAACTTCTGTTGCTGTGAATTTCTAAAAATCTGCAAAACGGTCATGTAAAATTTCTACATTTCTTTCAAGTCGACCAAGAGGACGTCGTGGAGGAGGTCGGCTGCGTTCTCTTTTCAACAAATAAGCATGGCGTGACTGTTTTGTAATTAAAAATGACCCTTTCCATAGTCAAATGCTGAAATTTTCAAGCTACTGTAACTTCTGTTGCTGTGAAATTCTGGAAATTTGCAAAACAGTAGTCATGTTAATGTTTCTACGTATTTTTTTTTTCAGGACTACCAAGAGGACGCCGTGGAGGAGGTAGGCTGCGTTCTCTTTTCAACAAATAAGCATGGCGTGACTGTTTTGTAATTAAAAATGACCCTTTCCATAGTCAAATGCTGAAATTTTCAAGCTACTGTAACTTCTGTTGCTGTGAAATTCTGGAAATTTGCAAAAAAGTAGTCATGTTAATGTTTCTACAATTTTTTTTTTTAGGAAGACCAAGAGGACGCCGTGGAGGAGGTAACAAAATAGTTATAGTGTATCCTTTTTTTTAGGACAACAAAGGGACGTAGAGGAAATTAAAGCTTCTTTATGAGCCTTTGCTTGAAACTTTTCAAAACATAAACATGCTAACTCTTTCCTAAAAATGTCCCTTCACTTGGTCAAACGCTGAAATTATTACCTGGATAATTTTCAAGCTACTGTAATTTGGAAAATATCATGATGTAAAATATCTTCTTCATTTTTTTTTTCAGGACGACCAGGAGGACGTCGTGGAGGAGGTAAGCTGAGTTCTCTTTTCAACAAATGAACATGGTGACTCTTTACTAAAATGACCCTTTCCTATGTGAAACCCTGAAATTTCTAATACTTAATAATTTTTAAGCCACAACTGTAATTTCTGTTGCTGTGAAATTTGCAAAAAATCATGTTAAATTTCTAAAAATGTATTTTTTTCAGGACGACCAAGAGGGAGACGCCGTGGAGGAGGTTAGCTGCGTTCTATTTTCAAAAAATTAGCTTAGTGACTCTTCCCTAAAATGACCCTTTCCTTGCATGGTTAAACGCCGAAATTTCTAGTACCTAATAAATCTGAAGCTATTCTAAAATCTGTTGCTGTGGAATTCTAGAGTTTGCAAAAATAGTCATATCATATTTCTACAATTTTTTCAGGACGACCAAGAAGAGGAGGCCGCGGAGGAGGTAAGCTGCTTTATCTTTCTTCACAGATAACCCCGCCATTTAGATAGAAAGACTCGTTCCTACAACTAACTACTGTATTTCCTTTCATGGTCAAACGCTGAAATATCCACTTAATAATAAATCTCAAGCTACTTTAATTTCTGTTGTTGTGAAATTTGCCAAAAAAAGAATTATGTTATATTTCTATAATTTTTTTGAAGGACGGCCAAGAGTAGGACGTCGTGGAAGAGGTAAGCTGCTTTATCGTTTTGACAGATAAGCTTTACGACTCTTTTCCACAATGACCCTCTCTTTCGTCAAACGCCCAGAAATATCGCATATCTACTTGACAATTTTGAGGCTACTTTAATTTCTGTTGTTATGAAATTTGCAAAATGTTATATCTAAATATATTTTTTTGCAGGACGACCTAGAAAAGGACGCCGTGGAGGTAAGCTGCTTTATCTTCTCAACAGATATGCATATTTAAAAAAACAGTTATTCTTAAAAGGACTTTTTCCTTGGTCAAACGCAGAAATACCCACGTAATAATTTCCGAGCTACCGTAACTGCTTCCTGTTCCTGTGAACTAATTTGTAAACAATATGTTACATTTCTGAACTTTTTTTTTTTCAGGACGACCACGACCACGAAAAGGACGCCGTGGAGGTTAAAGCTGCTTTATTTATTTTAGACAGATAAGCATGACGACGTTTTCCTTATCTTGCTCAAACGCATAAATAGCTACATAATTTTCAAGCTACTGTAACTTCTGCTGTGGAATTTGCAAAAAAAAATCATATTTTATTTCTACATATTTTTCAGGCCGACCAAGAGGACCCCGTGGAGGAGGTAATTAAGCTTCTTTATCTTTTCAAAAGATATAAGAATAGCGACTCACGTTCCTTCTTCTTTGGTCAAACGCAGAATTATCTACTTGATAATTTTCAAGCTAATTTTCAAACACTTAAATTTCTGCATATTTTTTCAGGACGACCAAGAAGAGGACGTCGTGGTGGTAAGCCGCATTTTATTTTCAACGGATAATAATTAATCTGTAAAATGTTTTAATTTCCGCAGTGTGGATAAGACTCCATAAGAAGAATTAGCGATATCCTTCACGTGATCATTCCATTTTTCAGGCTCTAATGGAACGTCACTCCCAGTAGCCTTGTTTCACTGACTTTTCTTGTTGACGATTCGAAATTTCTAAGTTGAAGTTTTCATCTTTGAGACCACGAAAGCTAGCCATTTGGCTTGTATATTTAGGGCGAGATTGGACTTAAGAGACCAAGGCGCCATTTGGCTAAGATCAGAGAGCTATTTAAGTCAGCAACACTTTGTGCGAGATCTTTGACAGTGCATTGTTTGTAAAGTGTAGTATCGGCGTATTCCTCTCAGATAACACAAAATGGAGTCACTGAGGTTATCAAGCAGATGGGCAGTATATATGTAAAACAACAACGGGCCTAAAATGGACCCCTGAGGAACTCCGAAATGTAAATGTTCCAGTAACGATTTCTTATCATCAATTTCTTGTGAAATTTGTAAAAGAAATCATGTTATATTTCTCTATTTTTTTTTCCAGGACGACCAAGAAGAGGACGCCGTGGAGGTAGGCTGCTTCATCTTTCCAACAGATAAATATAAAAGATAGTAACTGTTTCGTAAACATCCCTTCGCAAATGGTCAACGCTTAGATATCTACTTGATAATTTTCAAGCTACTTTCATTTCTGTTGCTGTGAAATTTGCAAAAAATTATGTTACATTAATTTTCAATTTTTTTTTTCAGGACGACAAGGAAGAGGGCGCCGTGGAGGTAAGCTGCTTTTCACTGAATTAAGCATGGTGACTTCTTTTCTTAACAACAAAATAACCAAATCTTTTCATTGGTCAAATTCTTAAATTAACTTCTTAGTATAGAAGAGAATATGATCCTCGCAATTGAATTAAAAAAAAAGACTAAGCGGTTGATAAAATTTAGGCCAGTATTTTCAGTCGAGTTGTTGCGAAAACTCATAAAAAGTCTGGAGATTGTCTTTACAAAGCTGCTTTCATATCTTTCCAAAGATAAGCATGATCTTATGGCAAGCACGATGAAACAGTGAAATCAGTATCTACTGATAATTTTCGAGCTACTGAAATTTCCAAATTTTCAGGACGACGAAGACGACGCCCTAGAGGTTAAGCTGCCTTACTGGGCTGCTTAGCTTTCTGAAAAACATGTAAACCTGTAAATGTCCAAAACCAGTGGGAGCTAGTTGCACCTTTTCAGTCTTACGTATAGTATAAACCTTCTTTTGTTCCATAAATTTACATAGCTGCTGGCTGCGAAAGTGAAAATCAATTTTTTTTTGCCCTTTTTTCAGGTCGACGACCAGGAAGACGTTCTCGAGGTTAAGAGGGTTAGAGGAGAAGACGTTTTAGGAGGCCTACATCAATCTTAATTGAGGCACTATTTTTAAAATTTCCTTTTTGGTACTGCTTGTAATAACTAAATGACGCTAATAAAAAAAAAATCGTTTTGATCATATATGACTGATACAAATTAATTTTAATTTCAAAACTGCATGCTTAAATAAAATGCAAGTTGTATTGATGATAACATTGAAACGAAGGATTCGAGTATGTAGTTTCTGGCCACCATCGCAATCGATGACAACACGAGTTGAGAAAACTAGGCCGACAAGATCTACTTCAAAAAGAATTACGACAAAAACAAAGACAAAACAAGCCTTCCTCCTTTGACCAAGCAGTTTAGTGTGCGATTGTTGAACCTACCTTTGGATAGGGCCTAAAAAAATTGATTTGTTTTCTGAAATAACTACCCTATGGTAGATCTCAACAATTTTCGCATTTTTTCTCATTTTATAGCTGAATAATCTACAGTTGAACCACCATTAATGACCACCTCTCCACAACGGTCACTTTTTATTACATTAAAAACTTAAGGACTGGTCCCTCAGGAAACAGTTCATTTTGTTTCCTCAGAGTATCAATGTTTCCCGAGGGAGAACCAAGGGAAACATTGAGATTCTCGGGAAACAAAATTAACTGGTTCCCGAGGGACCAGTCTTGAGTGATATGTTATATAACTGGAGAATTTGAAACTTGAACTGTTCATTAAACCTCGTTGTAAACGGCGGTCGTCGGTCGACATTCGCGGGTAACAGTGCACTGTAACCCTCAGACGTTATAGATTGTGCAATGTTGCTCGCTCAGAGATTTTGCCGGGAAACAGTTTCATTGTTAGATGTCATGTGACCTCGAGGCTAGTCAATGAGAGCGCGCGTTGTTGGGAACCAGTTTCCAGTAATATAACAATAATGACTCTTGTTTAAAGCTCTGTACATTGGCCACTTTCTTCCAAATAAACCATTGTCTAAACATTGTCTTGTCTTGTCTATGAAAGGGGTGGGGATGCTCGTCGGAATTAAACCCCTAAAGGAGACCGATCTGGACGTGGCCCAAGCTCTTTTTGACCCCTAAAAGAGACCATGCTAAAACACAGACAATTGAGAAAACTTGGATTATATGAATGGAGTAAATAAAACGCATTAAAAATATCCATATCAAATATATATTTTCATATTTTTTCGCGTGCAACCCTAAACGAGACCTTCACGGCTAAATAATGATGGCGTTTTGCCCAGGAACACCCTAAGTGAGACCAAAATCCGAAATCCCCCCTCCCTAAGTAAGACGACGAGCATCCCCACCCCTTTCATATGCGTAGTGTCCCAGCCCCCGGGCCCAGAGGTGGCCGTTGTGGAGAGGTTCAACCGTATTTTAACTCAGATGGCGCGAATAATCATTAGTATCCTTCAGAGTTCACAAGGATAAGCCTTGTTGACGGCATGTAGGCATTTTTTTTTATCTCAATGCAACTACCAAGCCTTTTTAAAAATTCTCTTGCGTCGATGAGCAATGTCATCTAAATGATTGGCTACAGCCTTAAGTATTGGACTTAAAAAGGAAGTGGGAATGTATCGTCTAAGTTTTAATATCGATAAATACAACGTGTCATTATTAGACCTAACACTTGCCAACAACTTTCATTGGAGATACGTGAAGTGCAGAAGTTGCAGGTCTGGCTGTGGTTTTCTTCACGGAAAGTATAATGAAGTGGTTGGTCACTCTGTTACTGGTTAAAACAGTGTTCAGTGCTGACCAAAATCCTGATGGTAGGCTTCGGTTTCACTTATTAATAATTAATTTAAAATTCTGATGAAAACTCTCCCAAATGGGTAATATTGTAAACAATGGAGTTGCGAGCTACTATTATTGGGATGTCGTTGATATGCACTTTTTATTTCTTTACTTTTAGTTGTTGAAAAAAGAAATTGAACGTACCTTTGGCTGTCCGTCTATTTCAACAGTGATAATTCAGTCAAAATTTCATGGTCTTGTTTGTTATCTCACTGATATAGGATATACATATCAGGCAAGGGTGGTCATAAAATTTTGCTAAATTCACGTTTGTCCTTAATGATTAAATAATAATTTCCTCTGGGTCGATCACACTGTCTAAAACAATCATATCCTCTGCGTATAACGCTTGAAAATAGCGAACCGGAGTGTCGCTCACCTGAATTCAACAACCTTGATTATATAAAGTAGGTATAGCAAGTTTACACGTAAAATTAAAATAAGTCGATATCATCTTAAATTGCTCAGGGGAAAACCATTGAGTTGCTTTCAGTTTAATGGAAATCAGTGTTCTCTAAATTTTGAGGTACCTCTTATCAACAGTTCAAATCTCGATCAAATACAGAAAATAATATTCATACTAGTTTTTTATTCCTCAACTAGCTCATTGCATGCAGGTATTTGTTTTTTGGTTCATTGTTTAACTGATGGCAGTTTTGTTCAATCAAATTAATCTGCATTCCTTCCAGCAGAAATTATCTGACGATTGTTAATCTGATTTAAATGGAAATTTTGGCAATAGCAGTCTCCTTTGGGTTTGAATATTGAAAGAAAACCTGAATGGGCCATATATGGAAAGACCTAAGAATAGTTCATTAATTCCTAATTTTAAAACAATGCCGATAAGCAATACCGGTTTGGAAACCAACAACAGTGACACAAATATAGCGCCAATGTACTGGATTTTGACAACTATTTTTTGGAATGGTTTTTTCAGCTCGGGCAAACAGTGTAATACAATTGTATGATTGAAAATGATAACTTTGAGTGATTAGTAATGAGTAAAATTTTATCAGTGATAAACAAGTTATTTTTGCTCAGAGTGACTGGAATGCCTTAGGTTCCACGAAGCAAGCAAGTACGTATTAAGATATTGTTTATTTTTTCAATGCAGAAACAGATATTGAACTTGAATAAAAGGTTAAATTCCTTCAGGGAGGTTTACCATATGCATTATGTCATTAATTGTATCATTAAAATTGTTGTAATTTCTTTGTTTGAGATTAACTCAATCTTAATCCTTACAAAGGGCAATGCGCATGCACCCAGAAAAAGGTAAGTACATGATGGAAGCGCCGGAAAAAAGTAATAATCTCACCTCTAAATCTGACACTTCCCTAAGATCACTAAAGCTAAGATAACTAACCTTTAAAAAACATACAGCCGAAAGAATGCCGGCAGACCACTACCACCGATTTGCTATTGTATAAATAAACTACCATTTCCTTGAGGTCCATTTAAAGTGGGCTTATAAGGAGTTTAATTTGGTTTTGGTTTCAAGACAACGCGGATGGTAAGACATATTAGAAATTGTGAGAAGGTAAGGGAAATAGCTTGAAATTTAACGCTTGTAGCGCCACAGACTTTACTAAATTCTGGTGAAGTGCATCTGTGAAACAGCGCCGAAATCCTTCTTCTGCGCCTCCACCTGTGTACGAAGATTCGAGTACGCGCCATGATTGGCCTGTCAAAAAGGCCCGTTTGACGATTTGCCAATCAGGATGAAAGGAAATTCAAGACCCACTTCCGGTAATTCGTTGAGGCCGCTGGTGGCCCAGAACAACAATAGGGACTTTAAGATCCATCGACGCGACGGCAATGAGAACGTCGCTTAAAAAGTTAATTTGCCTTCTTTCAGTCTATATCGCAATTATTCCTACCCACTTACTTTGTCAAATGTAGGCGAACCCTCCTGGAGTTGAATTCCTAGGCACCATATCCAAGTACAGTTTTTACGTCCACGGTAAAACGCGAAATTAGGCATGTTCACGTCGTAGTCGTGCAAAAACGGGCAGAGAAATGTACAAAAAAGCATGGTGCACGTGCAAAAAAAGTTGTTGTTTTGCTAATCAAACCTATTGTTTTTTTGAAGTTCTCGTTACCGTCCGCGTCGTTGGATCTTAAATACCCAGTGGGAGACTCTGCGGAGGAGAGAAAAAGAGAGGAAGGAGGGGGGGCGGCTATGACACGAGTAGGTCGGTGATATAGTGAAGTATCTACCGTCAAATCTACTTTTAATGCTTTCACAGAAAACCGTGCCATTAATGACAGTAGGTTGTTTGAGGGGGACATGATTCTTAATCAACGACAACGTGATAGAACGGAGCATGGAATGGATGTTGACAGTGATCGGAAGAGAGCTTCAATCAAAGTCGGACGACTCTGGCCTAAAGGAGTGGTGGTCTATCAGATTCATTCAAGTCTTCGTATGTTTGTTTATTCCAGCTTCTCTGACCTCATAGTAATTTGTAATACAAAACTGTTAAAAATACGAAATGGTCCGAAGAACACAAAAATGCCTCTAAGAAGAAACCATCAAGTAGTTGATTTCTGAAACTGATTTTCTGTTGTAAATTCTATTTAGCGAACTCGCTCTGCATGTATAAACCGCACCACATGTACAACAATTACATCATAAGGGGGAGGCCTAGTGTGAAATGAGAAAAATACGGCTAATTAAAGTTGACTCGAATCCCTGCTGTACAATAGCTGAACTAACTTTCCACCCCCCTGTTGAAGATGGTAACTAAGGTACAACCCAACCTTTCTTCCTCTCCACCTTGGCCCCTATATGGCCTATTCCAGCCAATCGGCTACCAAGCATTGGGTCATGAAACCCTAGCAAAAACAAATATTGATTTGTACCTTTACACATCCACTCAGTTGTTTGAAATCTTCGTTTGAAATGAGAATTGATAACTGCGATTGTGGGAATCCAACACGGCTGAGAGCAATACTGGTGTAGCTGTGCGTACCGTGATTGTGTATCTGCAAGAGATAAACGAGATGACTCAGACAGTGTTGCATCCTCTTCCTTAACAACTACCCTCGGGAATTCTGCCTCGTTAACCTTAAAATAAAAAATTTGCTATGGAAACCCGCTCCACATTAAAATGGGGAGGATGAAATAAAGTATGATTAAGTGACAAATAATTTGGAATAATTCTGCACTGTTCCGGACCTTTGACCTGAACACAAAAACAAACAGGGACTTCTCGCTGCTAGAGGAATCTATTGATCTTTTTCTCGGATTTTTCACCTCCTGGCTAGCATGAAAATCTAAAAAATTTAAAGGGCTGTGATTTCCCATGATTTTAAAATACAGCCTATTAATTTGTCTACAGAAATAGATACAAGTGTGGCACTTTGAACTTTACCCTTAAATATAACTTTGGTTTTGTCCTCACAGAGCAAACACTAATCACTGATTTATACCATTACCTGCATGGTTCACAGCTAGAAATTCTAGTGCCATGAGCGCCATAAGAGCCGGAATGAATGAATGGACCAACAAAACCTGCATCCGCTTTAAAAGAAGAGGAAATGAAACAGCTTACGTTAACTTTGTAAATGGAAGAGGGTAAGGAGCTTGGCCGGCAGAGTATTTATCAATTAAAGAATCCGAACATTGAATCAGTATATAATTGTATGTTATAAATTGACCAGTTTAAAAGCGTGTGGTCTACCCTGGGTGCCAGAGACTTTTCTAGCGCGGTTTCCGCTCAAAGGTCAACGGGGACGGTAAAAAGCACCGCTCCGTGCCAGAGGTTTTTTCTCGCGGCTTCGCCGCTCGTGCCTTCGGCCTACGGCCGAAGATGTGTCGGCCTTCGGCCAACACCGAGGATTTCCGCCGCACGCGAGAAAAACCCTCTGGTACCCAGGGTACGTGTGGTCAAGAGGCTGAATATTATAGACTGGAGGTCAATAACAACGCAAAAAGCATGCAAGTTCAGTATCCAGCCATGCGAGCGCCATCGCCATCACTTGATTCGGCCATTTCATAATATAATTTATACACCGTACTTTCCTTGCTATAGTCTAAAATAATAATTTGTGTATCTACAGAAACTCTTTTCATCCGTTTAATCTGCCTCCCTGATATGATTACATAACCCCCACATTTTTCCTTCTGGTGCGAGCTTTCAAATTCACTGAATTATAACAAAAAGCTACAGCATTTTTCATTTCGAAAACAATGTAACGTATGGGTATTAAAAGGTTCCTATCCTACAATCTCTACCTCATTCACTCTTACCCTAATAAGTTGAACTGTATCTAATGCACTTAAAACTCTGAAGTTGACCCATTTGCAGAATTACAAGACAAGTTTGCTTCTGTTGAGAGCTTGGTGAAAGAAACAAGGGAAGTCTCTGCAATCTCAAGGAAAGAAACTCGATTGACTGAGAACATGCAATCATCGATTTATCCTCAACAATACCCCATTAAAGAACTCACTACAAGCAGTGCAGTAGAATGTAGCGAATCTCTTAGAGAAATTATATAACAATCGTCATTATGCTAAGTAACACATCCTGACGTACGCGAGTATTAGCTATTACAGGATGATTGCAATGAGGATAGTCATATATAAGCTAACTCGCAATTCACTTTATTTCCAACATAGCTGTTTCTCATATGTAGGAAGAATTGGAAGACGACAAGATATCACACTCGCACGGAGATGTTGGAAAAGGGGAATTGTCGTTCACGAAATTGGTACGAAGACTATCACTACATTGCCATTTAAGGTTCCTTTGGTAGACGATAAGAGATAAAATTGAACTATAAAGCAATTATTTTAAGGTGTTTCAGTGTTCTATATATAATCTGAAACAATGGTCAAACTTCCCCTAATGCTATGGCCGAGAAAGGTTCATTGTCTACAAAAGAAAAAGGTGGAATCGATCCATTTGAAAACAACTTGAATGGCCATGCTCTGAATTACACGCATGTGAAACTCACACACACCAGTTCTTAGTCCTTAAGAAAGAACATTAAACATCAATCTCTTTCCGAAAAAGAATGCCATGTTACAAAAGTCCTGATAAATGGGCCACGGGAAGATCCCTAAAACGGACCAAATGGACACTTATAATAAGCTTTCACTGCAGTATTCAGGCCAGTGATGAGAATAAAATTTTGCTGCAGGGCACGCGATTGGTTTTTTCCATGAACAGTCCCGTCCTGACAGGGATAATTTTGTCACAATACAGTGGAATAACATACTTGCAGGTAAGGAGAAATCCTATGCAATATCAGTAAACTTGATGAATCTTCTTTCTCAACTTTTTTTTTTATGTCTCCGCGTGAGGTACAACTTACAGTTCTTTCCATTTTTGAAGTAATCTTTTTTTATAGGTAAAAGGAGAAATTTTCGCAAGTACGGCAGATCGACTATCGATTCCCTTGGAACTCAATATGATTACGGAAGTATAATGCACTATGGGAACAGAGCTTTCTCCAGGAACGGACGAGTTACGATCAAGGTCAAGCGACCAGGGGTACGTTACTGATGACGGCTGTTCCGCCTCATGCAATTTAATCCATAAAACAGTCTTGGATTCTGGATTCCACGACGTTGAATGTAGATTCCAGGTACTGGATCCCAGGTGCTTTATCGGTGGAACTTGGATTAAATCCGGATTCTAATCGTTAGCGGGGATTCCGTATTCCTTGAGCAGTTATCTGGATTCCAAAGTCCAGGATTCCAGATTCCACAAACAAATATTTTTCTAATTCCGGAGTCAACAAGTTGAAAAATTTCTTGGATTCCGGAATCTGAATAATGTTACGTAGGCGGGCGAGCTGTTAGACTGAAATTCCAAGCGCAATTCTTCACGCGTCCTCAGTCCCGCTTAAATTTCTTATAATTACACACAATTATTCGAATGTTTCGACAAACAACCAATCAAAATCAAAATCCCTTTCGGGCAGTGACGTCACCAAACGGGATTAGTGACCTGTTAATTCACACGTTCATCTGCAAAGTTTGCGACTCAAGGCCGGCTGAAATTCAGACTGCAGCACTACTGTTTGAAATCTCTTTTGTTCTTATTTCTCATATCTATAGCGGTAATTATTAAACATTCTTATTTCTCATATCTATGGCGGTAATTATTGAACATTATGCGTATACCCAACAGCACGCGACATCAAACGATTAAAGCCACATTCTGTCACCAAATTAATTCGTCTGCTTCTTGATTACACTTTCTTGAATATCACTGTCATACTTATGAATAATTTCTGCAGAAAAGTCCATGATATCAGTTTCTTCTAAAATCAGCTCCTTCTTCAACTAACGGCACTGAAATCAATAAAATAAACATTTTTTATTAGGCCGTGATTGGTCAGCGACGTGGCTTAAGCACTACTGATGCGCGACAAGCAAATCTACTCTACAAGACACAATGTACAAGACGGTATGTATAATTAGTCCTAACAACCTTTTACAAGATTGAAAACATGAGAATGTTTTAAAAGTATTCAGGCAATGTTTATTAACTCACATTTCAATTTCTCTCGAGCCCACACATGATACGGGTTGCTGACACCACGCTGTCAGCAACCCGGGTCAGATATGGGCTCGTATATGAGAATAGTAGTGCAACTACGGTTTATTCTTAGCTTCGAAAGCGTCGATAAGCTCTTATTTTTTAGACTTCCCTTCAGTTGTCGGACAACTGTACTTTCAGATGCAATGAGCACTGTCTTATTCATGTAATTTCAAATCTTGCAGTATGGATATTAGTTCTTATTCTAGTGACAATTGCAAAAAATGATGTTGAATTTATGTTTGTTTTCAGCACCAACGACACCTCAATCAGGTAAGCTTTTAGCTTTCCTCTGTGTTTTTCCTTTTACGGGATAAAATTTGCAGCAACAGTGTTTGGAATTAAGGGTAAGGAAAAAAACTTAATAAACAGAATAAATATTCAAAGGAATCTTTAAAGTAATAGGTAAGTAAACCAACGTGGCCAGCCCGGGAGCACAAGATCAGTAAGGGATTATGCTTTATCAGATCGCCCCACATGAGGTAATCCGGATTTCGGATACGGAATCCAGGAAAATTTTGCTTGTGGAATCCGGAATCCTGAGCTTTGGAATACGGAATACAGCTCAAGGGATCCGGAATCCTACAAAGGAGTGGAATCCAGAATCCAAGTTCCACTGAAAAAGTGTGCAATCAAGTACCTGGAATCTGGAATTTACGGCGTGGAATCCAGAATCCAGGACTGTCTTGGATCCCCTTTCATGGTGCGAATCAAATGTCAAACTTACAGAAAAGAGGTAATTTTTCAAACAGAATGATTTTAAGGGAGATTAAACTTTCATATATTATCATTATCATCATCATCATCATCATAATTATTATTGATTATTATATTTATAAACGAGGAGTGTTTTGTCAGATATCTATACATGTTTTAATTGTAATGTTTATGATCCCCTTCTCCTTCATCTTTTAATGTTTCAAAAGTTTATTACCATGTTTTCTTTTCTTTCTTTTTTTTTTCCTAGCACGTAGTAACTACAGGATTCTCAATGAGACTGACCGCAAGAACGATCACCATACTCTAAAGAGCGCTGTCCACAAATACGATGGCCGCTTGCGAGAGGGCTAGTACAGGTTTATGGGTGCGGCAGGTAGAAAAATGCCTTCCCAAGTCGTCCCAATATCACGCGGTAGGACGGATGCAACTGGGTGGCTCAGCGGCAGTCATCCCACAGCGAATCAAGGTGCTGTCCGACGCAGAGTGTGTTTTCATTGGGCTGGACTAGATAGAAGGCGCAGAAAATATGATAGGCCGTACATGTGGTCTCGTTATATTCGTGTCCTAAACTGTACCACCCTTTTCGTGTACGAACTGATTCCGATAAAAAGATGCTATTTGCGTTATAAAATGTGGTGCAAGCTGAAACTAATATAGCGTAAAATTCCGAAAATAAGCCCCTCCATGTAGAAGCCCCTCCAAATATAGGCCCCCCTAACCGGCAACGCAAAAAACCCTCCGTTAAATCGCCCCTCCAAATATAAGCCCCTAGGGGCTTGTACTTGCAAAATTGCCCTCAAATACAAAGAAAAACAAAGCAAAAAAGGTCAATTTAATTCCAACTGTAAGGCCAGCCCGATTGCTTTTGAAACGCAAATTTTCCTCCGTAGATAAGCCCCTCTGAATATAAGGCCCTCCAAAATTAAGCCCCTCAAAAAGGGTCTTTGAAAAATATAAGCCCCGGGGCTTATTTTCGAAATTTTACGATATATATTTTTGTTACAAAAGTTACTTACGATTCGGTTTACCTTGCGTGTAACTGATCATAAGGATGAGCACTGGATGTACTATACAGATTATTCGCAAAATTTGGTACTATTATATACCTCACGTTTCACTACTATTTCAAATAAGGCAGCCTGTAATTAACTCTGGACTCAAAGCCAACACAGTGTGAATTTTTCTTACGAGAGCCTCATTTAAAACCGCGCCACGCGGTCTCTTTTATGTTTAACCTAGTGGCCTAATGATGGTTTAAAAGAAACCGAAGTATTGCCAACATTTATAATCTGATCGTCTTGATTATTTTTCTATGAAACTTAGTTTATATATATATTCTGATTATCCTTCGTACTTTGATTCACTGTATCATAACGCTGCAGTTCACAACGATGAACTTTACAGCTTTTGTTAGGCTGTGTTTTAACATGTCTCACAGTAATACTTTTAACACTGGTATTGCAAATCCGCAAACAAAGACCCGAGGGTACTCCCTACGACGGTCTCTACGGGCAGTCTCCGCCCAGAAGGGTACGTTTTTCAGGCTTCAGGCATATAAAAGAGTAAGTAGGGTTTCACAAGTAAAAGTGTGAAAGGGTAAGGGTAACCTGTAATTTGGTGTAAAAGGAGGTAAGAGGGCTAACAGACGCTTTTCATAGCTTCTTGCTGTAGTGATTTATTAATATTAAAAAGACAAAGCATTCACGACAATGAAATTTCATTTATTAGTATACGTCTAGGACTTTTGAACAAAGATTTCGGAGAGGTCTCGGAGTGCGAAGCTGCGCTGCGCCAATCTCGGTTGAAAGTGGATCGTCACACATATAGGATAGGTTACTGTGCCACTCTTCATCAGGAAGTTTACAAGGGTGTTCAAAAACAGTACACAAAGCCGGAGTGTTGAATTATGGCATGATAAGTTACAGTTGAACCTCCATTAAGCGACAAACCGCTCAGGGTACTGGAAAGTGGCCGCTTAATGGGTGTTGGCTCAGTAGACATGGTAGAGGTTCGTCATGAATTAGCATAACATGAGCACAACCTGTAGCAGAAACATCTCGAAGGATCCGCGAAGGGAGCAGCATTACAGGTCCATATTAGTATTTTCCTTCTTCATATTCTTTGAAATAAAGCCAGACTAAGCATCAAGCGCTCGACAGCCGCTTAATAAAGACGGACAACAATCGGAGAACTGTCGGTGCCGTGGCCTACTGACTATTAAACAACTCTTTTTTTTAAATTTAGCATATAAAAAACTGTTAAACTATATACTGAGATATGCAAAATAAATTGTATTGTATTAATGTGTTGTATTACTTGTGTTCTTAATCTGCCGGCTGTGCGCAGTCAGGAAACTTTTCCCCGATTCAGTGTTCTGACCAATGAACAATGCGAGTACACACAATATTCAGTTATATAAGGGTAGCGTGGAGGCAAAATTATGCAAAAAGTCAATCATAGAAATTACTATTTCGCCGCGGCCTGAGTTAAAATGAAAAAAGCGTATCTAAGAATCGATGTTTCTTGTTATAATGGATGTCACATTGCAAAATCAAAAACAAGAACTGCAGCATACACTCTGGCCTTTAAAGTCTTCTTCACTAGTTTTGTTCCCGGAGCTAGTTTTGATTCTTACTACACAAGCACAAGCACAAGTATATATGAATTTGTGACCATTTAAAAATCTTTGTCATACAAGTTACAGAAAGTGCCAAATTTGATATTTGTGATATTCGGGGTGGGTTTGATACAGGTCGACTATTTTTAAACAACAATCTAGAACACAAACGAAGCGACCATATTTGGACCTTGTCGACGATGAGATCATTTCTCTTCGGTATCATAAACTCATTTACCGACCGGCAACTACGTCAGTCACTGACTAAGAAAAAGGTTTACCGGAATACCGGTCCAGTAGGAGAGCGGTTTACTTTATTTTGCAGTTGCACTATAAAAAGCCTATTACGCATATCCTGCCCTCTCCTTATCTCTGAGCTTGAAAGCATAAACTGACACTGCATTAATATCCAAAGGAAAAATCGACCAATATGACATCTAGCTCAGTATATATAACTTACGGATTATAGCTAAACATACAGGTTGTATATAACTATTCAGGTGAACGAGTCTCAGCTTACGGTGCACAAAACCCAGAATGTATTGGTTGGTCGTTCTTCTGTTGGTGAGAACTGTGCATAGCAATTCACATAACCCTGATGGTAAGTCTTCTTCTCTCGGGATTCACTACTCATTTATTGCTCAAGAGACCCTAATGGCCGAACTCTAAAACACTTCTTTTGTACTTTCATAAGGCACTAAATATTACTAACAATTCTCTTGCAACGATGAAACGAGGGGAAAAAGAAAGAAGTACCACAGTCGGGATCAAATCACATTTAGTTACCTTGTCGTTGTTTGATGGCAGACCGAACCAAAAAACACTCGACACAGTTTGCTTTCAATTGCATATGGGTGCACGCATTTGGCATAATACTCGAATGTAGAAGTACTGTGCTCCCTTTCTGGCCTGATAATGCGAGTTGGTTCTAGAGAGGTGTTTTTTTTAATTACGACGTTAAAGTGGAGCAATTTGAAATATTAAATTGTGTCCGTTACTCTTAAGAGCCAGTCCAAAATGATTGGTTATTTTCAATGAGGCCAAGTGCATTTTACAAAATTGCAACAAAAAACTTAACTTCTCGAGTACATGAGTTTGCCTGGTTTGTCTGTTTGATTATAAACAGTAAATCATAAATGCCTCTGAGTTTCGTGTGAAAATGATTCGAACCGCTGCTACTGCTTGTCTTCAAGTTAACACCAGTTTCCAAAGTTAATTTTAGGGAAACAAGTCAGATTTTTCAGAATAAATATATTACTGAATAAAACATTCCAAGTTGAAATCTGGTAAATGGTTGGAACAATTTTTTTTCCAATTTTCGGGCATTTTAAGAGATAATGATAATAATTTGCCAATTTGCAACGCTTCATCCGAGGAGAATGGAATGGAACTGGCCAATATCCTTTCTGAATGACTCATAATTCCAAGGAAAGGAGGGGGGAAGGACCCTGGGGAGTTAAAAAAAACAAAACATTTCCTGGGGAAGCATGCTCCGTACCCCCCACCCACCTTCCCCCTAGAAGCGTGCGCCTTGGGCGATCATTTAGGAAATCGGTTAGTATTTATCCTACATCCGCACTGAGACACCTTAACCAATTACAAGGCCCATGGGTCATGGTGCAGTGTCAACAAAATTTATGGATTTTAATTTTTTCTCGCTTGTCTCACCAAATCGCTGCTCCTCTGCTCTGAAGGAGTCATTTTACAACTTACAATATTCTGAATGTAAGGAAAACCTTAAGTTTTAGTTTGGTAAAAAAAAAAAGCAACAGATAGCAGAGAAAAGTTGTATTTATTCTAAAATGTTCTTCATTTTTCTTAAACCCGCATCGAATATCGTTAGAACTATAACGGCGGTTTTTCACGCAGATTAAATTGTGTGCCGTATTTTAGTACTAACTTTCACTTAACAATAAGGTTATATTTAGTCAACTACTTGAACAACTTTTTTTTTCTGCGTTACCATTGACTCCGGCCTTATTGACATTCTGGGCCCAGTTGCTCGAAGCATGGTTAGCGTTAACCAGCGTTTAATACCTTGACAACGTATTGGTTTTGATACTGCTTAACCAATGGTTAAAGCTAACCATGTTTTGAGCAACTCAGCCCTGAGTGGTTCTGATTCGTTGTAGTTCTCTCCTCAAGAGGTTTTACCAAACAAGGGATAAAGAAGTTTTTAAAATAGTATTCTTTGTAGAAATCTCATAGATCAGAGCAACACGGGTATTTGAAATGAGTGAGACAGCTTTGTTGTTATTACTGAACTCATGTTCATTTAGCATCTTCTCTTGTTAATATAGCACCTTCTCTGGGTAATATAGTCTTCAGTGTTAAGCCGATTCTACTATTAATTGTTTACGTTGATAAATTGAAAGCAATTGCCTAGGTTTAAAGCACCACTAAATAGTATAATTTGTTTGTTTATGAATATATTTTAAAACCAGTTTATTTTAATGGGGTATTATAGCCCCATAAATTTGCTCAACTAAATACATATATCTGAAAGTTTTTCAGCTCTAAATATCAGCCATAGTGATTAATCATTATAAGGACAAATCTGCCAAGTAACATTAGATATAATTTTAAGGATGAAAGTTTATTTGAAAAGCATTGAAGACATAAGAAGAATTCATATCTAATTATACGTCGTGACAAAAATTTTACATGCAGCTACAGCTTAAATTTATTTATAAGATTGAGATACTGGCTAGGTTCACGAAATTATCACGCAAAAAAGGATGCTATCAAAATATGAGCTAATATTCTGTATCAATATTAAACCCCAAAAAAGAATGTATCGGTTACTAGCCAGCTTCCAAGGGATAAAAAATGGACCGTGAAAAGGAGTTTTAGGTACACACCGAACGGTTGTCATTGTAAATTTTAAAATTAACCCAATTTATGTTGAACACACCAAAACCGTTTTATGTTGTTGATTTACAAATGCCACCAGCCTGTATATAATGAAGCATTTAATATATTGATAGCTATTACGAGTATCAGACTAGGGGAGGGGACGACTGTGTATTCCTGTATAGCTGTATCTTTTTGAAAATGCTTCAAGTAATATATCAAACATGAGACGCAGTGTTTCATCACCAGATGAAACACCGAGAAGAGAGTTGAAAATACGACGCGCAGCGGAGTATTTTTGACGAACTTCGAGGTGTTTCATCTGGTGATGAAACACTGTGTCGAATGTTTGATATTTCTTCTCGAACAAAATCATTTTTGAAGGAGAAATTAAGGATGCAAATACTGAGCAGTTTTTCATCCGATTTCCGAACACTCATTAAACATTAATTTTCTTTGTATTTTCTTTATGAATTATTAATGAGTTTGAGAAGATAAAATAAATTGTACCTTAAGAGTAAGGCGCTGTTTCATACATTTAACATGTCAAGAAGTTTGGCCCGCTTTCCGAAAACGTATTTTATTTTATTTTTGAGGGAAAAGTTCTATTCTCTCCATTTCAAGTCACCGAACGTTAAGCAAATATATTTTGGTTTTAATTCCTACCTTTAGTCAGTCCACTTCGAGGGTTTGCGTACTAGGAAAGGGACGACCGCCAATTTTTTCTTTGAAGCCCATTTCTATGTCCAAAACGCTTCGCGCGCATGCGTTTGGGTTTTGAAACGCTTCTAGACTTTTCGCAGAACAACGCCTCTCGACGTAGTTCCAGTCGTTGACGGTAAGGGCATTAACCGTAGTCAAACGAGATAAATCATAAAACCCGTAAGAAAAGTGTTCAAAATTTAGGATCGTCCCTGCAACACGCTGTTTATTTAATAAACTTTTTGAATCTCTACTAAAACAAAGTTGAGTCTAAGTGCTGGAAAACTAAGGGCCTGTTTACATGGAGAGGCCCCCAGGGTAGGTGAGGTAACCTGCTTAGGTGGGGTAATCCGCCTCTCCATGTAATCTCGCATTTTAATTTGATCACGTTTACATGATAGGTGGGGTGACCCGCCACTTGTTACCTCACCTATCTGGGATCCCCCACCTCCATGTAAACAAGCCCTAAAACTAGTATTAATGCCGGAGTCACTAATTTGCCAACAAAATTTGTCTCGGCCGCGTAGCGTTTTTAATGAAAATAAAGAAGCTCGTTGTTTGGAGAACAATGTAAAGATCGTTAAATACTAATTCTGTTATACATATCTTTGTCCATGTTTTCACTTATGGTGAATGAAACCCCAAGAAACAAACAAACAAACAAAGAACACTTCAGACGTTTGATCACGGTGGAGTATGAGCGTCACCTAGGTTTTCGTTTCTTGTGCAATTACGTTTTACCTCACGGTAATCCTGTCTTGCTTTCAGCTTAACAACAAGGACGAATCAAAATTCAAAAGACCGAAAGGGAAAACTCAATTTCAAACGTTATCAAAAATAATTGAAATTTTGGATTCATTCAAGAACAGCCCAGATGTTTGGTGTTGACTTTTAATAACCCATACTTGTTCATACTTGTTATTGTTTTTTTTCAGAAAATCAAGGCATAGATGATCCTAACCTTTATTTTGAGGGAGACATGATTCTTACACCAGAACAACGTTACAGAGTGGAGCATGGGAAACCTGTGTTTGGCTCTAACCGGCGCAAACGAGGTGCAAGCACGTTCGCCTTGTGGCCACTTGGGGTACTTGTCTATGAAATCGATCCCTCCCTTGGTGAGTTCTCGGTGAAACCAAGCCAAATCCTAGTTATTATTTTAAGCTGAAGGTTAATCAATCTTGGCCTTTGCGCTACTGCATAAGTTATTGCACTAAGTCACTTTAAAAGTTTCCGTTATACAGTAACAAACCCACCACGTTATTACAGCCAATCCGTTATGACAAACATTTTTTTTTCCTGCACGAACATAATTACAGTCATTTTCTTACAAAGTAATTTTTTAGACCTCCTCAAAGTGACCAGTCAAATTACTTAAATCGTGAGACCGGTTTGCAAGTAAGCGAAGCAATCAATCTGATAAACAGGTACTGTTCGTTATCGAGAGACGCTAAAATTGCTAAATGAGCGTTCAAAATGAATGATCGATATCGTTAACCGTAAGATTGACTGTCAGAAATAGATTATGCTTGTCAGTATATAGCCCAGTGAGTATACCTGTAATATAACGAACATTTTGCAACGTTACATCCGTTAGAAAACACCACCGTGACTACAACCACACCGTGACGACGACGTCGGAATTAAAACGCGATATATTTGATGAGCAAAATAGCACCTCGGCTCGCGCATTGCACATTAGTTTGTGATCACTCCACAGCTATGACGTGGAACTTTACAAAGTTACGTTTTTATAGAGGACGTTAAAATCGATGTTCTTCTATTTCTAAAATTTGATGTGTTCCCAAATTATCAACTCTTCATGAAAATTCGCCAACATTTGACCAGTTAGAGCCTGTTGAAATAATCTCGATAAAATTAACGTTTGGATGCTTTCGCTTTCGCGGTTGCTTGGACTCCCCGGAATCCCCTAGCCCGGGGGGGTTAGTCTATGGAGGCTCTGAGTGGGCCTAAATGACAACTGATCCAGTATTTAACCACTGAACTGATTTTCAGCGGGAAATCCCACTGCAATGGACGCTATAAACGCAGGAATGGATGAATGGACCTCAAAAACTTGCATACGCTTTAAAAAGAGGACGAACGAGCCATCCTACGTCGTATTCCAGGATGGTAACGGGTAAGAACTCTTGAAAATGATCACTTGCATTCAAAAAACATTTGATTCAGTAGCAGATCCAGGGGAGGGACCCGGGGGCCCCGTCCCCTTATTTTGAGTCCAAACCGTCGGCGGCCCAAAGGGCCTAAAAAAAATTTTTTTTGGAGACCCCCTCCCCCCACAACTCCTACCTATAGGTCTGGATCCACCACTATGATTGGCACCAAAGGGACTAATTTTTATCACCGCCCGCCAGAAATGAGCAGGGATATTGAGGCCAAGAATATAAATGTAGCCAGATATCAAACTTTCGAGAAATATCTCTTGACCAATACGTTCTCAGGCTGGTAAAATGTGCAGTTAGTACATGATAAACTGGCCTAAGAGTTAAGGTATGGTGGTTACACAGGGAACCCGAACGCTGTATTAACTAAGAAAATAATCAGTTGCTATATATTTACCTGTGTTTCCTCGGTGAATCCAATCAAAGACGATTTAAAAACATTGCCGGTATCAAATGTTTGCTTGTCTGGCGCGTCCTAAATAGGACCCGACAGTTACGTCTCAAGTTTCCAGAATTGTTAACTATTAACTCTCCTCGTGCCCGTGACATTGAAACTCGAGATCGTCTCCCAACGAACGTAAATAGTTAACTTGAGACTTAACTGGTGCGTCCTATTTATGACGCACCAGACAAGCAAACGGCTAAAAATAAAGACTCAGGAAACACAGGTAAGTAACATTTTATTAGCTAACACAGCGTTAGAGTTCCCTGTGGTGGTTACATCAAATTTAATTTATACTTTTTTTTTATTTTTCGTGAGCAGAGCGACAAAACATAAGGCGTAAAGAAGGGTTTGGTCGAAAAACCGAAGACTCTCATGGCGAAGCCTCCGTGGCAGGAGCCGGATGGTTTTACAGAGCACGCAAGGGGAACATACGCGCGCACGTCGCCAGTGTGTCCTCAAAATAGCTGACCTCCATACCGGCGCCTGCTACGAAGGCTACATATAGCGCGTCAAAAAATATTCAAGGACATGTTACGCCACATTATTTTGTTTTCGTGATGGAGACAATTTACCACTGACTGTGATGGAATCAATTTACCATCGTTAGTTTTTTCACCTCCTTGATATCTGCAAAGAATTTACTTCTGTGACGACGGAACACTTAATTCCACCCTAGTATCATCGAGTTTTTTTTCTAGGGAAAACCTAATAAAATCGAAAAAAAAAATTGACTAAAATGCACAATGAATTAACTAAAACAATACATGGAACTGAACTGACCTCATGATTTTTAGGTTCATCTGATTCCACGACAAATGACACTCTCAAATTCCCTCTATCTTCGCATCTGTACCTTTTCTTTGATATGCGCAGGAGCCGATAACTTAATAGGTTCCCGATATGCGATATTTCTGCCTTCCTTGGCTAAAATTGACCCTAAAATCTATGATTTTAAAGCTTGTTACTTGACCGCCATGACCGCCATTACTGTCTTGCAATACTTTTAAACAGCGGTTTTTATTTGACCACAAGGATATATTTCACAACTCAATGTGTCCCGCCTTTTGGCCTTCAATATTATTTGCCTGGTACCAGCGGTTAAATTCCTCCTGCCCGCCTATTAACAGGGAAAAGAGGTATCTGCTAGCAGGGAAATTTCATGGCAGACTAAATTTTAATTACTCGAACTGAAATTCTAACATTCTCAAAAAAGCTAGACAAACAGGGCGCAGGATGGCAAGATGTTGTATCAAGCATCCGTACATATACAACACAACACAGGAATTGTTTTGTTCACTGACACTAGGCCGACTAAATCCCTAGCGAAGTACTTTCCCGGTTAACATCTATGTAATGGGAAACCGTTATAGATTAAGGTTGTCATGATGTGGAAGATATTGATCAGAGTCTAACATGAAACAATCACAGCACACTGTCTAAGCGATAAAACCAAGGGTTTCCAATAGGTTTTTCAGGCTCGGGATTTGCTTTTAATTAGGACTTTCTTCACAGAGAATGCTTTAACTACACGCAGTATATTATGTAAGGGGATCCGGATTCCGGAATCGGGGAAATTTTTGCATGAGGAATCGAGAATCCTGGACTTTTGAATCCGCAATACAGCATAAGGAATCCCGAATCTAAATTCCACTGAAAAAGGTCTGGAATCCAGTACCTTGAATCCGGAATCAACGGCGTGGAATCCAGAATCCAAGACTGTTTTGGATTCCCTTACGTGGAGCAATTTTTCCCTCTCTCTAGGTGCTCTTCGAATATTGGAAGGACTAGGCGTCAACCGCAACAAATCAATCTTGCGAGGGGATGCCGTACCAGAGGGATTGTTGCTCACGAAATAGGTAAATCGATATATATTCATATCATTTAATAAGTGACATTAATTTAAAAGGACGTTTTCACCAAAGCAATTTCTTTTATCGTTTGTTGGTTCTAAGGAACCTACATTACAAGAGAGATGGCAGTCGGTTGATTTGGTTAGGGCAAGAATTTTTTTCTTAGTGATCATCAGATTTACCCTCACTTTCTTTATGTTCTTAAAAGTCTGTTATAGTAACCCCATTCTCCCTTTATCTCTATGCAAGAAATCTGTTTCGTCTGATCTGTCAAGGAGTTCTCTAAAGAATTTGGTCGAAAATGATTAAAGTTCAAGTTGTGTTTAATATAAAGACTTGCGGAGCTCTCGTTCGTTCTCTAAGTTGAATCCCAGCAGTACCCCTATCCACCCGGAGCTGGTCTGATATGTCCGCTGATATGGTACCATACGATGAGTTTTTATTTTTTGTTTGTAGGACACGCCCTCGGTTTCTTCCACGAACAGTCTCGTGCTGACAGAGACTCTTTTGTTAGGATATTGACACAAAACATAAGACCAGGTAAGAATGTAAATGTCATACCGTCATTTTTTATCGTTTAGTAATGGTATAAACACTAAACATGGCAATGCCGATTATTCCTAGCAACCCCATGGACCAGGCACCCCTAAATTTCTTGGCACCCAGACCAACTGAATCATTTACACAGTAAAAATTAAAGGTGCCGTGCCCAAAACGTTTTTCGTTTCGTACACAGGTATGATTGGGCACTACGAACTATCACATACCCCCGGGGATACTCCCTATAGTGGCCCGTACAGAGAAGCTCCGCCATTTTCAGGCTTCAGTTATATGAAAGGGTGGGGATTTCTCTCGTTGAACTATATGAAAGAGCTATCTAGTAGATGCATTTTATAGCTGATAAAAAGTGTAGAAAACGTTCTGGTTTTGTGAGTCACAGTCAACTCTCTCTTAACGGACACCTCTATAAGACGGACACCTCTGTAAAACGGACACCTATAGTTGGTCCCTGCCTTTCTTTTACTCCCTTTATGTGACTCTCTATAAGACGGACACCTCTCTAAGACGGACACTTAGTGCCGGTCCCAAAGGTGTCCGTCTTAGAGAGAGTTGACTGTATTCATATTAAAAAGCCGACAGTGAATTTACAGCAGTTAAAGGGGCGCAAAGTTTTTATTATAACTTGGTATGTGAAAGGGGTACCATTTGCCAATGAAAGTTATGATAAAGAGGAATGGAAAAATGGTTAAAATTGTCAAAAATGGTATATTGATGGTATATAAAAGGATGAGGGGTTGGACCTCGGGGTGAAGACTCCCCGCATAAAACGTTGTTGAGCACCCCCCCCCCCGGTCAAAAGCTTTGCATTGTACTCTTGTACTCCACGGAAGTTACATACAATGGAACCTTGATAAAACGAACCTCTATGTAACGAAGGCCTCGATCGGTATAACGAACGATTTTCTTTACCTCCCAAATGAATAGTAAAATGCATGAAAAAGAATCTCGATACAACGAAACCTTGTTATAGCAAAAACACTTTGGCATTCCCTTGACCCTTCGTTATATCGAGGTTCCACTGCTCTTGTTTCTTTTTTATCACATTTTTACAGGTTTCGAAAACAATTTTCTCAAGTACGACAATGGTTTTATTAATTCCCTTGGGAGTCCCTACGATTATGGAAGCTTGATGCACTACGGAGACAAATTCTTTACCAAAAATGGTCAGCCCACGATTGAAGTTCTAACGCCAGCTGGGGTATGTTGCTATTAAGGCTACCAGTTTAGTGCTCACGAACACGCGCTTAAGGACTGATGTGATAATAGCATTGTCATCAGGGGAGCAAACAAGTGAAAAAAATAGCCTTTGCAAAAAATCGCGGTCGAGTCTGTTTATTCTAGAGAACAGAAAATGAAGAAGTTTTCATCTAAAAGACGATAATGGCAAATATTATTATGGATGGAAGTGGTCATTGTTACTTTTTGGGATACAGTGGCGATCGACTGTAGATGTCCTCATTGCAAACAATATATGACGTAAAACTTGTCGAAATTTGACCTGAACGCTTCGCATGACTATTAAATCGTCGTCTAGATTTGATAGAATAAACAAACACGACCCCAATTACTCGTGTTGGTAAAGATTTTATCACTAGCCTGCGAGTAAGCTCTCCTATTTCGGCGAGTGAAGCGAGTCTCGCGAGAACGCGCGAGCGAGCGGCGAAGCTGCGAGTCCGTGCTCGCACGTTCTCGCGAGGCTCACTTCGCTTGCCCAAATAGGAGAGCTTGCTCGCAGGCTATTTTACCACTAGCTTGCCCGCTGAAATACTACTTGACATTGGCAAAGATGACAAGTATCGTAAATAAGGTCTCTTCATTTTATTGCGGGCGACAAGAGGAGCCCTCAATTCTAATCTCCAGTTTGTTATTACGCATGCGTCGCATGTATGTAGCCAACATTTGTTTGAACTTCCATTAAGAATGCATGGAATGTACAAAATGCAATTTGATCACGCGCGTTTGAACCTTCTATCACTCGTAATCTGGTCACGTGTGTCTTGATTATCTGTCACGTGAAGCTTACGCAAGGCACAGCGCTATAGCAAAAGCGTTTAGACCTTCGATCTGTGTCGCCCAAACTCCGTAACCTTTGGTTATTACTAGTTAATATTGCATTACTAAGGTTCGTGAAGGGGTGAGATCACTATTGACACTGAAGGGCATCTGTGGGGCATTTTTGACTCAGAAGATCAATTTGTTGGGTTCATGGGAAGCTGCCCACTTACCCCTCCCCGAAGCCAACATTTTCCCCTAAGTGAGAATTAAGTGTTAATGTTGGTTTAGGGGAGGGGTAGGTGGGAATTTTACCAGAAACCTCAATCAAATGGGTCTGATTTGGCCCTAATATGAAATACAAGATCTGGTCTTCATGAAAAGGAATTGAAAAGGCTGTAGTCGTCAAGAAGTTAATTCCATTCCTCATTTTACTTTTTTCTTTTAGGCTGAAATTGGCCAAAGAAATAACCTAAGTTCAACTGATGCGCAACAAGCAAACCTGCTCTACCAGGCATTGTGCGACGGTAAGCTCTACAGACAAGCCAACGACAATTTAGTTCCCTGCATTCAAAGTTACCTATCATGAATCGCATGCATTTGGAAAGTTGTAGTCAGCAGTTGTCGTCAGTAGTTGACGTAGTATTATTAGTATTGGCTCTCCATATAAACACTATATAGCCAGGGTCCTGGCTTAAGTAGTTTAGACTGAGGACAAAAAAGCGACTCAATTAACAGTAATTCAACTTTATTTTTAGTTAAACTTAATTTTTATTTAGAAATTGGAAAGTCTTAGAACCCTTGTGGAAAGCAAACTTTAAAAAGAATACGATAATTTATATGAAGACAGATCGAGTTAGTTCAAAATTACAATAATGTGCTGTTAAATTGATTACTTCTAAACTGATTTCTTTTCAGCGCGGCCTAAAACTGCAGGTATGTTAAACACCTTATTTCTAAAACATGATTAAACACCACACCTTTTATTTGGCAACACACGCTACTCCGGTCCCCGTCTTCCCCCACACCCATCCTTGCCAAAGCAAGTGTCATTTTGGCTAAGGTGAGAAAGATTTGCGCTATCACGTGGTATGACCCTCTATTGAGCATTGTTGAGGTCCGCGGTCTTAAAGGAAAGAAAAGATCATGTTTTCCCGCCAGTGCCTGAGATGATTTTAGCAGGAAATGCATTAGAACTATTCTCCTTTCCCTCTTGCCAGTTGAGCAATCCATTATTTTTTGTAAAACGAAAGCGTACCTTATGACGATTGGAGCGGTTTGAGCAATGTGAAAACTAAAATGCCTTTTTTGCATCCCATAAGCCCAAAGATCAAACTAAGACAAAAAGGAGAAGATGATTATAGGAAAGAGAAAGAAGTAACGTTTTTTTCAAAATCTAGCTACATATTCAGTTTTAACTTATAAATTTTACACGAATATTCATGAACGTGTGGTGAATACGCAAATACATCCATCCACCCACCTATTTTTAAAAAAACTACAAAGCAAAGTAAACTGTTTTATTAATTTTAATCTTGCAGTACCAAGCACAGCTCCTCCTCCTCCTCCTACAACTGGTGAGTGAGTTTTCTAAGGAAGACCCCAACCCTTTAACCTCATTCTAAGAGATAATCAAAACTGGTTTTCCGACTGGGAGCATCCGTTTATTGATAAACCAATGGTCATAAATGTGCCCGCTGTACCAAGCGCACTGCTATTAAGCCTGTGTTAGAATATTATATCTCAGCAACAAGCAGCACAGTCAAGCAAGATCTCCCTTAATTCATTACGTTCTCGAGTATGCTGCCATTACAAAATCGAGAAGTGAAAGGGAAGCTTTGATAAAAGGCCATGCACAGTTGTAATTGTAAAATACATGACTCACATTCTTTTACGATCGATCAATTGCTAGATTTGAACGAGTGCCTCTCTTCATCCTGTGGCGCAAATGCGGTTTGTCAGAATACCATTGGTTCCTTCACTTGCACGTGTAAACCTGGATTTACTGGAAATGGACTATCTTGCACAGGTAAGATAAACTTACACAAATAGAGGGTTCTTTTCTAAATAAGACTAGTACAAAATAAACCAGAAGCTAAAATGGGTACTGTGCCCGCTGTACCAAGCGCACTGCTATTAAGCCTGTGTTAGAATATTATATCCCAGCAACAAGCAGCACATTCAAACAAAATCTCCCTTAATTCATTACGTTCTCGAGTACGCTGCCAACACAAAATCGAGAAGTGAAAGGGAAGCTTTGATAAAAGGCCACAGTTGTAATTGTAAAATACACGACTCACATTCTTTTGCGATCGATCAATTGCTAGATTTGAACGAGTGCCTCTCTTCACCCTGTGACGCCAATGCTGTTTGTCAGAATACCATTGGTTCCTTCACTTGCACGTGTAAACCTAGATTTACTGGAAATGGACTATCTTGCACAGGTAAGATAAACTTACACAAATAGAGGGTTCTTTTCTAAATACGACTAGTTAAGTAGTACAAAATAAACCAGAAGCTAAAATGGGTACTGTCGTGGTGTCTTGAGGGTCAGGTAGAACATTCCTCTATATTTCGAATCGCTTATGTCGTTTTGCCACTGAAATCATTAAAACTATTAAATTTGATTATTCCACAGAAGATAAATAGAGCTTTTTGTCCTAAAAAATAACGCTCCATTAAATCAGACACACATTCATCGGTGGCGAGTACTTACTATGCTTGCATAGCGAATTGCGGATGTTTGACGTCCACCGACTATATCCCGGTTGTCTTAACATAACAATATCTGGTAAAAGGTTAAGTTTGAACAAGTCTAAATCATTTTGAATTCCTGGTCTTAGCTAACCCAAAGCTCTGTAAATAACCCTTGAACGTTAACAAGCAATTCTTACCATAATAGGTTAAGCGATCTGTTTTAAAAAACCTTCTTCTGTTTAAAGCATTTTGCCAGTAAGCAGACATCCGCCAGTGCACGAGATTATTTTAGCAGGAAATGCATTAGAACTATTCTCCTTTCCCTCTTGCCAGTTGAGCAATCCATTATTTTTTATAAAACGAAAACGTACTTAATGATGATCGGAGCATGCAATTTGAGCGAGGTGAAAACTAAAATGCCATTCTTGCATCCCATAAGCCCAAAGACTAAACTACAAAAAAAAGGAAAAGAATGTATAGGAAAGAGAAAAAAGTAACGTTTTTCAAAATCCAGCTACATAATTATTCAGTTTTAACTTATAAATTTTACACGAATATTCATGAACGTGTGGTGAATACGCAAATACATCCATCCACCCACCTATTTTTAAAAAAACTACAAAGCAAAGTAAACTGTTTTATTAATTTTAATCTTGCAGTACCAAGCACAGCTCCTCCTCCTCCTCCTACAACTGGTGAGTGAGTTTTCTAAGGAAGACCCCAACCCTTTAACCTCATTCTAAGAGATAATCAAAACTGGTTTTCCGACTGGGAGCATCCGTTTATTGATAAACCAATGGTCGTAAATGTGCCAGCTGTACCAAGCGCACTGCTATTAAGCTTATGTTAGAATATTATATCCCAGCAACAAGCAGCACATTCAAGCAAGATCTCCCTTAATTCATTACGTTCTCGAGTACGCTGCCAACACAAAATCGAGAAGTGAAAGGGAGGCTTTGATAACAGGCCACAGTTGTAATATAAAATACATGACTCACATTCTTTTACGATCGATCAATTGCTAGATTTGAACGAGTGCCTCTCTTCACCCTGTGACGCCAGCTCAACAAAGTATGGGATCGAGGTTCCGAGGTCCAGCCTCTTACCCTTTTATTTACATTTTCATATCTGCACCTTTCATCGCTAAAACAGGGAGTATTCTTCTGGGTGTTTTGTCTCCAATATTTTTTTCGTTTGGTCCTTTTCTGATCAAATCTTTCCCAGGGGCGGAGGGAAAGAAGGCTGCGGAAAATTTGTATTTAACGTTCTTTTTACTCTTTTTCTTTTAGCTATCTGTCAAGACACTGCCTCCTCTTGCGCTTGGTTAAGGTTTTTCTGGTGTTCTTTCGCTCCAAGCTCCTGCCTGAGGACCTGCAATAGATGTCCTTGATCTCATAAAGTCACAGCAATGATCGATACTGACGCCGTTTCAGAGGCTCATGCTCATTCTAAGTTTCTGGCTAAACATAGCTTTAATACTCTCTTAAAATACACCGTGCTTACACCACTTTAATTAAATTTAACTTGTTATCGAAAGTTTTTGTCATCAAGAAAATTGCATCCCAAGTTGTGTTGAAAAGGCTGACGTTACTTTGAGCTCCTGTTAGGTATTTTGTTGAACTTCATGTGTTAACATGCTCAGTACGAAGAATCATTTTTGCACAGTGTCGAAGATCATTACTTTTACAGGAAGCTAAGAATGACCTCGGTAAAAACTGAAATAAACGGTTTAATTTTTGATGAGACTGATCAAAGTTGCATTTCTCTTGCTGCCGGTGAGGGGTTGTTCCTGCCATGCGGGACATTATCATGTGGATAATTTCTTAAGACATGAAAGCGAGCAAAGAAGCCACCCTTCTCCCCCTCCCCGTTTTGTTCCACTTTACTCTTCTGAATGGCGAGGGTACCCTGACCTCCTTTGCTGGGATTATCTTCTCGTGTACCTGAATTTTCCTAGTTTCAAGCCGCGCTTTATACGCTTGACTAAATTAAATAAAAGCCCACTCCTATGGCAAAATTTATCCCAAATGGAAACTGTCATTGATTATTTGTACCCCAGCAAACAGAATTCACCCAAAGTATCACTCGGCCAAGAGGTGGGGGGTGCGGGGGCGGAGGGGGTACTGCCATATATGGGCTATATAGGAATCTGCCGCCGTGAAGGGTATGGTTTTCAAGCAGTTTACTCTAGCGTAGGGTATATAAATCAGAGCGTTTGGGTCTAGAATAGGGTATCATTTTTCAGGAAACTGATCAGCTGGTTGAAGATTTTATCTAGACTAGGGAAACAGCTACTCTAGGATAGAGGGGATTTGGGGAGTTTACTCTAGTATAGGGTAGCAAAATTCAGCTGAACTAGCTCTGGTATAGGTTAAGGGTTCCAGGGTCCCAGCGGCACATCCCCACCCAGAAATTCCTCAAGTATCCCCCCCCCCCCCCACCGGGACATTAATATCTGACTTAATAATTATAATGTAAAGAAACATAAAGGATAGATCGCATTGAATACTCCGAGTGGGTAGTCTGCCCCGCAGCCGTTTTTTGGATGTCACGCAACGCGCAATACGTGACATCCAAAAAACCGGCTGCAAGGGATCGAGAGTACCGAGTGGGCGGAATAGACCCTTTTAGCTTGTACGTTTTCAAACCACGTGATGTTACACCAGAGAACACAGGCGTCCCAAACTCAATATGTGAGCGTATGCTAAGAATCAATAAATCTGCTAATATTACGTAACGTAGCATTTCCTGGGTCTATAGGGGTCAAATAAATGCTAGTCACCTTGCGTACCTGGAAATGATGATACGGAGGGAAAGAGAAAGAAGAGAGAAGGCAGAAAGGGAGAAAAACCTTAGCTATGAGAATATGGAGTGGGAGAAACTTCTTCTTGAGGATCTGCTTAAAAAGCAAAGATTCTGACATCTGAAAAGAAATTTGCCTAAAAAAGACAAGCTAAACTTAGTGTCAGCTCACATTCAGCTGTCAGCAGCCATACAAAGTGTCTTCACTAGAAAAATCAAGATGCAAGTAACTCTGAAGCAAACAGCAGCTCAGAAGCAAGCGAAGAGAGTAGTGAGGACTATGTTGTGCAGGAAGTTGAGAGTGATTCCTTCGAGGATGATGAATAAAGATGATGATGATGACAATGTACCCTCGCAAAACTGGCATCCATCAGTTGGAACGACGGTGATAGCAATGTATCATTAAGCGTACTCGCCAAACACAGTTGTTAACTAGTAATAGTTGACACAACTGTAACAGCTTCTCCCTCTCTGTATATCGTCGGTCAATAGTGTTCTTGGTCGCTGTGTAGCTCTTTGAAATATACCAATTCATAATGAAGATTTTCACACACATTCCATACAATGGGTGAGAGTAAAAACAGGAAACACAAGGTTCCACATGCACTGTTTCGGTTCGATTTACACAGCTTTGATCTGAAAACATTCCCAGTTTCGAGAATAGTTTATTCTAAACCATAAGAAAAGATTTAATTAGAAGCTGGGATTTTTCGCTATTTCTCTTTCACTTCTTATATGCGGTTCATTTTATTTGCCGGAAAGTAAACCTTAGAAATTAACAGGTTTGATCAATTCACGCTCGCGCCTTCTATCCTTTTCACAAACTTATTCCGGGAAGGACGTCTGTGAGTAGGGAATAAGTCAGCACAGAATTTGGTTGTCGGCCAATTTCTGTAATCGTCCATCGTTCTGCCAGTGATAATCTAGCCGTTGATTCACTCGTCGTGCTTGTTTGGGATTTAGTCTTATTCCCCCAAAGACAGAGAGGAGTGTCTGCCTAATTTTTCAAATCAAAGATTTGTGAACTCGTGTCTGTCAAACAAGTGTTTATATAAACACAGTTATCAGCTGCATCTACGTCGCTGGCTATCAGTGGCTATGAAACCTCATCTATTTTCTGGTTTGAATATTGGACAGTAACACTATAATCAGACTATTGTCCTGCTTGCTAAACTGAAACTAGCCCAAGATGTATTTTTACCCAAAGAAGGAAATGATCAAATCTTACTATCAATATCACTATTAGTTTAGGATATATAATTGCCTTCACACTATAGGTGTCTTAAGTGTCCTAAAACGTATTAATAGTTATTGAGGTGAAGGTGACTCAGCCAAAGGTGCAAAAGACGTAACATGTACTGGTTTGTCGTTCTTTTCTTGGCGAGAACTGTGTATAGCAATTCGCATAATCCTGATGGTAAGGTCTTCTTCTACTTAGTGAAAGAAACACCTACTAGAAAAAGGAAATGTTAAGATTCTAAGGGCAGCTTCCCAAATCTACCATGACCTAATTAACCGGAAGCGGCGGAGTTGAACCTGGAATTCTCATACTATCCCCAGTTGTGACTGCTAGAATGGGGCTGCAACGGTCTAAAAAATGTCAGAAAGGGATTGAGAGATGTGAAAGACGGAGGAATTATTGCTAGAAAAGCAGGCTTATTGTGGGGACTGAGCATGATGAAATCTACACTGCAGGTCAGACTAAATAGGAGAGTGACCTTTGACCGTCGGATTGAAGTCCCATCCCCAAGCTTTTTTTTTTTAATAAAAAATGAAGAAAAGAATTTTTTTGCAGATTGGCTAATTGAGCTTGCAAAACGCGGCTTCGGCATGTCCACGGATGCCTTCCTTAAATCAGTGAAAAAGTTCCTAGACAGGGAAGTAAGAATTATACCATTTAACAGCCAATCGCGTTCCTCACCATACCCCAGTCACTTGCTATGTTTTATTTCACGATGATAAGCTATATACAAGGATTGGAATCGATTGCCAGACTACTTTGCAAGTGCGAGAGAAACTTATAAGTCGCTTGCCTGTCGAAATTTGTGTACAATTACGTTGTTCTTGTTGTGCCGGATACTGGGCAACATAGGAACTCTACAAAAATATTAATTTTATCATATTAAGGACTAAATAGATTTTCTCTGGGCCAATTTTCACTGCTCTTGTGGCTAACAAAGTAAAGTTACTGCAATGTTAAACTGAAGTGTCCGGATACTGGGCAACATACTGTTGGGAGTTATGTTGTCTTCAACTTTCACATGGTCCGACCATATTGAGTATATTTCATGTAAGGTTAATAAAAACCTTGGTCTTCTACGTAGGATTAAGTATTATTTACCTTATGATGCCCGGTTACTTTTTTATAATAGCTTAGTGCTACCTATTTTTGATTATGCTGATTTAGTCTGGGGTGACAAGGACAATGTCTCACTTATGAAGGAATTGCAAATTCTCCAAAACAAAGCAGCTAAGTTGATATTAGATAGATCACCTCACTCCTCATCCACCGATGCATTGATTGTCTTGAGATGGCTGAGTCTTGAAGAACGTAGGAAATGTCATCGATGTATATATGCATACAAGTGTATTAATGGCCAACTTAATCATTCTTTGGACATTGTAAAAAAGAGTGATATACATTCCTACAATACGCGCAATAACGATACTATCAAGCTCCCCAAAATTAAATATAATTGGGGAAAACAACGTTCGCGGTACCACTGTTTCAAAGACTTTAATGAATTAGAGAGAACTGTAAGAAACTCAGCAAGTTTTCCAATTTTTAAGAAGTGTCTTTTTTCTGCTTTTTATAATTGAGTACTTGTAGTGTGTATGTTTTAATTATTTCTGTAACTCGATTTTAGCTTGAATTTTTTTTTTTTTTTTTTTTTTTTAACCTTTTTATATTTTAATTGTATTATATAATATACATCTCGTAATTAGGACCTCTATGTAAACCACTCTTGTGATGGAGCATCCTATTAAAAGATTGTTATTATTATTATACTGTACGTACAGGTAGTTCTTATTCTATTTTTCAAACAGAATGATTTTTAGGGAGATTAAACTTTTATATATTATCATCATCATCATCATCATTATTATTGATTATTATATTTATAAACGAGGAGTGTTTTGTCAGATATCTATACATGTTTTGATTGTAATGTTTATGATCCCCTTCTCCTTCATATTTCAAGGTTTCAAAAGTTTATTACCATGTTTTCTTTTCTTTCTTTTTTTTTTCCTAGCACGTGGTAACTACAGGATTCTCAATGATACTGACCGCAAGAACGATTACCATACTCTAAAGAGCGCTGTCCACAAATACGATGGCCGCTTGCGAGAGGGCTGGTACAGGTTTATGGGTGCGGCAGGTAGAAAAATGCCTTCCCAAGTCGTCCCAATATCACGCGGTAGGACGGATGCAACTGGGTGGCTCAGCGGCAGTCATCCCACAGCGAATCAAGGTGCTGTCCGACGCAGAGTGTGTTTTCATTGGGCTGGACGAGATAGAAGGCGCAGAAAATATGATAGGCCTTGCATGTGGTCTCGTTATATTCGTGTTCTAAACTGTACCACCTTTTTGGTGTACGAACTGATTCCGATAAAAAGATGCCACTTGCGTTACTGTGGTGCAAGCTGAAGCTAATATATATTTTTAATACAAATGTCACACGATTCGGTTTACCTTGCGTGTAACTGACCATAAGGATGAGCACTGGATGTACTGTACAGATTATTCGCAAAATTTGGTACTATAACTCATGCTTCACAACTATTTCAAATAAGGCGGCCCGTAATTAACTCTGGACTCAAAGCGAACAAAGTATGAATTTTTCTTACGACAGCCTCATTTAAAACCGCGCCGCGCTTTCTCTTTCGTGTTACGTAGTTTCCTGATCGATGAAATATTGCCGACATTTATATTCCGATCGTCTTAATTATTTTTATATGATTATCCTTCGTCCTTGACATTTATTGTAGATAGAAAAGCGACAGACGCCTTTTTTATAACCTCAAACGCGATGACCATCCACTAAAAAGCTTGCTCTCAAGGTACAAAGACTGTATTGTAAACCTTCGAAGGATATCCGTTGTCAGGCCCAGCATTAACACTGAACGTTTCAAAGATAGCTTTTTTAATAGATTAATTTTTAAATATAATCTAGCTGTGTAAATACCCCATATGTATTTTTAATCAATTTAATCTTTTTTATTCATCTTGTCATTGTAATTTTTTCTATCGATATATATTTTTACTGTAACATCAGGTATGTAATTTTATCGGATGCTTTTTAATAAAGACGTTTGTTATTAAAGACGTTATTAAAGAAAAATAGCTTGGAGAATGTTCTTATAGGAGGTGCGTATCATATTAAGCTGTTAAGTTAAGAACGATGAAATTTAGCCGAGCTATTTTTAGTTCGGCTATGTTTTAAAATGTCTCACAGTAATACTTTCACCACTGATATTGCAAATCCGGAAACAAATATCCGGGGGCACTCCCTATGACGATCTATGACGGTCTCTACGGGTAGGCTCCGCCCAGAAGGGTACGTTTTTCAGACTTCACCTATATAAAAGGGTAAGTGGGGTTTCACAAGTAAAAGTGTGAAAGGTAAGGGTAACCTGTAATTTGTGTGTAAAATAAAAGGACTCAAGAGGGCTAACAGACGCTTTTTCGAGGGATGAAAAAGTCCAGAAATCTTCTTGCTTAATTAGTAATTTATTCATATCAAAAAGACAAAGCATTCACACTGGAAGGGAGCAGCATCACTGGTCGTCACCTCCTATCTCGGACCGTATTTTCCTTGATCATATTCTTAAAAAAAGAAGACAGTCTAAGCATCAAGCGCTTGACAGCCGCTTAATAAAGACAGACAACAATGGGAGAACTTTCGTTGGGACGGTCAAAAGGTGGCCGGCCGCGGCCCCTTAATAGAGGAAGCCGCTTATAGAGATTAAAGTTCCCATTCCTTCCACAAATATTTCGGAATTGGGATTATTGGACGCAGAGGGCGGGCCCTTAAGTGGTAGCGATTGCCGCTTAATTATTCAGCAGCGACTATACATTAGTACGTAGGCTAAGCCTAAATTTGTTTTTTTTCGTTGTCCCATGTGTAACGTGCAATGGCGTTAAATGGGACTGTTTTTAATATATTCGACCGTCCTACTGTATTAAACAACTCTCTTTTTTTAATGTAGTATATAAAAAACTGTAAAACTATGTATTGAGATATGCGAAATAAATTGTGTTGTATTGTGTTGTATTGCTTGTGTTCTTATTCCGCCGGCTGTGCGCAGTCAGGAAACTTTTCCCCGATTTGTTCTGACCGATGAACAAGTACTCACAATATTTGCGCCGAGCAAACAAGAGGGAGCGGCGTGTATGTGGTGGCAAAATTATGCAACAAGTCAAACATAGAAATTACTATTTCACTGCGGCTTGAATTAAAATGAGAAAACGTAACTAAGAATCAATGTTTCTTGTTATAACCCGCGACGTCACATTACAAAATCAAAAACAAGAACTGCAGCATACACTAAGGGCTTTAAAATCTTCTTCACTAGTTTTGATTCTTAATACACAAGTATAATGAATTTTTGATCATTTCAAAATGCTACAGAAAGGTTTAGAAAGTGCCAAATTTGATATTCGTGATATTCGGGGTGGGTTTGATACAGGTTAACTATTTGCAAACAACAATCTATAGAACACAAACGAAGCGACCATATTTGGAACTTGTCGACGATGAGAACATTTCTGTTCGGTATCATAAAATCATCTACCGACCCGCAACTACGTCAGTCACTGGCTAAGAAAATGGTTTAAGGGAATACCGGTCCAGTAGGAGAGCGGTTTACTTTATTTAGCAGTCGCACTATAAAAAGCCTATTACGCATATCCTGCCTCCTACCTCTCTAGCTTTAAAGCATAAACTGACACTGTATTACAATATCCAAAGCAAAAATCGATCAATATGCAGACATCTAGCTCAGTATATATAACTTATGGATTATAGCTTTGTTAAGTGTACAAAACATACAGGTTGTATAACTATTCAGGAGAACGAGTCTCAGCTTACGGTGCGCAAAACCCAGTATGTATTGGTTGGTTGTTCTTCTGTTGGTTAGAACTGTGCATAGCAACTCACATAACCCTGATGGTAAGTCTTCTTCTTTCGGGATTTACTACTAATTGCTCAAGGGACCCTAATGGCCGAACTCGAAAACACTTCTTTTGTAATTCCATAAAGCACTAAATATTACTAACAATTCTATTGCAACGATAAAACGAGGGGAAAAAGAAAGTAGTACCACAGTCGGGATTAAATCAGATGTAGTTTCCTTGTCGTTGTTTGATGGCAGACCGAACCAAAAAACATTCGACACAGTTTGCTTCACGTGTATATGCGTGCACGCATTTGGCATAATACTCGAATGTAGAAGTACTGTGTCCCAAGCCTAATAATGCGAGTTTGTTCTAAAGAGGTGTTTTTTTTTAATTACGACGCAGGGGCGGATCCAGGTTTTTTGTTAGGAGGGGGTGCACTCGTCTCTTGCTCTACTTCAACACCAATAAACCACATAGTTTATATTTTTTTGCAGAATCCCAGTTGTATTAGAAAACCGCAGGTCATCTCGGGGGGGGGGGGGGGGGGGGGTGCGCACCCCCTGCACCCTCCCCCTAGATCCGCCCCTGCGACGTTAAAGTGGAGCAATTTGAAATATTTAATTGCGTCCGTTACTCTTAAGAGCCAGTCCAAAATGATTGGTAATTTTCAATGAGGTCGAGTGTATTTTTATAAAATTGCAAAAAAGAAAACAAAACTTAATTTCTTGAGTACTTGAGTTTGCCTGGTTTGTCTGTTTGTTTATAGACAGTAAATCGTAAATGCCTCTGAGTTTGGTGATTCGAACCTCTGCTACTGTTTTCTCGGCAAGTCTGATTTTTCAGAATAAAATAATAGAGCTTTAATGAATAAAACATCCCAAGTTGAAATCTGGTAAATGGTTTCGACAAGCTCTTTGTAATTTGTAACGCTTCATCCCCGGAGAATGGAAATAATCCCAAGGAAAGGGGACCCTAGGCAGTTAAAAAACAAAACATTTCCTGTTTATAGTCGGTTATGAAAATCGGGGAGGCGGGGGGCAATGAGTTACTCATGGCGGTATCACTGTTGAATTATATTGCTTATATGATTAACCTAACGTCGTGGGGTTTGAAATCTTAATAACGCCTTTTCAGCAAGTTTGAATACATTTTGGTAATGGGAAATTACTTTCTCAAGACTAGCTTCAGGTCTTTTATTTTTTTGTCTTGTCCAAATTTTTTTGGTTAGTATATTTATTTATTTATTTCTTGTAGAAAATCAAGGCATTTATGACCCAAACCTTTTTGAGGGAGACATGATTCTTTCACCAAAGGAGCGATACAACGCAGAGCATGGAAGGGATGTTTTCAGCTCCGACCGCAAAAGAGGTGCATTGAGGTTCCGTCTGTGGCCACGGGGAGAAGTTGTTTACGAAATACAGCCGCAGCTTGGTAAGTTCTCAATCGAAACCAATAGTCATAACTTTATGAAAAGTTTCGATTGTGTCAATCACCTAGCTATTTAATAATTAATCGTGCATTCTACTCACCCGTCATCAAATGACTAACGCAGTTTATTAAAGTTCTTATCCTGCATAACAGGTGCCGGTTTTTTTAGGGCGCTCGCTTTTTGAAAACTAGCCCAGGGATTCTGAATGTACCTCCTCAGGACCACTGATAAAGTGTCAAAAAATGTTTATTTTAATACCATGCAACTTTTAACTGAAACTTTTTTCTAACGAGTATAACAAAGGAATCTTTTGTTTCAAGAATCAATGCGCTTCTGGTTGACACATAATAGCAATAGGTGACGTCAGCGTGATAACGCTTTATCAGAATAGGCCATTTGCATGATGGCGTCATTTTACAACTACGACCAGAATCCTTCGGGTTTTTCCTTTCTTATGAAAATTATCGCCTTTGTTATTTAAACCTCGCTGGGATTACCAAATTTAAATGTGAAAGGTAAAACGAAAAAATTCTGGTCGTAGTTGTAAAATGACGCCATCGTGCAAATGGCTTATTGCAATGAACTGTAAGATAATGTAGTAACAGACTGATGTCTGGTTTTATGCTTTTGTTCTTAGCCGGGAATTCTCGGGCAATGTCGGCCATAAGAGCAGGCATGGCTGAATGGACCACAAAAACATGCATTCGCTTTAAAAGAAGGACGAATGAGCCATCCTACGTCTTATTCCAAACTGGCAGAGGGTAAGAACTGTTGAAATATTCCTAATTACGTAACTAACTTTTATGCTTATTTATCATGAAAAGCTTGTTGATCAATGAAATAGAAGACACAAATAACTTTAGTAAGAAGAAGAAGCTAAGGAAGAAGGAGTCAAGGATGAGAGGACAACAGACGTGCCCTCACAATATATATTAGGGATCTTACGAAAGTACGACGTGGACAGCAACGGGAACGTCTAAAAACAATAGGTTTTATGAGCAAATTAAACAACAACTCTGCACGGGCATCATACTTTTTTGTACATTCCGTTTGCCGTCCCTGCACAACTTCGAGGTGAAGGGACCAAGTTTTGAGTTGACTTGAGGACGGAAACGGCAAGGCGATAAATTTCTCTCTCTCTCTCTCTCTCTCTCTCTCTCTGAAATCGGACGCGGTTCCTTCTCTTCATTTCTAACCTAAGTTTCCTACTTTCAAGTAACTGGGTGACTTGGTCAAGGGCGCAAAAGTTTCAAATGACACAAAGTCAAGTTTTCAGCTACATTTCATTGGCGTCGCCGTTGTCGGATCGTAAGGTCTCTATTAACATGTGAACAGTAAGTTTGGACGTCAGCATGCAAAAGCGCCACTGGCAGCAGCTTTCAGTCCATTTATGAGCTTATTGTACCCACCCAACCCATGATGTGACTGATGCGTGAAGGTTTTCCACACCACTGGGGGTCTACGTCACCTACTCTTTTCGAACAGTGGTGACTGTTGGTTCCTTTACTTCCCACAAGAACCAGATAAGTGTAATAGACGGGACCTTGACCTACGGTTTTTCGTCCTTTAATATCCGAGAAGACTAGAAAGTCTAACCGTTAGCATAGGTCATTACAGTGGCAGCCCTATATTCTCAGTTATTAAAAGACGCTGAGTGTTGGTCTGGCCTAACCTGCCTTAATTTAAATTTGTTTTTATTATTATTATCTGTACCAATTAAATTCCATGGAATTTCTCCAACAATCGTGCGTTACGTCACTAACAGTGTCTAAGGTGTCAAATAGGATCTTGTTTCTAGCTACAACGTGTAGTTTATCTAGTCACTGGCCGCCGGCTGGAGCACCAAAGTAACTGACTTTCAGCTAGGTACTGATCTATCTTACGATTAGGCTACACAATACCGGATATAGCTGTTCCGCCGGCACGAAAAGTATAACATACACTGTCATACAGAATCATAATTGTTCAGTCATGAGAAAAGTGATTTTAGCCGGCAGTTCCTGTAAGGGAGAGAAGCTGCGTTACCTCGATCCTAAAAGTAAATCGCCCCATATCCGGTAGCATTCTGCGTCACTCTTTCTGTCAGTGTAAACAGGTGTCCATACTTATGCCGAATAGCTCTTCATGTTACCCGCCTACTCGCCCTGCGGCGAAGCAAGCTCTTGTTATTTATTGCCTATTGACTGAATAATGACACATTCATATATCTAGGTGCTCTTCGCAAGTTGGAAGAACTGGAAGACAGCAACAGATCACTCTAGCGCCGGGATGTTGGTTCAGAGGAATTGTTGCTCACGAAATTGGTAAATGATCACCAACCTCAGTTGTTATAAAAGCATGTTTGCAAGTGGTGACAGTAACTCAAATTTCAAGTCGATTTTAAATATTATACACATTTAGTTTTACTGTACCATATATCTCGAGATATTTCGGGATATTCTGCATTAGTAAAATCCAACTAGGTCAATTAGTACTAGGCTATATGTTATAGCCCACTAGTAGAAAAAATCGCCGGCTTTGGAAACCAAAACAATGGCTTTAAGTGTAGCTTTGACTAGCTAAAGTTGTGTTGTTTCGATATTTTTGACCAACTAGTTGGATTTTACTAAAACAATTATTCCTCTTGCCCTCATGGCTTCTGAGTTAATAGCCCATGAGACCGAAATATGGTCTATTGACTCAGAGGCCACTCGGGCTCGAGAAATAATTGTTAATTATTTTACACTTCAAAATGTTTTCTAAATAAGTTTGCCGATATCAGTACAATTCACTTCAACTGTACAGGTATTGTGAGAAAAGGGAAAACATTCGAAAAGCCTTTTCGCGGTGGCTCAAGCGGCTTTTGGCAGAGCTGGAGAAAATTTAGAATTTATTATGACCTGAATGACTGTGTCTCCATCTTATTATTTTTTCCCGTTATTCAGGCAGGACTATTTTTCGTCTCTCTGATACGATGACCGCAATTTTGTATTGATGCAATGTGATGTGAGAAACTCTGGAAAAAAATCTCAAATTATATAGAAGCTGCAAGAACATATTGAGACAATTTTCTTATTTGTATTTCAAGGGTATTTTAACAACCTTCAAAGTCAGATAAGGCACTTCACCCACTTTTGGAAAAGTATCATAATATATTTTTTTAGGACATGCCCTCGGTTTCTTCCACGAACAGTCTCGTCCTGATAGAGACTCTTTTGTTAGGATATTGACACAAAACATACAACCGGGTAAGAATGTAAATACCATCATTTTTTATGGTCTAGTAATAATATATATGGATAATTTTTAGCAGAGTAAGTTAAGAATGCGACTATCATATACCATTATACAGTGTACAGGTACCTAGGCATGTCTCAGAAATACGATTATTGTCCGAGATATATATCAATATTGGATTTGTCACTGTGTCGCTGAATTTAGCGACATCTTATCTCATGTGAATAAGAGCCATTCTCTGAATGGAAAGCGACTCTTGTCATTCGGGGAGCCTTAAAAAACTGGTAGGAGGAGACATAACTAAGATATTATTTTCCATTGAAAGTTTGTTCACTCCAAACCCTAAAACTAGACTTTGTAATATAAGGGTTTTTATTCACTTTTTACAGGTAGGGAGAACAATTTTAACAAATATAGCACTGGTATTATTGACTCTCTTGGAAGCCCATACGATTACGGGAGCGTGATGCACTACAGAGCCAACGCTTTTAGTAAAAACGGTCTGCCTACGATACAAGTTCTACAACCTCGGGTATGTTTCCGGCTAACGCAGCCTAAAATATTGAACTCCTTGCAAACACTTGTTAGTTGCTTCATTAAAAAATAGGCTAAAAAACTAAATGTGTCCAAAGATATATGAGCATACAAACGTTTCTATCTACACAAGTATAAATGACGTCATGAATGCACTGACCAATGTATTTGAATGAAAGACAGTCTTATGATAAATATTAATCATGAAGGCTTAGAATGGATTATACTGCTACCCTAAGAGATGAGGATACATCGTCATAATTTTATTATTCGTCAGTAAAAAAGGTAACACCCGCAAAAGGAAACCACCACTAACAATCACTATAAAGCCGAGAAAAGTTGTTAGAAATAAAATTATATATTAAATCTGAAAGCACTGCACTCAGATGCGGACGCGTGCTGCCGACTATCTTTAAATTGACAGGAAATAAGGGACTAGCTGTAATATGGTCGGTTCTAAGACCGATGGTGAACTTCTGGTTTCAACGTTGATTAGCGGCCTAATTATTTCTTCTTCTTTTTTAAGCAAACGATTGGCCAAAGAAGTAGTTTAAGTCCAATAGATGCGAGTCAAGCAAACAAATTATACCAATCATTGTGCGCAGGTACGTTAATACATTTTTTGAGTTGGTTCCGCGCCTACAAAATAAGGTCTGCCCCCAGATATTTTTTAATACTTAAAACAAATTTGGACAGGCTGAAATAAAAGCAGAAAGAAAGCAATGACCGTGACGGACATTGAGTGGAGAATTGTTGTCTTTAAGAGGACAACATTCAGCGGTACCCAAGGAGAACAGAATTCAAAACCACTTAAACATAGCATTGATGAACGTTTTTTAGTATTTAAACCGGGTAGGTGTAGGCATATTTTCATCTCCTAAAAATTTTTCATCTGTTCGGATTTCCTAGCTGAAAGTCTAGTGATCCAAAAATTATAGGGATGAAAGTTACCTTTTTCGAAAATTTCAGCCAGAAAAAAGTTTCCCGAAAATTCTAGTTGACCTTTTTAGGGTAAAAATCCGTTAAAAATGGGCAATTATACCATTTTTTATCTGCTCGAAAATCCTAGGAGAGGCAAGCAAGCAAGAAATTTTACAATAAATGTTCCGAAAATTCTAGATCTCAAATCGTCTTCCGAAGAGATATTTTCCGAAAATTGACGTTGGGTGCCCCTGACCATTCTGACACCATGTAGTGAACTTTAATTTCACCTTTAAGGGCTTCTCCTTAAGGGCAAAAACTATAAAACAATGCATGGCGATAACAAAGGTTAAAATAATCTTTTGTACTGTTAAAATTACAAAGCTGTCAACTAGGCACTTTTTCATATTAAATTTGGTGAACAGGACATGCACAGCAACCGGTAAAACAAATAATTTATTTTAGTTTAACAGAAAAGATATAGCGTATTCTAATGAGATTAACGTTTCTAACGCTGCAATCTGCTGGCTTCCTGTTCATTTTCTGTTGTCTATTACAAAATTGAAACAATGAAGGTAATTAAAAGTGATTATTATTGCATTACTTTAAATGAACTTTGTTTTTTCAGCGCCAACTCCTGTCCCAACAGCTACTCCCCCAGGTATGCGGTTATTCTATTTCCAAAGAATTGTCCGAATCAGTGTTCGATCTCCACGGAGTTCATGGGCTATTTCTAGAAAGATGTATAGAAATTGAACCAAAGCCGAAATTCGACGAAAGCGTGTCCGATTTTTAATGTTTTAAAAAGTATTTCTCCTTGAGCAACTCACATTGCATGTAAAGGTTGTATTACATCCTACACCATGAGAACTTCTAATCTATGAAAATTTCTTGCTCGGTATATAATAATAAAGTTATGAATCAAATGCAAATGTCCAAACTATAACAAAACTAGGCAATGATAGCTCCTTATGGAAAATTGATCAGGTATTTAGACCTGTAAGACGCAAAATTTTGAATTTTACAGTGTATGAAGAAATTCTAGTCTATTATCTACCATAATGTTTCAATTAAATCACTTAACAGATATCAATGAGTGCCTCTCTTCACCCTGCCACCCTAATGCCGTTTGTCAGAATACCATTGGCTCCTTTACTTGCACCTGTAGATCCGGCTTTACTGGAAATGGAAGAGTTTGCAGAGGTGACATATGATATATCGATACGTGTTTTACATATTTTTATGCGATTATGATTGACTGGTGGGAATTTTAAAACAACATTTTGCGTAATGGGACGTCGGGCATCTAGAAATTTCTAGTCGTCCTAAACCAATAGAAAATTCTAGGCCATGTTTGC